TCGTGCTCAAGTGGCCACTTGGTTATACTGCCATAGGAAAGACGACCGGAGCAGGATGTGCTAACCAGGACCTTCTTAGGGACTTACACACAGTGCTCCAAATTTATATTTGTGGCATTGCAAGATATAGAACAAGGACGAGAGGAATTTAAAGAAAATGTAATTAGCAGAGATAATTGACCCAGAGAAGGTTTTTTAAATTGAACAGTGAAAATTTAATATTTGGTTTACAAAAAGTGATTGATAAAAATGTATAAATGTATAAAAAAAACATATTTTATTTATTATTTATTAATTCGATTATTAATTTCTTTACTTATAAAATAAAAAAAATTTGGTTCACACTGAAAGTATAAATTCAAAGCCGCGATAAAAATCGAACGAAAAAAAGTATAAAATTATGTTGTGTTTTTCGTACATTATTGTACGAGTATTGGTAAGAGCAGCAATGTCCCGAGATGGAAAAAAGAGGAAAAAACTTCAAAATATTCCATAATCTTCCAAAGCTCCACCTATTAAAAACAATCCCATCACAATTAAAAGCCATTAATATTACCTTAAACCTTGCACAATACAATGGGTTCTAACCTTTAATGCCAACCACTTAATACTGCATGCCCTTAGTTCAACTTGAAATGATCGCACCACCCACCGGCGACAAATGCGATGCAACCACCCGGCGGGGCGACGACCTGTTGAGTTGGCAACTTGTTCGCACTTCATCCACGGCACAAAACCACCACACCTGACCTGGAAACTTCCGTCTTCGGGCGGGATCTGTGCCAAAAGCACCACCTAGTCAGGGGTATGTTCATTATGCTTTATGAATGGGAGCGGGAGCGGATGCTCCTTGCTCTGCTTTGCTTTAACTACCACCGACGGCTCGCTCTGTTTTGGTCTCAATTGGCAATGTTTTCTTTTTTTTTGTTGGGAAAACCCCTAAATATGACGAAGACGTTGTGTGGATGGATGACATGCCGGCACACGCCACTCAACTCTACCGAATCCATATCCGTATCCGTTCCCAAGGTGGTGGGTTCAAAGGCACATGACCAAGAGCAAGAGCGGATACGGTCGGTGCCGGTGTCTGCTGGGGTTGCTTTCGTTTGTTTACATTTTGGGGGGTTTTCCCAACGTCCTTGCACCTACGACAAGGCCGTGCGGTTCAATGTGGTGCGTGCGTGTGAGCGGAACCACCCCATGCGCCATGTGGCCCAGAGCAAGTGCGCCAATGTAGGTCGGTGGTTGCTCCGGCTCGGGCTCTTACCCTGGTGGTGATTCCAAAAATATTCCCAGACATGTCTAAGGGTTACTGCCATAGCCTCTGTCACAGTTCGGTTTTTGTTTATAAACATTGCGCAAAACAGCTGATTTTCGGCCATCCCCCATAAGCGTCGTCCCGCATTCCGCTCCACAACCCCAAAGAACTCGGCACTCTGCAAAGACAAAGTGTGCTCCAGACGGAAAATATTGCATCACCTGCATTCCGAGTTCTTAAACGGAGAGCTCGTTTAGGACAGCTGGCTGGCAGGCTGGAAGGCACAGCAGCAGGCCGGCTCATTTAGAACCGACAGATGTCTGTCGATGTCGGCCGTAAAATGGAATGGACGTTCGTGGACAGGCAATGCAACGAATTGCAGCCGGCACTGAGGTATTCAGGCTTTGAGCAGAAAGGACGTCGAAGGAACCGAAGGGATCGGAATCGAGCCTACTTAGCTGGCCTGCTGTTGCATTGATTACTTCACGGACGGGACTGTCGTTAACATCTGTTTCGTTTTCCGTTGCTCATCGTTCATCGATCCTCGCTTGGCGTGTGCCACGGGCCGAAGGACATCTGCCAGCTGCTGAAGAGGCCCCCAACAGTTTCTGGCCCTTTTTTTAGCGAGCGGGAAACTGATAAAGCTATTTTACCAAAAACATGGGGCGAGTTCAGGTCGTTCTTAAAGAATGACTTCCTTTGTAAGGCCAAAGTTGTAAGCCAGTTACATATTTTTACGGTGACACAAAAAACAAAATTTGTTTCGGTTGAAACATAAATTATGTCATCAGTCGAACTGTTTTTTGATTTTTTTGTAACTAAGCCATTAAAATGTTTTTCCGTTTGCTTGAAGGGCATTCTTTTAAAAACTTTTAAAATAAAAACAACTTTATTACATGTGACTAGTTAGACTTTAATAGTTAAAGTTATATTGTATATATATCTTCAATATAAGAAGTATTTATGTTTTCCGTTTAACGAGAAGAAATTATAAAGTTTGTGTTAATCTAACTTAAATTCCGTTTACTCATTTTAAAACTATAATAAAGTAATATTCTATATCATTATAGTTGTAGTTTTCGAAAAATACAAAGCAAAGCATCTACTAGTAATATTTATTAAATACCTAACTCTAACTAGGCATAGGCCAAAGGCAGGCAACAATCTGATCAATCAATCAATCAATTTGTTAGGCAGAACTGATATGCTGGCTCCACTGCCAGCTGCTTCTTCAGCATCCGCATTCGGATAGGCATCAGCTGTCTGACCCCACAGGATGCCTTTCCAGTGCCCGAGTAGCCAGCATAAAAAACTTACAGCTAACCCAAACAGCTTTCCAAAAAATGAATTCTCCCAGCTGTAACTGGACACCATTACCCGTAGGGATGTATGGTTGAGCATGAAAATGGGGACAGGGATAAGGTCGACCTAAGGAAGAGGGGAACGACGAATGCCCCACCAACTGGGAAAGTTTCGAATTGCGTTCTGAACAACTGGCTTCGCGTACGAAACCGGTATGTTAACGAAGGGAAAAAGGACACGACTGCGATCACAGGCGATTACATTCAATTTACGAGACTGAACCTGGTGAATACGGGCGGACTACTAAAAATGTTACACAATTTGAGACTTCCGCTTTCGACTGTCTTTAAAAAGGAAGTGTAAAATGTCGCTAAAAAATAATCACGGCTTCCCTGTCTTTTCCAAGACTGTCCCGTCCCAGTGGCAGCTGCATTTTGCACTGTGTTTGCGCAGGCGTACATTGAACCCAGTTTCTTTTAGGTTAAAGGCGGCAGGTAAAAACAGACCGGCAGATGTTATCCTATTCACGAGTCCTCTTTGTCGCAGGTCAGTTGCTGCCTCTAGAAGAGTTGATTTTCGTTATCCTATAGCTCCTTGTGGGCACGTCAAATGCTTGTCAAACATTTGTTTACCTTTGTTTGGTTAAAAGAAGTCATTGAACGCCGGGCAAGGAACTACAATGCCGCAGCTGCTATTTAAACTAAAGGGTGCCTAACTATTTACGATGCCATCTTATTACAGTTCAATCAAGCAATTTTTTTTATGGTTTTTATACCCGTTACTCGTAGAGTGAAAGGAATTATTACATTCGTTGAAAAGCGTGTAACATTCAGAAGGAAGCATTTCCGACCCGAGTATATATATTCTTGATCAGTATAAATATATATCCGTCTGCTTTCCCGTCCGTCCGTCTGAACGCTAAGATATCAGAAACTATAAGAGATAATTATTTTTTTGATTAAGCAGGCAGATTCTTAAGGACTATACGCAGCCCAAGTTTATTTCTTCATCCTGCCAAAGTTGGGATTAAGGAAGTAATTTTTTATGGCATCCCAAATGCCTACTATTTTCACACCATCTGGCCACGCCCACTCTAACGCCCAAAAATGCGAATATCTTGGAAACTATAAAAGATAGAAAGTTAGGCTTAGGAATACTTATTTTAGAGATGACAGCTTGGCGTGATTTTTTATCCGGCCATGCCTACTCTAACGCCCACAAAAAACAAAAAAACTGTGGCATTCATAATATTATAATGAATGTCTTCATTTGACCTTGTATAACATATTTATAGGCCTCACATGGACAGTGACGTCACTATTATTTAGTAACCATGCTTTTTTGAAAAAAGGTGGCGATTTTCCATTTCAACTAGCAAAATTAATATTTTATATATGTAAAACACTAACGGGTATCTTATAGTCCCGGCACTTGACTTAATCGTTTCTTCTTGTTTCAACTAAGGTTTAGAGGGTAAAGGCTAGGAAAGAAATAGCTTATATCAAAGTTAATATATGCCAAGTGTAACATTTCATTTTCGGAAAATGTCTTTTGGGGAACTACTCCGTATTTTTATATTTCATATTACAAAATCAATGAAGAAATCGTCTAGTTTGTACCCAGAACCACCGTAAACATAAAAAAAAAAGAATATTTCTAAACATAAACTGTGTTATGATTATATCGATCACAAAAAATCTTTATCTTTCAAGTTCAGTTGCCCATTATTTCAAGGGAACAATTTTATTGCGCAGGTGATCACGTTTTCTTGAGAATTGAATTCGGTTCAATTTTTATTTCTTTTAAATACTTATAAACTAGACATTCGAAACTGTATGAAATTCAGACAACAACTTTGTCAATAATTTAGTTGGCTATCGTTTGTACAAAATTGGATTTTTTCTTGATAGTATATTAATGGTTTTGTGTAATGAAGGAATGAAACCTAATAGGATGTTTATGAAGGGTCTTAACAACACATAAATTATCCCTATATAAATAAATAGTAAAAAGGAAACATATACAGTTAAAAATTATTTAGGGAAATCCTTAATATTTTAACAATTTACCCATTAAATAATTGTTAAACTTTAAAATTAAAAACCAAAGGTGGTTCTTAAAGTTATAATAAACATAAATAAACATATAAATTGCTCAAATAAGTATTTCACAAATATTTGCAATCTGCACGTGCTAACATTCAGTGCTAATAAAACGACCCCGACTTTGTATTGTAGTCATCTACATAAAAGACAGAAAACACCGACTTAGCAAATTTTCCCAAGTTAATGGAATTAATTCGAGTCCAATCGTTCCAGTAAAAAAGTGGGTGGTAGGGTTAAAGACGCGGTTGGCAAATTGAAAAATCGATTTTGCACAGCGGACTCGTTGTTGCAAATAGCTATTGGGAAATTGTGCAGTTTCTGTTGGGAAAACTCACCTGACTGCTGCTGCAGTTGCTCCTCGTGCTCCTACTCCTCCTCTTGGGATACCCTTTCAGCGGGCGTCTCTGGAGGATGTGGGGCACTTTTTTTTTGCGTAATTCCTGTAATCCGTACAGCAGGTGCAATGGGAATCGGCGAATCGGGAATCTAAGAATCGGAATCGGCGTACGTGACCGAGAAAAGGTGCACGTTCACAATGGACGCAGACGCAGTTTATTTACAATAGATTAGCTGCGCGATGCACATGTCTGTGTGTTGTTATTGTTGTTACGTTAATAATGCTACTGTTCTTGTTTCTCCGAGATGGTTAAATTTTTAAATATCTCAGTGCCCACCCTGTACGACGATTGAGTTTTAACATTTGTATATATTTAGCAGAAATTCACTCGCCATTCTAGGAAGATGGCTACTTATCAGACGCTTCGCCCTCAGTCCAATGGACACACTCTAATTGGAACATTTACACTGACGGGGTAATTTGTCACTTGGGGATATCATAAAATATTTACCCCAAAATATTGTTAAATATCGTGTCCACTTGACTTTTAACGAAAGCACAACACAAATTACATTAGTTTATGTATTTACTTTTTGCAAAAATCTTGCCATGCAAAAACACGAAAAACAGTGTGGTTAGTATGACCAGATCTCAACAGAAACCAATTCTAAATACCTATGCATGTCTATCGAAATCGCAATAGTGTTGTCAAGATGGACCCGTCAGGTATAAATGTAGCCAAGTTAGCTACTAGTACAACATTTGGAAAAATTGTTGTATTCTTTTCGTCTAACCATAACCATTTTTATGTAAATTAAATCAATTAAAAATAAAATTGAAAGAATTTGCAATTTTTTACATTAAATATAATGTAAATATATATAATATAAGTTTCTCAGATTAAAAAAGTCTACATAAATTTGCCGAATATTGTAATTTAATAATTAATCTAATTTATATCTCTTTATTTATTTTTACTTTCGATAAAATCATTTGTAAGCAAATATTAAAATCTTCAATAAACCTAAAAACTTTTTTCTTTTAGTTGTACTATTTTAAAACTATTATTGTTTACTTCTTTTGAATATTTTACTTTTAACAACTTAAGTTGAGATGAAATAAAAACAAACATTTGGCAACAATTAAAATAGAATTTCGCCAAATTAAATTTTGAAATAAAAATAGTTGTTGGCAACCCTGCCCTCAAAGTGCACACGTTTTCATCTGTTTTTTCTGCGACTCCAATCCAACTGCATGTGAGTAATATACCTGAGTCAATTTCATCACTTGGCTTACGATTGGGCCATCCAGATCTAATCCTGCGAATACCTGTAAAATGCCCGAGGCTGAACAGCAGAACGATGCTAGTGCACCATCCGAAGCCGGAGGTGATCCTCCAAAGACGGCCAAGCAGCTAGAGAAGGAGCGTCTAAAGGCGGAGAAGCTAGCCAAGCTCCAGGCGAAGCTGGACAAGAAAGCGGCGGCTGCTCCAGCAGCGGGAGACAAGAAGGAGAAGCCCGAGGTATGTTAACAATTTTATAGAGGTTCCAAATCGAGGTTATGTGGCTAAGTGAGAGGGAGCAATTACTGCCCATTGTTATAGGAGAAAGCTAATGTCTTTCTCCAATTATCTACCTTTGCAGAAGAGATCCAAGGAAGTAAAAGAGGCTGCCGTGTACACGGCCCAAACGGCACCTGGTGAAAAGAAGGATTTAAATGGGCCTTTACCGGATGCCTACAGTCCACGGTATGTGGAGGCCCAGTGGTACAGTTGGTGGGAGAAGGAAGGCTTTTTCACCCCTGAGTATGGGGTAAGTCCAGTTAAATCTTAGTTATCATATTAAATCTAAACGTTTCTGATCCTGTAGCGTGCATCAATTGACGCACCCAATCCCAATGGCAAGTTTGTGATGATCATTCCGCCACCCAACGTAACGGGATCACTGCATTTGGGTCACGCTCTAACCAACTCCATTGAAGACGCCATCACTCGCTACCACCGCATGAAAGGACGTACCACTCTATGGGTGCCTGGCTGTGATCATGCTGGCATTGCCACCCAGGTGGTGGTAGAGAAGCTGCTTTGGCGTGACGAGAAACTTTCGCGTCACGACCTTGGTCGCGAAAAATTCATCGAGCGCATATGGGACTGGCGTCGGGAAAAGGGCGGACGCATCTATGAACAACTCAAGAGCCTAGGCTCATCTTACGATTGGTCGCGAGTGGCCTTCACCATGGACCCCAAGCTCTGTCGGGCTGTGACTGAGGCTTTCGTACGCTTGCATGAAGAGGGCAGCATTTACCGGAGCTCCCGGCTAGTAAACTGGTCTTGTACATTGCGTTCGGCCATATCGGATATCGAAGTGGATAAGGTAGAGATTCCCGGCCGCACTTTCCTCTCCATTCCCGGTTACGATGACAAGGTGGAGTTCGGTGTGCTAATCAAGTTCGCCTACAAGGTTGAGGGTAGTGACGAGGAGATCATTGTAGCGACCACACGTATTGAGACGATGCTGGGTGATACAGCTGTGGCTGTTCATCCTCAGGACGAGCGGTATAAGCATCTGCATGGCAAATTCGTTGTCCACCCATTCTCTACGCGTCGTCTACCGATTGTCTGCGATGAGTTTGTGGACATTGGCTTTGGCACGGGAGCCGTGAAGATCACACCGGCCCACGATCCTAATGACTATGAGGTTGGCAAGCGCTGTAACTTGCCCTTCATTACCATCTTCAACGATGACGGCTTTATAATCGGCGACTACGGAGAGTTCACTGGTATGAAGCGTTTTGAGTGCCGTAAGAAGATCCTGGAAAAGCTTAAGGCTCTAAATCTGTACCGTGAAACCATTAACAACCCGATGGTGGTGCCCATCTGCAGTCGCTCCAAGGACGTTGTTGAACCTCTGATTAAGCCCCAGTGGTATGTTAGCTGTTCGGACATGGCTGCTTCCGCAACAGAGGCTGTGCGTTCCGGCGAACTGAAGATCATCCCTGAGCATCACACCAAGACTTGGTACCATTGGATGGACGGTATCCGCGACTGGTGTGTGTCGAGACAATTGTGGTGGGGACACCGGATTCCGGCATACTATGTCAGCTTCAATGACCCCTCAATCCAAACCGGATCGGTAAGTAAATCTGTTTTGTATAGCAACTTTATCTGTGGGTAATATATAATGTTCGATTTCTCAGTCGGCACATGGAAGAGTGGTGCGTAAAAATAGAAACCATTTAATAAAATCAATACTTTTTGTTATACATAGCTTATATTATAGATTTAAATTTAACTGAAGCTTCTTACTTGTTTTATTCTTAGAACGACGACGAGCAGTATTGGATTGTGGCGCGAAGCGAGACCGAGGCTCTGGATAAGGCAGCCGAACGTTTTGGTGTGGACGCCAGCAAAATTGTACTCAAGCAAGATGAAGACGTCTTGGACACGTGGTTTAGTTCTGGCATCTTTCCTTTCTCGGTGTTTGGGTGGCCAAACAAAACCAAGGATTTGGAGACTTTCTATCCCACATCACTGCTGGAGACAGGTCATGATATACTCTTCTTCTGGGTGGCGCGTATGGTATTCTTTGGTCAAAAGCTGCTGGGCAAGCTGCCGTTCAAAGAGGTCTACCTACACCCGATGGTGAGGGATGCGCATGGTCGAAAAATGTCGAAATCCCTGGGCAATGTAATCGACCCAATGGATGTCATTCGTGGCATTACCCTGGAGGGCCTCAATGCGCAACTTGTGGGCTCCAACTTGGATCCCCGCGAAATCGAAAAGGCTAAGGCTGGGCAAAAGCAAGACTACCCACAAGGAATTCCCGAGTGTGGGTCGGATGCCCTGAGATTCGCTTTGTGTTCCTACATCACGCAGGCCCGCGACATCAACCTGGACATTAATCGCGTCCAGGGATATCGTTTCTTCTGCAACAAACTGTGGAACGCTACCAAGTTCGCTCTGCTCTACTTCACCGGATCTGAGAAGTTCGATACGGAGCTAGGTCCATCTGAGGCACTTAACCAGATGGACGCCTGGATCTTGTCACGACTGGCATCGGCCGTTGAGACATGTAATACCGGGTTCGAGACTTATGACTTTGCTGCTGCCACCAGCGCTTGCTACGCATTCTGGCTTTACGATCTTTGCGACGTTTACTTGGAGTGCCTCAAGCCTATCTTCCAAAGCGGCACCGAAGAGCAGCAGGCCGCCGCCAGGCGCACCCTTTATGTTTGCCTGGACTTTGGTCTGCGTCTGCTCTCTCCGTTTATGCCTTTCATCACGGAGGAACTTTACCAGCGGCTACCAAGGGCTAAGCCCGCTCCTAGCATTTGTGTGGCCAGCTATCCAAGTAAGACTCTTATTTTGGCTTTGAATGCAACATAAATTAACTCTATTCCTCATTCTAGGCAATATATCCTGGCGCAGCACGAAAATAGAGTCGGACGTGGAATTTGTTCAGAAGGCTGCCAGGATTATCCGATCCGCCCGCTCCGACTACAATCTGCCCAACAAGGTTAAAACCGAAGTGTACATAGTGTGTACGGATACGGTGCCCAGTGAAATACTCAAACGATACGCCAAAGATCTGGCCACAATTTCCTACTGCTCCAAGGTGGTCTTCGACAACCCTGCTCCAGCGGGCTGCGCCATCCTGACAGTAACTGGCCAGTGCGAGGTGCATCTGTTGCTTAAGGGACTTGTAGAAGCGGACAAGGAAATTGCTAAACTGCAGAAGAAGACCGACCAGTTAGTGCAGACGGTTAGCAAACTGAACCAGGCCATTCAAGCCGTGGACTACTCAACCAAGGTTCCCGCTGAGGTGCAGGAGGCCAACGAGACAAAGCTCTCCGAGTCTCGGGCAGAAATTGAACGAATTGCTGCCGCTATTGAGACACTGAAACTAATGTGAACAAGAACGGCTAACTTCTAAACGGGTATAATGGTAATTGATATTTTAGCACGCTTGCCTCGCTAGCTGCTAAGGCGAAGGCCTTAAAATATAACTTAAAAATATACAAATGTGCTTCATTTGCTAGGACAGACAGTTTATGCATTTCAAACATAGTAGACGAATCGATTGATTTTTTATTTTATTTATTACCCTACAACACATGAAATTTTCCCCAATATAAATAAAAAGAAAAATGAAATTTCCCAATGAATTTTTTGTTATTCTCGAACTACCAGGTTAATCGGGTGGCATGGTCCGTCTTGCGTTTTGACATCTTGATGTATCCCAGAAACTGCATTTCCGCCACGGCTCTTGTGAAGCGTGCTCTAATTGGGGGTGAAACCGAAACAATTATACAAAAATCAAGAGGGGAATTGTATGTACATATGAAGTACTACTCACTGGATCTGTGGATCAATTTGTTCCTGGGCCGCATCCTCGTTATCGTTGCCACTCACCACGGAACGAAATGCCTGCAGCCAATCGAAGAGATTTATCATTCGACCGCACTCCAGGTGCAGTTTATATACCACGGAAAGATCGGGCAGGGTGCTGACCAGCTGAGACTGATCCTGAAGCTCGCAGCATTTGCACTGCATGTAGAAGTGAGGATTGTTTAGGGCAGTGTGCAGTGCCGCTCGAGGGGCTCCGATGATGTTTCTGCGAACGGTGGCAATGTCGCTAAATACAAAAAGTTCGTGAATAGGCGGTGCATCCTGCAGCGGGCGGAGGTGATCCTGAATAAGCAACGTTTCAATAAGCTGTAGGGTCTTCTGCAGGGCCCGTGCGAACTGAGTGGTTGGAGTACTCTGTTGATGCCGGTTCTTGTCCTCCTTGCTGCGTTGTAACAACTGCTCTTTGAGTTCCTGCCTCGAGGCTACATTAGTCAAATGGTCGGTGGCTGGGCGGACCTCGTTGGGCGATGTTGTTGTTATGGTTGCCATTGTTGACTTTACCACATTGTCCAGCGACTGGCGGATAGTCTGTAGATGTGGTTGCAGCACAGCAGTGCAAGCCTCGCCAAGCTCCAATGAGGTGATCTCTTCAGAAAGGAACTTTTCGGTTCTTTCTAGGCAACGGTTAACCTTGGCCACAAATTCGTCCTTCGACAGAAAGCTAAGCATCTGTATACATTCCTTGTACTCCGGCATGGTGATGACAGATCTGTTAAGGCAATTGACATACAATTCACGTCGCATTTTTCCTAGAGGGCAACGGGGCAGATCCCCAACCAGTTCTGTAAGGAACTCTAGTGAGCTGCGGAATAGCAGAAAATGGAGCAAACAGTCGCGTAGTAGCTGCGGCAGCTTCTTCTTTAAATAGTCATCGTCGGTAAGCACAGCTATTATACGCTTGCAATCATTTATCTGCTCGACGTACGGACGAAACGAAGGCAGTCTTCGAATGGTCTCCATGTCCTCATGTGTCAACTGCTTAATGCGTCCCAAGGCTTTGCTGTAATTCGTACAAAGCGCAAATGCATTTCCAGCAAAAAAGTGCTCCATCAGGCAATACTTGAAACCTTGAATAAATCCGTTGATAGAGAAATCGTAGTACAGGAATATGTGGGTCAGGAACTTGAAAATCTTCCCCGAGAGATGGAAAGCGTACTTAGGTGAGAGAAGAACTTTATCTAGCACCTTGAAAATCGATAAAAAGGTGTTTTTTAAATTAAGTGTTTTAAAATTAAAAAACATTGCATATGGACTTTGTTCAGTTCAACAGATAATCTTACCTCGTTAAGGCCCATGGGGGCAGCCTGAGTCTGGAAAACCCGCAGTCGAATCTTACTGCTGACGTGGTAGGGCAGTGTGCCATGCACGGCTGTCATGGCCGTGGCCACTCCAAGGACCAAGACGAATGGCAGTACACCGCAATAGGAACTTAAGATTAGAATGAGATCTTGCAGCACGATGGCGTTAAAGCATTCAAAGTCCGGCAGAATGACTACCAACTGCCGACGCTTACTCTGCGAGTCAAAATTATTAGTGTACCACGACTTTAGCTGCTTCATAGTGCACTGTGAACGTCGCAACCGCTTGCGATCCCGCTCCGCCACATCCTCACCATCGTCTTCGACTTCCTCTACCTCTGCATCATCTTCTACAAGACCGAAGACCAAAGACTCCACTGCGGCCTTCAGGGTCGCGCAATCCCGCGACTGCAGGACACAGACTCTTGCAGCCCGCTGAGCGTGAAGTCGTTGGGTGAGAGCCATAAACTGGCTAAGGTGATCTGGTTGATTGATGCCCGTCAACAAGGCAGCGGTAGGCAAGACCTCGTTCAGACTAGTTCCCTGACCCTGCCCCACCACAAAATCCACCAGTTGATCCAGAGTCCGAGCATAGCTCTGCTCTTGTAGATCGGTAATATGATTGTTTACCTGGTTCCAGGCGTTGCGGTATTCCACATAGAAAGGCTGCTGGACCACCTCTTGGCCCAAAAGACTGCTGGATCCCGTAATAGAACGTTTTCGCTTTGTGGCCGCCTTTTTACCGGCTCTCGTAGCGCCATTTTTGTATACAAAACATCCCTAGAAGCATAACAATAAAAGATTACCCATAAAGTCTGGCTGTAGAAACTGAGCCACTCACCTTGGACACGGAAATGGTGGGATCCATCGATGATTTTCTACTAACACCGCCTCGTTGTTGTGATGTCTTTATAAATGGCCGGATTGAGTGTATTTATTTGTTTATGTCAGCTTTGTGCCAATTAAAGTTTCTTCACCGGTAGCAACGCGAAATGAAATCAGCTGTGTGTTTTGGCGCCAACTTGACTGCAGTGTTGAGTAACGGTTTTAGGGGTGGTTGGTAGTTGTGTCTTTCACGTAGCCATAATAATCTTGAAATAGGAAAGGTTGTAGATTATAGATTGGTTTGTTCTACATTTGATTATAAATTATTATAATATATAATATATATAAATTATTATATGGACATAACCTATGAAATAATAAATACCATAGGTTTGACTTTATAAATATGTACATAAGTACATAAAAAAAACTGCACCAAAAATTATTCTTTGGTTTCAATTTGAAAGTTATAAATAGGTAGAAAAATAAAGTATTATCAACAGCTTACCATTCGAGCTCCCTGTCCACCCTGCTGTCGTGGTATCCTTGAATAAGACCAAATTTTTCGATAGCTCACTGTCACATAAGTCAGACCACTTTGGCGCCATTTGGAATGAGAAAAGGTAGAGAAGAAGGAAATCAAGGAACAACATTAATGCTCCCAGGAAATAGTCCTGAGTACGCATCTCGGCAAACCTTCCACCATTTATAATCTGAGCATGGTACATGACGAACTGTAAATATGGATATTTATTAAATTAATTAATTATGAACTAAAATTGGTACCAACCATCAAGATGCTGATTACGATAAAGAAACGAGCCACGATAAACGAATATGGAGCGTTGATCACAATATACAACATCACAAAGTATATAGCGGCAATAATGGATACCACAGCAAGGACAAATAGAACCACCACATCCAAAGTCAGATCAAGCTTGGGGGAATATAATAATCTTAAACGTACATACATTCAATATATCAAATGAATTATAGTTTTTTTTTCTCAGGTTGGTCGGGAAATACAAATTAACGCTAACCCTTAAAGTTTGATGTTTTGGACGAGTATAATATAAAGATCTGACTCTTTAAGGATCTTCTTACCGGTATGCAGGAACCGCATAAGATAAAAAGTGCCAAAGCCACTGTCCAAATAAAGAAGCTAAAAAGGAATTGATACGTATAGTGGTGAGTAATCAAAGGTGCCATCCCGAGCACAATGCATTCAAACTGAAAATAAATACATACTTATGTCAATTATATCACACAGCTACGACTCTGATTTAAGACTTACAATAAGTACAGCAAACAACCAATTTATCATTTTATTGAAACGCAATGCCTCAAAGAAAATGAAAAGAACGAGAAGGACCAGTCCTATTCCAAAGAAAATGCAGCTCACCAAATAATATTCAATAAAAAATAACTTTATAACATCTCTGATAATCAAGGAAATATAAAGAGATATCGGATGTATGTAGATTGCTGATGTATACGTACACAAAGTAGAAAATAACCCACTGCAACAGGGCTAAGAGCAAAAAAATTGCGGTCAGGAGGTAGGTGATCAGGGCGAACTTCCTTCTTTCCCTTTTGTAGTAAGCTTTTCTTTCCGATGTGACTTCCATTGTGTGCCGTTACGTTTGTAGTTTCTGTACACTGTATGTATATATTTTTGCTTAGAATAGAAGTTAGAGTACTAAAGTATGTGAACTAGATTAATTTCAAGAGTTGGCAGTCATTTACTTATGAAGATATCTTAAAATTGCAGTAAGTGACTTAATCTAAATCTTGAACTAAATCTTAATCGATATAAGAAATCGTAATTGAACTTATTGCGAAAGTTCCGTTCTTTGACAAACACAAAAAAAAGGGATAATTCAATCTAAGTCTGATAGCATAAACATTCATTTTCTAATGAACAACTTCTAAATTTAAATTTTGTACAAATTGGCTATCGGACTAGATTATCGATTATTTGCATCAAAAAGAAGTTTCATCACTTATTATATTTGCTCATCGCTAATTTCAACTGGTGGCTAGAAGAGTGTTTATAAATTTGTTAAACTTATGGCGGACCAGTTAAACATCGAGGTGAGTGTATTGGATAACTGTTTATTTATTTTAATACTTTTATATTATTCAAGGGCCGCATCCAAAAAGCGGTGGCGAATGGTAAAGACAAAAACGATGAAAATAATGCTTATGCCACGAAACCCGACGATAAGCAAGTGCTTCCACAATCTCTGGAGAAATTTGTGGACTTGAAAAGCCAGCGGTCGACTGAAGTAGAGCTCAAGGAGTGGACAACGACCGAAAAAATGGATAGATCCCTTGATTTAGACATCTACGACGATTTGGACGAGATAAAGTCTCAAGGCTCGACAAAGATTGTTGAAAAGGAGAGATCTCTTGATTTGGACATCTATGACGATTTGGACGACTTCCAAAAAGCTGAAGACCACGTATGTCATCTCAGTTAGAACTCTTCTGACAGTCTTTAATTACCGCTTTATTATCTTGTAGAAAACCAAGGAGCTGCTGGCATGGGAAGTCAAATATGAAAAGGCACAAGCCGAAATCCAGGATCTAAAGATTGAGAATAAAGCGCTCGGAAAGAAGATCAAGACTATGGAGGTTAATTTGCAGAATCTACTCGACACGGCGAAGGCTGAAGTAAAGAGGAAAGAGGCCCTGATTGCCCAATTGCGAAAGGAGTTAGTAAGCATTCTTGGTATCCTAATTTCGAAACTAAAAAACATTCTTTATCAGAAAGGACGACTTGTGCTTCCGGCGTAAGCGAGGGCGAGAAGTCGACGAGAAAGGGGAAAAAGGGCAAGAGAGTAAGCGGATCAAAGAATGCCAGTCGAATGCCCAGAAGAACTCGGAAACGGATAGAAATCCTTTCAAGACTGCATCAAAAAACGACACTAGAAAGGCAAACTTTAAAAATGATGAAAAAATGACGAAAACAAGGGAAGACACCAAGAAGTCGATCATACGAACCAACTATCCAGAGCTGGGACAGCCTAAGACCAACGAACAGAGATCGAGCACTCACAATCATTATTCAGGAAAAGGTCACAGATCAAGAGATCGACGACATAGCCGAAGTCGGAGCCCAAAACATAGCTCTAGACTAGATACCAGGAGTTCTAAATGCAGTGCCCGGCAAGTTAAACGTGGAAGTCGTTCCCAGTCCCCCAGGTTAGTGAAAGAAGAGGACATCGGTTTAATTTGTTGATAGCAGCATCTGACTTTTGTTGCAGAATCAATTTGCCAGAAGAAAAGCCTCAAGCAACGGCGGCCCTACTCGATGAAGCGAATGACTCCCGGAGTGAGAGCCCGCAAATTAAGTTGGCCAAACTTGAAACTGGATCGTCGAAAAAAGTCGCTTCCAACGAAAGGAATACTAGTACAAATTCGATATTTATTCCAAAGGATTCTTCTGAAGTCTGTAAAAGTAAACATGCTATAATTCCGGGATTGCACTTGATTTCCAAGTCGGAATGTGCAGCTTTTGTCCCAAACGACATCGAACCAGTAGAGATGATAAAGCCTGTCGAAAAACTTCTAACTATATCGAATCATTCAAAGGACTCTGCAAGCGAAGCTACGAAACATTGTAAAAAAGAAGAGCAACAACTTAACAGACTTGCAAATGAAAGTCAAGCGAGGGAGCCGCTAGTAAAATTCAACAAAAAAACAAATTTAGAAATTAAAGACGTACTAACAACCAAAAAGCCAGAGACTGTAGATCAACCAGTATGCAAAGATGCTGCTACAGCCTATAAAGATGTCGATCCTCCGAGTATAGATAATATTAAAGCAGGCTCAGGGACTGATGAACATAACCATGCGATTAAATTGGACGCCGGAATACAGATAATCGAGGATATTCGACTGCCAAAAATGGCTGATATTGACCACATAGCTGTTAAAGTCGATAAGCAGTGCAAAGAAACTTCAGCAATCTCGGATTCAAAAGTACAAAACATTGATTTATTTGTTAAAACGCCCGAGAATTGCAACTCTCGTTTTAAAGAGTTAAAAGATCAAGAACATATCAGCTCTGCAGTCGATACACCTATTAAGTCTTCCACTATTCTGTATGCTAAGCCCGATTCAACGAAACTGGATCACAACGATGAAAATGACGAGGTTATTCTGGAAGCTGCCATGAATTTGCTGATGAACGAACAAGAGCCGTCGAGCATCGTGGATCCTAGCTATACAAATCTGAGTAATGCAGAAGATACCATTGAGATGGCATTAGAGCAATTACACCAGCAATCACCAGACGAAACTGTAGTGACTTCAACATCGAATAGAGCACAACAGACGCCTAAACTAAATCTTATTACGATCCTCACTCAATCTCCCAACCAGTGTAGTCCTTCAAAGTCCAAAGCGAAATCGAAGAAGTTATCACCAAAAGTGTCACCAGAAAAGACGACCATCGAGAAAACCCCGCTGAAAAAAAGAAAACTCAACATAGACAGTCCGACGGAGGCACCATCGGTGGCCAAGCTGGATTTGACTATTGACGAATCCTTGGAAACTAGCTTGGGTAACGATGCCTCAACAATCACCAAACGTTGTTCTCTTGGGCACACCGATTACCAGTACGAGCAAATAAAAGACGAGGTCATTTTGAGAGTAAAACGTCGTTGCCGACGCAGAAGACCTGTATCGGTGGATATACAGACACCTAATGCAGTCGACCAAGCAATTAAATAAATTTTTTGATTGGCATTTATAATTTATTTTTTACACGTACAATTTTTATCCAATAGGGTTTTACAGTGTACAGTGTTTTCAAGTACCAGATTATTTATATGGAACTGGCAAATATTTCACAATGCATCTTCACTCCAGGGACGATTCGATCAGCTTGTTAGTTGACAGGGCTAGAACCACTGAGAATTTTGAACCATGAATAGGCAACAACCCAGAAGTATATCGCCAAACCTGGGAATTATTAGAACAATAAATATTATTTCAAATAAGTGTTATTTACTTATTACCATAACACTTACCGATGCCACTTAGGATAAGCAACAAGGTAATTATTACAGCGCCAGCTTCAACGCAAACATAAACAAAAAATACGAGGTCATATACTATGCGTACAATGCCAATGATTAGGTATGCCATGACCAACTTATTAATTTGCTAGAAAGGATATGTGAAGCATTAACTGAGTAGTAAGTAAGGAGTATTTGCCACTTACCACCCAAACGGATACAATAACCACAACACAGGCAACTAAATGGGCAAAGTGAATAACAAGGGTCACCATCCAACAATAGTAGGTGGAGGGCTTATCGTTGCTTTCAAACCAGCCTTGATAATATGCTAAATCTGTAAGATACCATATTATATTTAATTTGATTGGTAATGATTGAGATGGTATTATTACATACATTTGGTTTCCATAACTACTGTAGCCGCCATAATCATATCTAAAACAGCTATAACGAACGCTCCCCATCTTACACCACAGCAGCAGCATTTGCTAATAGTGCACATCATGGTATATTCCTATTGGTTTTTGTTTTCGAATTGTTGTTAATATCTGACTGGTTGTCAACGTAATTGTGTTATTAAATGAATTTCAATGACGGACGGATTGATTTCGAAATTTTTTCGTATGAACGTGTCCAGGAGTATTATTCTCCACCACCGAGCATCTTGTACCACGAGAAAATGACCCACCAAAAGAATATCCCAAGAACTGTTGGTAGGAATAAAGGTTATCAATATGCATTCGAATAGACTTAAATAGGATTGGTTTCTAAAAAAATTAAGTTATATAAACTATTTTCGATATGAGAAAATAAATGTCAAAAATAAAATTTCAAAGACTTACGGACTCCAATTAAGATGATAACTATGCTCAATACGACATAGCCTTCTATAGCGAGGTATATAAGGAGAATTATGTCAAAAATTATTCGGATAATGCCGGTTATTAAGTACACTATAACCAACTTTTTATTTGGCTGAAATGGTAAACCTTAATCGAAAGGACACTGGCCAAAGAAAGCACAAGCCACTTACCACGCAAATAGAAACCATTACCAAAATGCAGGCGATGATATGAGCCAGGTGAACGAGAACGGTTACATACCATACTACCCCTCCTAAACCTGTACAATACAGATAATTTTAATTGTATTTAAATTTTTAAAAACCATATGATTATGAAGACTTACCTCTAAGATCGCCACATACTCCACCTAGCAGGAGCACGTCCACTATAGCGACAATAAGCGCTCCCCATTTTAGCTCCAAACAGCAGCACTTCTTTAAAGTTGGAATACCCATTTTAGTTTTTATCAAAGTTCAAATGCGTTGTTATATTATCGAATGATGGAAGTATACTGACGGGACATTTCGGGAAAGCATGTGAAATGACTTTGCAAGGCCAACTACAGATTTAGAAACACAAAATTGAACACAAAATTTTTTTATTCGACTGGCTGATACCACGAGACGACCGATAGCCAGAAGTAAGTGGCTGGAACTGTGGGAAAAGGTCAAAATTATTTAAGGGCTAACAAGATTTACTGTTATTTTACTGTTGAAAATGTATATAAAAACAAGAAGAACCGCTATAGTCGAGTGCAGCAACTAATAGATACCCGTTTCTGTTTTACACAATTTTAAAATATGCATTTTGCTAGTGAAAATGGACAAAGCGCCACCGTTTGTCAGAAAAAGCATGTTAATTAAACGATAGTGACGTTACTGTCCATGTGATTTCTTTATAAGTAGCGAAATAATGTTCCGATTTGAAAAATCTTTGGTAAATCGCTAGATATTGACTAAAATATGTTATACAAGGTAAAACGAAGACGTTCATTATAACAGGCGTGTTTAGTAGGCGTGGCCAGGTGAAAACTCGCGACAAGCTGCAGTGGCATCTCCAAAATATGTATTCCTAAGCCTAATTTTTTAGCTCTTATAGTTCGGGAGGTTTTCTCATTTTCGGTTTTCCGGATTTTGTGGGCGTTAGAGTGGGCATCTCAACTTTGTATCTGTTATAGTTTTAGAGATCTCAGCGTTCATACGGACGGACAGACGGACATGGCTTAATCGACTACGCTACTAATATTGATCTAGAATATATATACTTTATAGGGTCGGAAACGCTTTCTTCTACCTGTTACATACTTTTTAACGCATCTAATATACCCTTTTACTCGAGTAACGGGTATAAATACTTACATAGACTAAGACCGATCAACCAAAAACTGGTGGTACAATCAAACGACTTAGTAACTATCCAAATCAAAATAAGAAGCAAAACAACGAAACGCATTAGCGCAGTAGCTACATAGGGAGCCGACATCCATTTTGTGTCCTGAAACATTAACAGTTCTTAGTAGATTAACCAAAAAAGTGATTTCTCTGGACTTACGGAAATCGCTGAACAAATGAGTAGTATACAGGAGCCAATGTGGAGGGTAAGGACGACCACACAAAATATGAACATTGAATAGCCGAACCTATTGAAGTAAAAGTCGGCACCGGTATAGAACCTGTATTCGCTAATTATTTTAGAATTTGTAATTCTAGCGGTTTGAGGCTCTTCCGTAAGTAACCCAAGATCATCATCTGCTTTTCGCCTTATCCCTTTTAAAAAGAACAAATGGTTAATAATTAATGTTAATGTGTAATAATGGGTCATACTTACATGGTAAATAACTTCCAAGGATTGCACTTAAGATCATGTCCACGAACCCTATTATAATTAAACCATATTTTAGCTCAATGCAAAACAGAAATGTTTCAACAAAAGTCATTTTAAGAGAGTTGCACTAGTTTATTGATGTGTTAAAGCGTGTCTGGATGACCGGTGTATAAACGAGTCGAAAAACAAAATATGTATCGCCGAAACTCAAAATCTCCGCAACGTTTCCAAAGGCACTCTGACGAGGCAACTTGTTCTGATATATTTCGTCATGGACTAACTAGATTAAGAGTCTAGGCTAAATAATTTTAAAAATATCAATACCGTATATCATAAATTCTACAAATTACTCGTAGAGTAAAAGTGTATATTAGATTCGTTGAAAAGTATATAAAAGGTAGAAGGAAGCGTTTCTGACCCTGTAAAGTATATATATTCTTGATCAATATCAATAGCGAAGTCCATTAAGCCATGTCCGTCTGTTCGTATAAACACTGAGATCTCAATAACTATAAGAGATACAGGGTTAAGATTAGGCAGGCAGATTCTTGAGGTCCATACGCATGTATGTCTTTGTTTGACCTTGTGTAACATATTTTTCACAATTTCTATCGATTTACCGAAGATTTTTCAAATCGGAACATTATTTCACTATTTATAAAGAAATATATGTAGGTTATAAGGCCCCTCATGGACAGTGACGTCACCATTAGTTAGTAAACATGCGTTTTTGACAAAAGGTGGCGCTTCGTCCATTTCCTCTAACAAAATGAATATTTTAAAATTGTGTAAAACAGTAACGGGTTTCTAGTTTTTATGTTTTTTTAGGCTTATTTTTATGAAATTATCAGTTTACCTGTTTTTATCTTGGTGAAAAAATCTTAAAAATGAGCTAAACACATTGTTAACCCCATTAAGTAAGGAAAGAACCATTTAATTACACAAGGTATTAATATTTTAATTGTTTTTCTCAAAACATAAACAAATGATAATTACCTACTAAATGGAACTAAATTTGAATTTTTTAATATTATTTCAAGCGTTGTCTTCAAACATTTTTTGTTTATTATAATGCCGTTATACATTTTTTCAACAAACGTTGTTTTAACTGTTGTAAGTAAAGTATAAATATTTGTTAATATGTACATTCACAACAAAAACTTAATCTCGAATTAAACACGATTTTACTACATTTTTAAAATAAATTAGAATAGTTCTTTCTAATGACATCAAAAACATTTCTTGCAAAATTTAATAAAATGCCATTAACTGCAAGTCAATGGCAAATTTAAAAATTCAAAGCAATAAATATTTTAGTTTTCGTTTCCAATCATAGTTAATGTCGAGTTGATCTGTTTATGTACTGTCCATGTCTGGGAAATTATAGATCTGAAGATCTATGAAACGTGGTGCTACTTAGCGCATCAAGTCTATTTTAAAACAGGAAAGATAGTAGCTGATATCTGAACTATAAGATTCTTTCTTGTTTCATTTGGAAATTAAGATTTTAGAACTTTGATCTGAAGCAGACATTTTATGCCTTCTGTGTCTTTCAAATTTAAAATTTTTCTAATTGTCCTTATTCCTTCTTTGACTTCTCTGCGCCGAGTAGGACGCGCCGCACGGCGGGCAGCTTGAAAATCGGTATGGAGAGCACGGCACCAGCACATGCGCCAATCCAGTAAACAATTATGTGTTCCAGGTGGGTGTGTCCACGGCAGCCCCATTTGAGGGCTGTGGCCAGGACAGGATTGAAGTAACCGCCGGAGAAGTTAAAGGCTGCAAGCAGTAGATAGTTAAAGGCATAAACTACTTAAGAGACCAGCATTGGGCAGGCGGATCGGATCGGACAAGCGCTACGCCACTCACCTGCCACCACCAAACTGGTGCCAATGAATGAATCAATGTAGCTGCCAAATCGCGGTTCCTTTTCGCTAATCGTCTTTGAGGCCAAGCGGCAGAGCAGAGTGGCCACTCCCTCGATGAGGGCACCCAAATATGGGCTGACCTGCAGATCGGCATTGCAAGCCTCAAAGGCCCGGCCTCTATGGGTCTCGGCGAGCTCTAGCCACCAGAAGACTTGCACCACCCGGTAGACACAACAGCCGCCCATCAATTCGGCCCAGCTACGTAGCGCCATCTCCTTGAAGCTAGTGCGACCCTCAACCACGTCCTCCATGTGGGTATATGGGCAAGCGGAGGCGTCGCCCCAAACGCGACCCCACCAGATGGTCAGCAGGAATAGGCAGACGGCGTACATGGATACCCCGAAGTTGTCGGCCACTGTGAACCAAATTAGAAATGAAATAATTAATTTAGACTTCAAGAATCAGTACATCAAAGCTTTTCTTTTCTTAAGACAAGCAAACCGATTTAAATTTTAAGGTACTCTTAAAAATTTCAATTTGATTCATACCTATGATCAATTCAAAGCAGCAGGCACACAGCTCGGCGGCGGCGATGGCCTCGTTAATCAGGATGGGAACCAATCCCTCACGGGTCACCAAACGCCGGCTGATTACTCGGGCAAGTTGGGCCACTACACAGCAGCCCACCATAAAAAGGGCACTTATCCCTAGCGCTGTTGTGGTCGACATATCCTGTTGTTTTGGGAGGATCGAATTAGTTATACCTCTTAGCCCCTCGCACCTCTTAACCCCTCACACCTCTTAACCCCTTATTGAAAATTGCAGTTTACAAATATTTAATTTTCAAGAAATTAAAAGTTTAAAAAAGTTAAACACAAACTAATTTATTTTCAAATCTTTACAGCATTTTGATTGGTTCTTTAGAAAAATAAGTAATAATTGAAATCCAAAAATAAAAAAAAGGTCAAAGTTGATAACAAAAAATTTATTGTTCAAAGGGAATTAAAGTTTTTGTCACGAAAAAAAGTATATAAATAGTTAGTTGTTGTGCCCTTGGTTCAAGGCCTGTTGTTCACCTGAACCTTGAATGATTTGCATTTTGAAGAACATTGTAAATCAGTGTATTTTGAGTGCAAAAACTATTTCCGATTATTATGCACAACCAAAAGCACTAAAAATAAATGATTTGGCCGAGGCTTGACTGCCTACAGAAACCCAAAGAAATAGAACAAAATATTGGATTTTTGGATAGGAGTTAGTGGAAGATGCAAGTAACAATAATAAAAAACAAAGCTAGCACTCTTAATCCAAGTGATTTTTATTTAGATGTATATACTTCGGAATTATCAATGACGATGTGGATTAAAAAAGCAGCACGGGGACCGCGTGAAGACGCCGCGAGAACTGTCCGTCGACTAGTACCCAGTATAAGTGATTTTATTATTGATCACTCTCTGCTCGCCGGGATCTCATCTGGCTCTGCTGCTATATTTATACTTTGGGTCCTGACGTAATATCAGAAACGAGCGCCAGTTTTTAAAAAAATAACAGCAAAAGCCTTTGCTAGATAGGCAGCATTGTCATCCCATACCTATCGATTGGAACCAGCTTACCGATAATCAGCTGACTTTATTTTGCCGCTGTTTACAAGTACGTTAAGCAATTGTGTAAGGCATATGGGTTAAAGACTATATAATAAAACATAAACAAACAAAAAGAGTCGAGCTAAAAGGACTTAAAAACAAAATTAAATTGTGCAAAAGGTTTTTTATAATTGCAAATTAAAAACCTTTATAAAAGTTAGTTAAGTTCATATATGAAAGCATTAATACATAATTGGAGACGTTTTTTTAGTGTTGGAGCTTGTATGCAGGATCTGCCCTGTCAGATTGCCATGGAAGAGTTGTATGTCCTTAGCCATTCATCCGATACAGAGACGCCGCCTCGTAACAGACACTGCCGGAAAAAGTAAGGCCCACGACAATGAGGGATTTACAGAGTGGCGGATTCTATATAGATTACCGGCCATAAGAGTCGTGGCCGCAATGAGCAAGCTTAAGATCTACCAAGCGGTGCTCACGGTTGCCGGAACACCAATAGTATTTGGCCTTGGAAGCTCCGGACAAATTAGTACAGATGCACTGGCTATTTACGGCGCCGTGGGAATCTCTGGTCTGGTCACCCTCACACTCGCCAGTTACTTTGCCTCCAATCTCGTCGGCCTCGTCTATGTAAACGAGGAGCAGAATCTGATAAAGCTGGCCTACGTGGACTTCTGGGGACGTCGAAAGGAGGCCCTCGTAGACACCGGGGATTTGCTGCCCAGCTGGGAGCAGGGTAGCCCATCCCGACTGAGATTCATTTCACCCATATGCCTGCGCAGCGACCCTAAAAAGCGATACAAACTGCTAAATCGTTTTGGCCAAGTTAGTGACCCGCAACTGTTTGAGGGTCTTTTTGGAGATTGATATATACAATAGTTTTATAAAGTTCTTCTGCCAGAGAAATCTATTTGATAATATCTGAATTAAAAGGCAATTGTATATTGTATAAATTACTGTATTTCGTATATTTATAAAATATCGATGGTCAATATTATCATTCAAATAAGAATTAGCTTTACAGAATTTGTATCTGCAAAGTTGTTATCGTTTCCCCAAAGCAATGGCCTCATCCACCTGAGGAGATGGAAAAGTTACATCAGGATTTTGTTGCTTTTAATGAGTACCTACCGTATCCGGCAGCTTACGATTGAAGGTTTCGGGCAGTAACAGCGATAAGAGTCCAGCTACCAGCGATAAGGTCCCGAATAGAAGGAGAGGTAGAGGTTCGTAGTATGAAGCCTGTCGGTGTTGTAAAATTGTAAAAATTAAAGAATTTGAAAACATTTGGAATATTTTCTATAACTTAAATCGGTAACGAGCAAATACCAGCTCAAACCTGAATAAAACATAAATCTTAAAACATCTTTGCTCAACAGTTTAAGCTTTCAAGGTATTTATAGCATTTATTATATGCACGTTTTGAGAATGTCTTAAGAATGCAAATGAAAGCTATTGAAAAGATCTTTTTAAGAATAGATCAATGACTCACCAAAAGGGGCACGAAAGGAGCTAGCATCGCCCCAAAGCGGGCAAAAGTGGACATAACACCGACGCCGCCACTTCGAATAACCTTAAAATAGGAAGCAACTAAAGCTATTGTATCGAATCTACCAAATGCTAGTCACCTACCGTTGGCATCATTTCCGCGGTGAAGGTGTAGATGACGGCAAAGGAAGATGTGATGCCCAGCTTTCCGATGAGAAAAAGTGTTACAACCAGCCAATTAGCACCTGTGAGATAGGATGGACGTTATAGAGGATGGGGAAGCGATATAATGGATAAGTGGAATAAGGTAGAACGACGTTGATCGCATTTTAAGGAACTTACAGCTCCAAGAGTGTATATCTTGAACTCCCGTCTTGCAGAGAATCTTATTTCCTTGCACTTAGTGTGAGGGCAGCATTTTAGATTAAAATTTAAATACTTCCAGAATATATTTGTTTAAAAACGTGTATTCAAAATTAATCACATTTAAACGTTTGTGTTTTAATTAAAAGGAGTTCATTAGGCAGCAAGTTCTTCATAAAATGTACACAAAAACCTCGATTTATCAAAGAAACTTCTAGCTGGTTTATGCGGCGTATGAGTACTATTTACACATTTAATATAACTCAATGAATGCAAAAATTATGTATTTGCAGTTTGTTGATTCATTCATTATGTACTTACCGAGGGTGACAAAACCACTGGCTACACACGTAATAGAGCATAGGAACAGCGAGCCGGAAAGGGCCAGACGTCGACCCAGCCTTCTAAGGAACAGCTATAGGCAAAGAAATGAGGTTGGGTTAGATTGGTTGGTCCCAGTTCCCGGCAAAGGCGGTTTGGAAACCTACCCAGGCGAGGCTGTAGCCAGGAATCTCCACCAGGCAGACCAGGGCGAAATTGAGATACTTGTTGCCACTTAAACTGGTCGCGTTCAACGAAAGTCCATAGTAAACGATGGCATTGACAGCCCAAATGAGCAGCAAAATGGCGTATCTGACTATTAATGTGTGAGAGCCAACTACCTGTTTGATGGCCAACCAGATCTTGTCATCCTTCCTTTCGACCAGGACACCTTCGTTCCCATGTTGCGGACTTGCTTCCGCCTCCAACTCCTGCTGCTTGAAGCTGGCCATCAACTCAATCGATATATCCCGCCGGTTGACCTTTGCCGCCCGACGGATGATGGAGCCTGCCTGCTCCCGCCGGTTACGGGCAAGCAACCATCGAACAGATTCCGGCACCATCCAAAAGTAGCCCACGCAGATGAGTGGTGGAATCGAGAGAGCCATCTGCAGTTGGCGCCAATCGGGTAGGAAAACAGACAGGCCAAGAAGGGCTTCACCCACTGCGTAGAAATAGTTGAGCACAATGGAGGACATCTCACGCTTTCTCGGTCCCACCATCTCTACCCCAATAATAAAGGCCAAGGGGTAAACGCCTGATGTGCCAACCGCATTCAATAGAGCGAAGACCAAGAAACTGACATAATCCCAGGACAGCGCCTGCGCCACTCCCGTCAACGCCATGAACACAATGCAGAACAGGAAGACGTGCTTTCGTCCATATCTGAAAAGTACTATATTCGGTAAGTTAATTCCAGAAGAAAACAATTTTATACTTACCGGTCGGCCAGGTATCCGGAAAGAGCTGTTCCCAATACCAAGCCAGCGAAGTGCATGGTGCCCACGAAAGCCAGTTTCCACAGATTCTCCTGGCATTGCAGTCCCCACTGCTGCAAAATGGTCCGCTCCGAACTGCCGTACACAAACAACCGGCATCGCTCTGTGTCCGCTGTGAAATCCTCAGCGGAGCATTCATCCAAAGGCCACGATCTCCTAGCTTCTGATTCGGTATCAGACTTGCTTACGTTCGACATGAACCTGTCGCATGTGGCCGGTGTGAAATGACCAAGTTTGCTCCAGCTACCGGGCTCGGCGATCGATACCCAATCTGCTCCATAGTCCGGGTCATCTGGATTATCGCACTCGGGCACATAGCATCGATAGGTTGGGGATCCTGCCGTGAAAACATACGAGAGGCTATTGGCTGCTGCGAAAAGAACCGGTAGACATATGAGCAGATAGTTTCGCCGCTGAAAGCGACCAAATTCTCCAATTTCGGTGAGGATGTCATCAAAGTCCAGGACAGTAGACGCCGCAGCTGCCGCCGGAACAGACATACCAAGAAAGTTTGGCTAGCGATTTGAAATCCACGGATTCTAAATCAGTAGACCTGCGATTACCCTAAGATGTTTAATTTTTTAATGTTTTAATATTGATTTTGCTTTTGTAAATATACAGTTAGTCAATAAAGTATTCGTTGCGAAGTACTACATGATAAAATGCATCTTTTTCTTAATGAAAGAGTAACAAATTGTTTAAGTTGTTTTAACATTCAAAATACATAGCACAAAATTAAAATAAGAGGAAACGCTATAGTCGAGTGCCGCGACTATAAGATACCCGTTACTGTTTTACAAAATTTTAAAATATTATTTTGCTAGTGGAAATTCACAAGGCGCCACCTATTGTCAGAGGGAGTATGTTGAGTATGCTTATAGTGACGTCACTGTCCATGTAAGGCCTTATAACCTTAATTTATTTATAAATAGCGAAATAATGTTCGGATTTGAAAAATCTTTGATAAATCGATAGATATTAACAGAAATAATTTATACAAGGTCAAACAAAGGCATTCATAATAACATTATAATCGCCACAGTTTTCCGCGGTTTGTGGGCGTTAGAGTGGGCATGGCCCGATGCAACTTCGTGGCAAGTTGCAGAGGCATCTCTTAAATACGTGTTCCCAAGCAAAGTTTTGTAGCTTTTATAGTTTTCGAGATTTTTGCATTTTTGGTTTTTCGAGTTTTGTGGGCGTTAGAGTGGGCGTGGCTTGATCGAAAAAACAATTCGCATTGGGAGCATCATAAAAACCTACATGCTTGATCCGAACTTTCTGTCTTTTATAGTTACCGAGATATCAGCTTTTCTAGAAAATCCGTCTTTTGAGCTGTAATAAACTTGCGCTGCCCCGGGACTTTAAGAATCTTCATGGTTAATCTCAACTTTGTATCTGTTATAGTTCCTGAGATCTCCGCGTTCATACGGACGGACAGACGGACATGGCTCAATCGACATCGCTATTACTCCTGATCTAGAATATAGATACTTTATAGGGTCGCAAACGCTTCCTTCTATCTGTTACATACTTTTCAACAAATCTAGTATACCCTTTTACTCTACGAGTAACGGGTATAAAAAAACGGGTCCTTTCGCTACGTTTTCATAGGAACACAGGAAAACTAAGAAATCTCACATCAAATACAGTCGGCAAAATACTAAAATGTAATATCTCAAATGAAAGATATACATTTCGAGAATATATTTTAAACATAAAATTAACAAGTTTTAACTTTAATACTACATAATTTCCTTAATATCACAAAAATTCATTTTTTTACGCACAAAAATTATTCGTACACTTTATAAAATGTTGAAAAAAAAACAACAATTTCAAAGATTTAAGGACTTTAATCTTTAGTGGGTCCTTCGTTGGCCTTAATGGAAGCTTGTAAACGTCGACACATGCTTTTTATAAAGTTGCTCGTCTCATCAGCATCAATTGAATCCCATTCAGGTATTAATGCGGTTTTTAAGGATTCCTTCGAGGATATGTTGTCCTTTTCTGTAGGATATCCCAAAAATGTTCAATGGGATTCAAATCTGGTGATTGTAGAGTCGGTTTTTGCTCCTTGCAGTGATATATAAGCCACTCTTGCACTAAATACGACAAATATTTCGGGTCGTTATCTTATTGAAATACGAAAGACGCTGGATTGCGTCCAAGTTTAAGGGCACTTGGAATTAAATTTTGGCCTAAAATGTCTTTATACATAAATTTATTAATTTGATCTTCCAAAAAAACCATTCGACCCACTCCACCTGCAGCTGTACACCCATAAAATTATTAATTTTTGATTTGTCAATAAATATAACGTTTTCCCAAAAAAATTCCGGCTTGCTTATATGCACTTTTGAGATCTCCAAACGCATTTTTTGTTATAATCAGAAATCGATGGGTTTTTACGAACAACTCTACCATGTATACCAGCATTGTGCAGAGTGTTCCGGATGGTTTTGGGAACAAAATTTTTTAAGGCTTCTCTAGGGTTTTAAGAATTGATGTAGATGGTATTCTGGGATTTTGTAATGGTGTATTTACAACTTTATGCCCCTCCCGTGGTGTCAATATTTGGTACCTTACAGATTTTCTATGTTCTACTGCAAATTTTCCAGTGATTACGTATTTTGTTTTTATATAACTTTGCATTCAGATATTACATTTTAATTTTCTCATTTGAGATATTACATTTTAATTTCCGTTACGTATTTCTCGAGATATTACTGTATGTATTCGTTTTTTTTTTTTTTTTTGACGTTAAGTATTGAGATTTTCTTTGGATTTAGTACTTTGTGTGTAAGTCGTTGTATTCCTTCAAAGCTTCCCGGCCTTTTAGCACCAATTCCACCAAATTGAAGTACGTTTTTCCGAAATATTCGACTTTTCCTCAAGTTATACCTTTTTGATATTCATTTTCCACGAAATTGTATCTTCCCGGAATTCGTGGATCCCCAAATTTAAGATGGGGTTGACCGGCTCTGCGGATGCGCTTGGACTTGTTTCGTGTTGTAATCCAGCCAAATCGGTTTCTAGACCTAATTAAGCAGCACTGGAATGGAGATTTTCCATTCAGTGTATTCAAATACATACAGCATTTATGTATTATTCCATATAAAAAATCATACATACAAATTTCTCACTCCTCGTCCTGAGTACAACCGAAAACTAGTACGAAACCGCCTCCATACTTCAACGTAGGTTTTATTAAATTTTCATTCGTCAGCAAATGTTAAATGTTCCCAGTATTCGTAATTCCGGTCTTAGTAGGTATTAGCAAAGGAAGGACTCCTTGATATGTTGAGGTCGAAATCAATGGTTTATTTTGTAATATTTTAATGTTGAATATGTTTTTGTAAATATATGTATGTATATCCTTATAGATCAAGATGAGAAATATAATTACCTAAATAAGTAAAGTTCAGAAAAGTCCACGATTTACTTTTTATAATATCTTTAAATCTTTCAAAACCCTGTCTGAAATGCATTATTGTAAGTCTCCGTTTATTTACAAGGTAGTCTAACAGATATTTTGGACACTCATTTTTTTGGCCCATGATGGCCTGGTCTATAACCATTTATACGATTTAAACCAGCATAAATAAACGATGAATTGCCTGTTTCATCTTACTAATTAAAGAAAATAATCATCATTCATTGTGAATAGTTCCTATAAAATGTACTTGCATGCATGCAAACCAATCTTTGTCAATTGAGATAAATTGTGGCATGTCAGTTGTCTTGAAAATCGGAGAGTGTTGTAATTGGAATATGTAAGTGTCCCAAGTTTGCATTAGTTGACGACTGGAGGAGATGCATGATAAATGCGTGTCAGTTAAAAAAAAATACATAATGGATGAACCGTGTGGGAATGGCCCACAAGTAATCTAGTCGGGGACTTTCTTGGGCCTACCGACTGTAAACGATTATCCTATCCCGTAAACTTAGCAAGGGTCAGGGTCATAGTGGCTTCTATTATTGGTGGGAACCTCTGCAGGCTGCTGAAATACGTTGGCCGAGTGTCCAGATAAGACTGCTACCATTATCTAATCATTGCAAATTTTAATGATGCACTTAATGCTTGTTATTTTTTGCACTGGCTCACCAGACCGGATAATTACCGGAGAATCACTTGATAAACACTTGGCAGGTGTCTTCGGAATAATTAATTCACTAAGTTTTACGCGCCTTTTCAAATTGATATCCGGGTACGGCAAGAAGCTCCGTGTTCCGTTTCCGTTCCGAATCGCGCAAAGTCTGGCGAAATACTGAATCGTCTTGAAAAAGAACATGCACTCGCACACAGAGAGGAATACACAATTGCTACATTGCTATCTTCGTGCTCAATCTAAAATCAAAGTGGCCGGCATTAAAATCAATAACAAGAGAATAGTGCTAGGGTGTGAGAGTTTTCGATTCACTTTCTCTCGAAATTTGCTAAGAGAATCTCAAGCTGATCTCAAATATCTTAGCGCTTTCAGTGCACAATAAATGTTACGTATATTTACACATACACACATTTACTTTGTGCTCTAAGTATTCTCTAATTCTGGTGTAATACTAACACGATATACCATATATAAAGTGGAGTTATATTTTATAGGGAAAACCTTTTAAAGTAATATGTATTACACATTGGATTAGTTATGAGAAACAAAAAATAAATTTATTAGTTTACCGAGTATACACAGTATCAAATCATAGATGATTTAAAGATCTCCAGGCAGATTTACTTCTTCAGCTTGACGAACTTTGAGGCGAACTCGTATACACCCACGGAGTTGTTGTTCTTTTGGTCGTACTCCACCCAGTCATCCTCAGAAAGATCAACTTCCTCAAAAAATTGTCCATTTTCTGAGGAATGGACACACCATCCGACACGTGGCGAGAAATCCACAGGCTCTACGCCACGGCACTCAAAAATCACGATGGTCTTAAATGCGCCCGAATCGTCCGCCGTGTAAGAAGCTGTGTGTTTAAAATAATTTAGAAGCTCTGATTAGAATTGAGGATCTAGGTGAAACCTACCATTCGACTTCTCCACGATGTCAATGCTGTTTTCTCGACTGCACATTTTGCACTTCATAAAAAAGTTAAAGCCGGCCGCATTGCGAGAATCCTGTTGCACACGCTCCGATTCGGTGATATCGTGCCATTTGTCCGACTGTTCTCCGCAGTTGCTGCATTTTAGTTTTAGGAAGTAGGGGTAGTCCGGATGAGTGGTCTCTAGTTTCTCCACGTTCTCCAATGTGGCGGATATCTGAAGGCCCACACGCACCATTTCTTTAAAATTGAATATTTATATGTTTGTTATTAGACGAAATCAGCTGTTGGTAGTGTTGCCATATTTTATGGTTTCGTGGTTGTCATTGCAGTGGCAACGTCGTTGATGACTGGAGGTTTATCAGCACAAAGCGTAGATAAACTTAAATAAAAAACATATAAACATGGATCTCAACATGAAACCTTCTCTAGCTGCCGACGAAATGTTTTCCGAAGGTCCTGGCTATATGGAAATGGACGAGGTAAGTCTTTCGAAAAGCTCTCTCTCTCACTTGCAAAAAGGTTCAGATTATCCTTTTATATCCCCACGGAAAGTACTTTATTTCGATAAATATTATTTTTAAAATAATTATACATATCTTCTTTATCATAATCACTTAGCGAGTTGACATGGACTGTCGATTTGTCTGTTCTTACACGAATTATTCTAACATAGTTTAAACTTTTGCTACCTATATCAAAAATAGTTTGTCAAATTCTTAAAGTATATGTACATATGTATTTCTCCTGTAGAAGCAAGCTGCATTCTAGAAATAACCTCATTTTCTTAAATTTTATCCTTTCAGTCCGGCGGAGCTACAGGAATGATGATGGATCACCTGCCCTCAAACGATAAGCACGTTCACGCCGACTTTTATAATGATTTTGATGATTTGTTCGACGATGATAACTGGGCCAAGATGAAACCCGATTCCAAACAGTAGATTTACACAGGATCGACCAAAACATATTGAGCAGATTGAAAATTCAATGTCTGTAGTTCGTTCTTCTGTCTGTAATTTTACTTGCACAATCATCAGCGACTGGTGTATAAAAAATTGATTCAACTATTGTTTAATCGCTATATAATATTCATTTGGTTCGTATAACTAACGTAAATTGCCATGTGAAGATAATGCCGAGGTGGTTTTGAACTTTGGCGTAGCGTAAAATCAACAAAATGCATAATTTTGTACAGAAAACGAAACTAGTAACTAAATTTACGATATCGAACTGAGTTGCAGGTGGAATGAAGCAATCATAATTAAGATAAATACAAATTTACACAATAACTTAGTGGATCCATTGAGTGTGTTAACCAAGTTCTACGCCTAGGCCAAAGCTATCCGTCTAACGGGGTGCCCAGGTAAACCATCGACACCTCAGTGTTGCCGTAGACAGCGGATACTGTGGGATAGAGCTTCTTGTCGGGTAGACCTGAAAATTGAGGTGATAGAAGTAAGCTAGCAGTTTCGATTGATAGTAAACAATGTTGCTTCACCTCGAAAGGCCACGCCCAGGAACTCATAGTTCTTCTCGAACGACAAGGTGTTGTCCTCGCAGTCGAGAATGACGCGTATACGCTCGCCCACCTGGTACTTAGGTGCATTGTTCAATAGCGGGTAGCTGCCTTGCATGTCCCCGTTATGCAGCAAGTGGTTTTCGACCAGGTTCCATCCCCAGCTCTGGTCGTCAGAGCCGAGTAGGGCAACATAGCCGTGGCACTGCAGCGCCGCCTCCTTGGTGGATATTCCGATAACGGCCACTGTGCCCAGTGGTCCCTCCCAGATTACCTCCCAAGTGTGCCGTCCGTGGCGAAACCCGATCTTGCCCCGTGCAGCATCTGTGCTCTGCGCCACAGGATTGCTGTCGAAATAGAGAAATATATGTGACGGCAATAATGCTATTTAAAAAAATTAGAAAAGCTTACCGATGCAGGGTAAATCCATTAGGTTTAATGTACACATTCCTCGAGCAGTCGTTGGGGCTCCAGGCGTGGAAGTACGCCCGCAGCTTTGTCTTGTAAGTAGATACGGAGGACAGCAAATCTGACTTAAGTGCCTCCTTCGGCAACTTGTTCAGGCAGTGCCAGCGCCATACATCGCTGTTCTCATCGTTGAGGAAGTGGTACCAACTTTTGCACACCTGCGAGCAGTGGCTTAGGTCGTCCAGCTCTAGGTAGGAGAAGATCACCTCTAGCACATTGTAGTTGCACAATGCCGCCACCGGGTCGACCATTGTGTGCGTCTGCTCCTCTGATGGGGACTTGTTAAATAGCTTAGCTGATTTCCTCGTTCCTTTTGTTTGTCATTTTAACACACCAACCAATAATAAAAATAAAATTCAGGGAATTTGCTATTCGACTTAGCAGTGTGGCCGTTTACGGTCAACCAGTGAAATACCACTCACTTGGACAAAGTGGCCACTTTGTTTACATTCGTGACCAGTGTACTGAAACGTTAGGCGGGCAGCCAGCTGCTTCCAACACTGCGTAAATTGATGCGTAAATTGGCGCGCACTGTCTGCCATTTCATTCGCACCCGCACACAGCCTGCTTTGCCTTTCCCACATGAAAACGAAAAGCAGTCACTTGGTGGAAATTTTGTGACCATTGTGCTGTGCTTCAAAAACGTTTAATTTCGCGTAACCACATACCGTTTGAAAGCCAAGAGTCCGACGAATCTTTTGCTTCCATCCGTGCGAAAATCGGGAAGTTGGAAGTACGCGAAAAAGCCCACCGAAAAAGGGCCGCCGCTGTGAGTGTGTGTGACCAGAAGAGAAAAAAATGCCCTGCCGCTGGAAGTGAAAAATGCGCTCGCCATTTTGACTCGGGCGACAATTTTTGTACAAGTGCTCTGCCCGTCGTCGTAGTAGTCGTTGTTGTGGTCCGCATCCGGATTTGCACACGTGCCGCAGTCCGTGGGTGCAATTCGTCCACCCACCCAAACCAGCCGTTGTCCCGTTTCCATTTTCCTTCATACACACGTTGCGGCTACGGCACGTAGCACTGCTGTTACATTTTGTTTTTGGCGGTCCATCCAGGTGAGGCGGTAAGCGGTAACAACAACAAAAACAATTGGTCTCCGGCTGCCTCCATCACAAAAAAAATGGCGCATTCGACGGGCGGAACAGTGAAGGCCGATGAGGTGAACTTCTTTTTTCGGGACGAGCATGGTAAGTGGGCGGAATCCTGTGGCAGGATTTAACTAGCATGGGAGTGGGTGCACTCCCTCCTGCACACTTACACACACACATAAATACCCATACGACACACTCACTCACTACAAAGTTGCATGGGCAGCGTAAAACGCCATCTTTGCTTTTTCGGGTTTCTTTTGCCTACCATATTCATCGTTTGATACACTTTGCGGGGGGAGATCAGCAAGACGAACCAAAAAGAGTGCTAGGAATTGGCAAAAAGTAATAATAAAAGACAGAGAGACCCCCGCGAAATTACAACTAAAATCGGTGAGCCACCCAACCCCGCCTCCACTTCTGCACGCCCAGCGCCCAGTTGGCGCGCTCGCTCACACACACACATGCACGCGCGCATTTTCTCCCACTTCTTTTTTTTATCGGACAGCGAACAGCTGATTACTTCGCCGCTGTTGCGAATTCGCCTAGAGGATTTCGCATGAAGCAGAGAGCTAGTGATAAATCGTTTATTTGAGCTACTTATTATTGCAAGAAACAACAATAAATACAATTTCGAACAAAAGTATCAGAACTGGAAATTGGAGAGAAAGAGAGAGAGCGTTGGGTGAGAGAAAATATACCAAAACAAGAACAACTCTGCCACACACACATCTATGCAGCCACGAATCTGAGGCTCAAAACAGGCGAGCGCGAATAGATGTAAGCGCTTGTACACGTGTGTGGTTGTACGTCGCAGCGTTTATGCGATATTTCATTGCGAATATCCAAATAATTTACCAAAATGTCTTATTTATGGCATCCAACAAATATAGTGAGACGGTTTATTATACAGAAAAACTATCACGAAACGCTGAGTTGCCCTAATTATAATATTTGTATAAACTGAGGTGTCTTAAGAACTAGAAAAAGGTTTAAACAGAATACGTTTAGATAATTCACTGTATATCGGTTAAACACATTTTTAAAGACATAAAAACATAAGTTCTTGAAGAAATATTTAAAACTGCTAAATGTTAAATTTTGATAAATAATTAATAATTTTCATCGGGATTATAAAGTATTTTCTTTTGGAAGTTACTAGAAAATGAAAAAAAAAATTTTCTGAGCTTAAATAATTAATTTAATTAAATTTTCGTTAAATTTTATGCACGCATAAACACAGTGTATAGAGGTTTTGCTGCCCGCTCAAATTAGCGACGGACCGGGTTAGTGTTAAACTACTAGTTGACTGGTGGGCGATAAGCTATGGAATTGTCAATTGCTTGGGGTATTGGTTCAATTGCATTTTGGGATAATGCCTAGAAGTCCTGGTATCACTCCTGCAGAATCCAAGACCCCTAGGGCCACCATCTAGCTGGACAGTCAGGTATTTGCCCGTATTCGACGCTGCTTAAGCCTACGCGATTCTGAGTCATTTGCAGGTGTTCGTGCTCTAAGGTACGAAAGAGTAGGTAGATATTGTTAGCATTTGACCCTTTGCTGTTTTTTTGGGCTCTTCATCTCTGTTCTTCTTCGTCCACCTGCTTCGTTGTTATGATTATGCAAATATTGGGCAGGTGAATATTTACATCGACTTTACATGTTTAATTTAAAGGTTTAGAAAAGCCGGTTATAAACCAGGGGTTCCAAACGATTCGCTAATATTAACATCTGTTTGAAAGTTTTTGATGCGGTATCTCATGTGCTGCTGTTGTTTATTTATGTTTAGTTTCAAAATAATCATATGTAAGTAAAACCACCGCCGAAGTAAGTGTACTCTAATATTTAAAATATCCCTTTGTCCATATCGGTAGATTTGTGGATATACCAGTACACTTCCATGAAGTAGTTTTTTACATCGAATTGTAATCAATGTTATTGCTTTAAATTAATTAGATTTTCTTTTAATTTTTAAAAACATTACAAAATATTTACATACGATACTCAATATTATTTTTGATAAGTCTATTCAATAGATTACCGGTTCTTACAAAGAGTCGTGCAGAGTCACGAACTTTAATATCGAACCGTCTCTATTTGATTAAGGTTCACCTTCGGTCACGTGCTGCCCATCTCTAATGTCCAGGCGATCTGGTTTCGGGTTGTTAGTGGTTGTTCATCTTTATCCTTGTCACTCCGATTTATATATACAGATACACCACCGTCGTATGAGTTCTGGTACCTGTGTGTGGAGGCACCCCAATCTTCTGTGTCGCTTGCTTATTGTTGTTGCATTCATACTCCAGTGCACTTCATTCGCTCCATTCTCTTCACTTGGCTTAATTCGCCGGACGGCGAATACAACGCATCGTTGATAGTACCACACACACACACACACACACCTTTACTCACTAATACCCTCATAGGCATGTGTATCTGTGAAAATACATGCAGTTGTGTTATCAAAGAAGGCAATTCAGTCGCGTGTTATATGTATATCCGAAACTAAGGAACATTCGCATCCGTATTTACCATTCTGCAGGACAAATAGCTAAGATGCTGAAGCCGGCCCAAAGCAAGTCCGAAATGGAAGGCGGAAAACCCGTGTCCGTAGTTTACTCCACCGGCTCATCGGCGCGCAACAGCGGAAATGCTAGCGGCATCGGCAACGTGGGACGCATGGGCGCTTTTAGTCAGATGGTGAGTCCAAAACGTGGCCCCTAACTAATCAGTAGCTAATGCCTAAAAATCCGGTTAACATATAGGGATCCAGCAATCAGGGACAGTTCATACGGCTGCAGGACAACGGTATGTCCATTCCAAAATCAGAAGGTTAGTTTTTACAAGCTAAGGAGTTCTTCCTTCATATATTTCTTACAATAATCCATTGTCTGTCCTATCAGTAGGTTCTACCTACACCACTGTTTCGGCGCAAAAGACTTCAGGCACAAGTACTGGCCTATTTGACTTGCCGGCAAAAGGGGAACGGTACGTAAAGTTTACGACCAATCCCATGAAGATGAAATCAAAACTGTAAGTAGTCAATTCAAGAGTTCCTTTAAAGATTCTGACTCCTTGATTATTTCCAAATACAGTCATGCCATTCAGAGCAATTCCTTGCAATCCATTTCCGCCTCCTCATCGTCCGTACAAAGAAAACGCAAGCCGGACAAGGCGGGCAAGGGATTGCGTCACTTCTCGATGAAGGTCTGCGAAAAGGTGGAGGAGAAGGGCAAGACCACCTACAATGAGGTGGCCGACGACTTGGTCAGCGAGGAGATGAAGAACAATGCGTACGACAACAACTGTGATCAAAAGAATATCCGACGTCGTGTCTATGATGCGCTCAATGTACTAATGGCAATCAATGTTATCTCCAAGGATAAGAAGGAGATTCGTTGGATAGGACTTCCCGCCAATTCAGCTGAGGTTGGGAGTAAAATTGATCAGACACCATCAACTAACATGCTAATGAATTAATGTTACTTTTTTACCACAGCAATTTCTGGCCCTGGAGGAAGAAAACAGTCTGCGCCGCGAGCGTATCAAACAGAAAAAAGAAATGCTGCGCGAAATGATCAATCAGCATGTGGCGTTCAAGGGATTGGTCGAGCGGAACAAGCGAAACGAGAGCCAGGGCGTGGTGCCTTCCCCCAACGCCTCGATCCAGCTGCCTTTCATCATTGTGAACACGCACAAGTCCACCAAAATCAACTGCAGTGTGACCAACGACAAGTAAGCCTACTTTCAGTTATTTCATAAACATGATCTCTAATTCCAGTTATCTGGTACAGGTCCGAATACATATTCAAGTTCGACCAGGCCTTCGAAATGCACGATGACATTGAGGTACTGAAAAACATGGGCTTCCTCATGGGTTTGGATAAGGGCGAATGTACGCCGGAGAACATTGAACGAGTTAAGTCCCGGGTTCCACCAAACCTTGCCAAATTCGTGGAAGGTATGTCTTTTTAAACAATGTTTCAATTATCTTTTATAAATTTCAATTTATATAGCCTACGGAACTGGCAAAACTGGTGAAACTATGTACGAATCGGACGACGAGGACAATGAGTTCAACGGGTACCTGGAGTCAGGCAATGAGTCCCAGGGCTTTGCACAACACTCGGCACAACACACCACCGACGGCGAGTATAAGCTGGAGTTGGATGATGACGAGCTGGACGACGACATTGATTGAGTTGACGGTGCCGCCGACATTGCGCCAGCCATGGCCGATGCGGACGCGGATGCGGAAGGAGGAGATGTTGATGCGGAGGATACATTTAGTTTTACGTTTATCAACGCTTTGTTAGGTTTGCCACGCCCCTCTGTTTAGGCAAGAGCCCACTCCAATCCACACCCATTCCGACCCACCCACACAATTGGTTTTGTTTACCTCTTAATGAGACTCTATTAAATTATATATCTCGTAGCGACGAGAAAGAAAGATTCGGTAGTTCATGTATGTACGTTTAGTTCGCATACACAGTTTGTACTTGTATCATTGAAGATTTATGTTTAAGCTCAAACGTTTTTAAAATAATTTGTCTAGTTAAGCAGAACGCGTATTTTAGTTCAAACCATATTTCACATATGGCAATCCCGCAAAACCACAGGCCCAAGCTAATGTTTACTCTCTTCTTAGTTGTTATGAGTCTCCCTTATCCTCAATTGCCTTTTCATGTTTGGGTAGGCATAAGTGAAAGCGATAATGTTATGGGTAAATAATTGTCTCTTAATAATATAATATACCAAAATTGTACACATAACAGCAATGAAATGCAATTATTTTTAGAAATGCCACGAGCAGTTTGAACTGCAGACAAGAACGAACATATGTAATATGTTTAATTTGCTTAAACCCCTTGATAAAACGATTGTTTTAATTTCTCAAACCCCACATTTTAAAATGACAACGGAGAGCAGATAATTGCGTAATAATCAACCTACCTAATTAGTAATAACAATTAAAACAAGATATACATTTTCAGAATTTGTATTTATATTATTGAACCTTCTTCAAGTGAATACAAAAGCATACAAATACAAATTAGTAGAAATCAAGTATAAGGCGTTAACAATTAAGTGTCGAGCATGTAGTTGTGTAATAAATCGAAATAATTGATTGCGTGGATGCAAAGGAAATTACAAATGAGTAAGACGAAATCGAACCGAGTGACAAGTTAATAAAGAAGTAATTGCATATTGTAAAATATGATAAACCGAGAATCGCACCCTTTTTTCCCTCAATTTATTTATTTGCACACGTTTCAGATAGCGAACAACCTTTAGGCAAACTGAGAAGAACCGCGACCTGCGCTCCAAGGAAATACCCAGAAAAAATGCGTCTCGAAGCCACGGCATATGGTTAATGTTTACTTTCATTGGGATCGCTGAATAATTAACATTTACAACTAAATGGAAATTTACAAAAGGCGGAAGCTAACTTAAAATACAGGGACGTACATTTAACAGAAGCAGAACCGAACCTAACTAAAAGTAAAGATATAATTCCCAGAGGAGTTGGCCAGCTCAGGCGAATCCCTCGCCCAGGACAGCTGCCGTCGTTGATGGCGGGCCAAGAGGTACCTGTTGCTGGGCGGCCAAGTTGAAGTCGTAGTTCATTTGCTGCTCCAACGGCGGGGAAGCAAATGCTCCCGCTGACAAATCCATCAATTCAGGCTGTGGCTGGACTGGTTTCAACTGATCCTGCTGAATCTCCTGACGCATTTGCTGAGGCGACTTAACATAGCTTATTGGAATGATGCCAGAGGTCTGACCGTTTGTGGTGGCCAGGGCCCAACCAGTGTTAAGCAGATTCAGTGTTTGTTGAATGTCGCGTGGGGCAACATGGAGCGTTTGTCCGGCGCGCAGCGAAAGCTCGCTCTGGCTTCTTCCAACAAAGTCGTAAACGGCCTGGGTCTGAATGGGTCCCGTCCACTTAGCTGGATTACGGGCTGAGCGGGATGAAAAACACATGCGTTACTCGCGGTCTTATCTTAAAAGGCCTTATCGGCCAGATTATACCACATGGACGGAGCAAAGTGCTCTCGATTAGATAAACTGGGCTGTGCAATGTGCAAGGCTTACCTTCCTCCTGGGCGGTGTTCGTTACGGTGCCCAACAGCTTCATGATCAGGTAGGGAGCGGTAAAGATGAAGCTGATGAAGGCCAGCACCGGCCAAGGTGAGTTGCCCTTTCGCGGTGCATGAGGGGCTCCTCCCGCCTGGGGATTGTTATCGTTAAGGGCTTCAGCAAAGGCCTTCTTAAAGGCTTCTGAAGAAGGGTCAAGATTAGATAGTTTTAGCCAAAAGAGAATCCTTTAAATATGTATGTTAATATAGTTAATTGAACTCTTTTACACCGGACTCACTTCCTATATATCCAGTTCAGACCCCTAAAAATGGCAAACGTAGTCCAGAACTGGGCAAACACACTTCGCAGCCGTCCAAAGTTCGCCGCCACGCCAAGAATGGCCCGGAACGAGCTGGTCAGGGCAAAGAATGTGGAGTCCAGCATGGAGGCAATGTTGCCGATGGCAGACACCAAGGATTCGATGCTCTGGAAAGCTGGACGCGAACTTGCCTCGGCCATCTGAATGAAACGCTGCTCTGGGTCGTTGGCTCCGAATCTGTTGTATCCTCCACCAAAGCCTCCGCCGTAACCACCTCCATAACCATAGCCGCTTCCAAATCCGCCCATGCCACCGTATCCAAAGGCCCCACTGTTAAATCCACCGAAACCTCCAAGTCCGTAGTTATTTCCTCCGTATCCACCGCCGAATCCTCCAAACTGTTGTGTCTGCTGGAATGGTGACTGTGGCAGTGGTGGAGGCTGCGCCGGACCGGGCAATGCCCTAACATTTCCGTACGGGGTGCGCAGCACTGCCTCGGGCGGAGATCCACCGCTGGATACGCCTACTCCAATGCTGCTAGAAGGCGGAAGAAGAGGCGCCTCGTTTATCACCGCAGTTCGCAGGTTGTTATTGTCGACCATGGCGACGTATTCCGACTAACTTCTGACAAAAGGAAAAACTGCTGTGAACTTTACCCCACGGCACTGCAGTTGTTTTTGTACTCTCAGCCTTGGCACTCGATTGTCGACTTTTCGCTGCGAAATGAGCAGGCGGTATGAGTCCGCTTCGTGCGGATCGTTTGTTGTTATTGCTTCAGAGTCCCAGCAGAAGCTTATCAATGAATTCTGGCAAAATTTTTGTTTAATAATTAATCAATTTCAGCAGTTGTAGCGTTTTGACTATTTTCAGCTGGTTTTAGCGGGAATTGGCTACAAGTTTATAACTAGAGATGGGACTTAAGGAGAGTAGCCAGATGAGGTAAATATTTAACAAGTTTGAGTTGAGGGTAAAAAGTTGGAATTTTCCATTGTTTTTGTTTATAAATTACGTAGAGTTTTACGTTGATAAATAAACAATAAATTTGTTGTTAAAATTTTTGAGCACAGTAGAAAAGGAAAAAAATGGTATAATATCTTAATACGAGAGGTCATCTCTCAAACCATGGCACACATGACCAACTCCGATATGAACAACAGCTGGTGAACCAGTTGGGTACAATATGAGTTTTGATGCCGATTGTGATGAGTTTATTCAAAACAAACTATTTCGCACCAGGGGGAAATGTGGTAAATTATTAATAAGATCATCCCAATGCACAGAATAATTCTTATTTATACACAGCAATATATGCGTGTCAATCGGATATTTACGTTGCGGTGAAGCAAAAGCCCACTTTCCGAGCCACTGCATCCACTATGGACATGGCAGAGAGCAACAACAACAATGTGGTGAACATGCGACATGACATCTGGTTTCACATATCCATGCACATTGAACCGGAGGACGTCCAGACATTTGCCTTGATATGTAAACAAACCGCCAGGCTAGTGGCTTCACGAGCCTTCTGGCGTAATCTTTACCGGCGCTACTGCACCGGAGCTACCTCCGGTTGGAATCTGGATCTGCCCGCCCACCTGCAACTGGAGCAGATACGAAACTGTGATATCCAGGCCATAAGATCCCTCGTCATTGAGGCGCTCTTCCACTGCCACCGTCCGCTGAAGACTCGCTTGGAGCTGGGCTATAACCTGGACTGGTTGGTGCAGCGGATATTTTTGTCCTGCTGGCAGACACAGTACCAGTGCCTCTGGATCATGTGCTACAAGTTCTGCAACCGACAGCCGGTCGTCCAGAACGAATTGGAGATGGACTCCGGAGAAGTAGTTAATGATTGGGAATCCCTGGCGGAGGATGATAAGGGAAATTTAATTCCTACCTTAAGAAATCCTAATGAAGGGGTAGTTCTACTGATTGTACTTTGCCGCCACTTTGTGCCCACTCCAAATCAGTTAGCCTACAGCCACCAGGAGGCACGTTACCGTCTGCGGGCCACCCGGGAACTTCTCTGCACCGACATGCGAGCTAAGAACCTGGAGTTGGATTTCGCTGAAGATGGCTGTCAAAACGTATCTGTAACCGTAAAATACGCTCGCATCGAAAAATACAAAGTTTTGCCATGGTGGCATCCGGACTTTCAGAGATTCGTAAAATAAACCTAGTTAGTTGATTTCTACAACATGGTTTTTCTTATCTACGTTATTGTGGTGTTCGCACCTTATCTTAAGTGCTACCGCCCAGAGCAAGTGTTCAACATTGTAAACAGTCGTCTAGCATTGATCGTTTTTATTCAAACGGACTCTGGAGTTACACACATTTGGAGAAAAATCACATTTGCATACCTAAAAAATAAAACAATCAGGTGCATCGTCGTTGTAAAAAAGCGATTATGTATAGGGCTACAACTGGAAGAAGATTGTTCATATATATACACACACTTTAAACTTAAACATAATTCTAGGTGCCACGAATACGAAACATGCAAGAGGTGGTCGTAGTAAATTCCGTTTCTCGGTGTTCGGTGTCTTTTTTGTTTATGAATTAGTGGAATCATTTCCGAGGGATTATCCTACACCTTGCCCAGAATGTCGTGGCCATAGGGCTTCTTGCGATAACCCTTGAAGGCGAACAGTTTAAATGCCAGAACCATCATCACGATGCAGAAGGCGTACAGCAGCATGCCCATTCGCATGTCGATGTCGGTGAAGACGCTGGAGATCTGACGTTTCTGCCGCATCTTATCGGCAGTGGGATGGAGCAGCTCCTCTCGCTGCACACCGTATCGACTGATGAACTGCGGATTATATATATTTTTGAGGAAGCCCAACACAGCATCCTTGTTCCACTCGATCTCCAAATTCTCCGACTTGGTTCCAGGCGACCGGTAACATTCGCTGCAGCTATCCGGGGAGGGGAACTGTTTCTTTGGGAACTCTGGATCTTCAGTGGCATCACCAGCAAGTCGCTGGTTCACCTCATTGTGGGCTGCCCATAGCCAGAGAACAGCCTCCTCCTTGTTTGGCACACTCCAGATTTTTCTCCTCGATGCCATTGCCTTTGAATAGTAAATAAAAAAAATTACTTAATATATGTATGAACGTCACGAAAACAACTGTTGAAACAGCTGCCGTACGGAAACCTAGTTAATTACAGTGGTAACTCGAGGGAAACCCCAGTTAATAGTTAGTTTTTTAGAATAAGAGACTAGTCATCGTATTTAATCAACGAACATTTCAAAGGGCTATATTTTACCAAAAGGCACTAAACTGCAATTCTTCATTATTCTACCTAAATTACGGCTTTGACTTTGAGTGACCTCGCAGTGAAAATAGTATTACTTTAATTTAGAAGTTGTTGGGCTTTGATAGATTAACTAGACTGTTAGACCCAATAAAGAAAGTTTTTAATAGTATCGTCAACTATAACTTCAGGTAGTTTACTGGAGTACGCCCTTGAAGTCTACGAACTCGTATACCTTGTAACAAGGCTTTAGAGAAAGTTAGTTTATGACTCACGGATTATAAATAACAAATAAAATCTCGCTTCAAAGCTTGAGCAGAAAAAACTAACAACAAATAACAAAGTGACTATATCGTGGGTATTCAATTAGTACATTATACAAGCCGAGTACGTGTAGAAAAATTAATTATAGTAAAACACCAAAGAACACTCAATTTTCAGAGCTGCTGATTCGAAAATTAAATTTTTGTACAAACGCAGCATTAAAGTACAGACCATTGCTGCTGTTTTAATGGTATTATTTTGGCGGTAAATTAGTTTTTTTTTGGTAAAAGAACAAAATCGAATTTGCATGCACGGAAAATTCCGGCAGTCGCAGTCAAGTCTTTTGTTTGGTAATCAACTATCCTCCCCCCATAACGACCGCCTTCCTAATCAGCACTATTGTGGTCATTGGCACGTAGCTTTCCGTCTGCTGACTCACCTGAAAGTGCTCGGAGCACTCTGTACATCCAAAGAAGTTCTTGATGTAGCCATGCATGGCCTGCAGGACTTCCAATGGATCCTGGGAATCCTCGTTGTTTGCCGCTTGGATAGTCATGAAATGGAACAGTGTCCACAGGGAACAGCTGAAGCCGCGCAGGCGAGGACTCGATCCAGCACATCCCACAAAATGAGTGGAGGAATAAACGGGCGACAATTGGGCTTCCATACGCTTTACCTCTTCTTCGAACTGACTACCCTTCAGTTCACTATGAAACTGCACCACGTAGTCCTTAAGTTGTGACACCAAATGGTGCCCATTAGAGCCCAGAGGATTGTAACGCTGTAGCACCACCAGGAACCGCTGAAGAGCGAGCAGTTTCTCACCGCTAATATCGCTCACCTTGGACACCTCATTGTGCAGTATTGTGCGAATAGCCTGCTCGAGATCGGCCTGGTAGATGAAGTGCTTATTTCGATGAACTTCCTTGATCAGTTCGCTTTGTCCCGCGATATTAACTGGCGTAGTTGGCTGTTGATGTTGCTTCACTGGCCTGGGAGTTATGTTCTTTTTTCCTAGAATTTCTTCCAGCTTTTTCGCATAGGATTCTCCGTTGGCATATTCTGGTGAGTATGTCGTAATTTCTCCCTTGCGATTAACTACACTGAGAGGTGAATTGGCAGGATCAATCTTAAACTTAGCAGCGACCGCAGGGTCGATGACACGGCGGACCTCCACCGCTGGCCATGGGGTCATAAATAGTGCCACCTCAATGCCTAAAGTGGTGTTTTCCGGCTCGTGGACAACTGCCACGTACTGCCTGGCGCTGCTGAGACCTTCGAACACACTGCTGGCGGAATCATTTTCCGTTAAGTAGTGGAGATTTGGCCAGTAAGAGTTGTTTTGGTTACTAGTTAGATTCTCTGCGGCCACCATGCCCGCCAGTAGTTCACGAATCTCGTTCACATCCTGCGACATTACATTCAGCCCGTAGTGCTGGTCACTCGGTTGGAAACCCGGACCCAGATAACGGAGCGTGGGATAGCCCATCACTTCGTAGTTACGGCAAATGCCGTTGTTCTCTTCGGCGGCACAATCGATTGCCGCTACGATGAGTACCTCGGACCAGGGTAACAAGTGTTCCGCTACCTTTTTGTAGGTGGGCGCAAATCTGCGGCAATGACCGCAGTATGTGTTGTAAAACTCGACAAGAGCACCGCGATTTTGGTCCACCACGGTAGCATTGAAGTTGTTTACCGTCAGGCGGATCACCTTGTCCGTGTCGTCATAGAGACCCAAGGTGGGATCCGCCGGAGCGGATTGCTGCTTGAGGAGCGCCTCGTATCGCGGAAGAGGAACGCCCGCAAACGCGTAGCTGGCTAGTAGGCCAACTGCCAGAAACACCAGGTGCGCCACTGACATTTTACGGATTTTCCGAATTTGTGTTAGCGGTTGCGATTCGTACGGAATGCGATGTGCGACTGCTGCGATAAGATTTAACTTCAGCGGAGCATTTGGAATGTATTTACGGTCGCAAATGGTTTGATTAGGTGCTGCACTCTATCTAGAGATGAAAGCGTGACTGCTACAAGCACGAACAAGTGCCGTTAGATTCAAGAGACCTAAATAAATATTAAATTATGAATTTTCATGAAATTTTTATGTTTCTTTTAACATTCCAAAATAAACCATAAAAAATATGTTATAGAGCCATGCACGAGTTGAAATTTGTTAAGCGTTAACTTAACGGTAAAACAATAAAAACTCATGATAATTTTTGGCTCTAAAAGACTGTAATCAGGTCGAACTAGTTTGTTCACATCGGAACTAGTATTAGTTAACGGATTTTAAGAGGTACAAACCGAAACCAAACGTAAACCGAAATTGAATATACTTGATTTCTTTATTTTATGAATTTTAATGAAAATTTCTTAGTTTGAGAAAAACAATAAAACAAAAGGAGAAGAAAGAAGACATTCAATGCAATATCCATTATTGTGCTTTATATCATAAAACGTTTTTTATTTAAAATAAAAAAAGTTCTTGATTTCTTACAGTATTAAAAGAAATTGTTGAGTCCGAACAATATCAAGAAATAAACCTTATGTCTCGATGACGCGGTATAACTGCGCCTTATCAGAATTGTATGAGTTATATTTATAATGAAAAATACATTATCAAGTCTCCGTTCTTCTCAAGAAATAATTGCACTACAACTTGGAATAAATAATTAATATAGGCACGGAAGTTAGTAATTAAACTTAAGAACTACTTGGAACAATTAAATTAACATAAAAAAATAAGTTGTATAAACTATATAAATAAGATATAATTAGCATAAATAATTTTATTACATCATTTTAGTTGTTGTTCTTTATATTTTATTTTTATTCACATACATATTTTAAACTTCCGTTGATTAGATCCAATTTAAACTTTTACTGGTTCATTTTCCTAACAGTTTACGTGTTTAACATTTTATTACCGTTAGCAGCACTACCGAAAAGCGCTGTACAACACTGTCGTAGTTGGAGGTGTAAAAATAACGGGAGCAAAATGATTTTACGCTCCTGGGATCGGGTTAAGCCCCGTTCTATATCAGATTTGGCATGTTTTCTCCTGGTGGCTATATTTGTGCCTGTGACGTACATCTTCCATGTAACCATTGTGATGCCGGAGTTGTTTGCAATCGGAGGGTTTTGGTACACTTTAATGTGGGTGGCCAGCTTGTTTATAATCTTTAACATCACATCCAACATGCTGGCCTGCATGCTAGTGGATACTAGTATCCGCAGTGAGTATACATATATGGGGATTATGTTTTTCAATTACTATTATAATTTTTGTAGTGGAGCTACTTCAACCACCGGTTGAACCAGCGCAGTTGGTGCGGTGGCATAAGTGCCATGATTGCCAAACATTGGTGCCACCTCGATCCTGGCACTGTGACGTGTGCAATGTGTGTGTGCTGAAGCGGGATCACCACTGTCGCTTCACCTGCTGCTGCATCGGGCACCACAACTACAGGTATTTCTTCTATTATCTCGTGTACATGATAATCGGAAGCTTGGCGGCTGCCATCATGGAAAGTATTTACCTGTGGCACCTTCATCCAGACGTCTACTGTCGTTGGTCCACACTGTGCGCTGTCTTCGCCCCCGTCGTTAGCCTTACGCTGAACCCTAGCTGGGAGACTTTTTATGTGGTAATATACGATCTCACTCTATTGGGTTTTGCTATATCCTCGCTACTCCTGGTCTTCCATTGGGAGATAGTCAGGAGTGGTTCGGTGACGAGGGAGCGCGGTTCAAGAAAGTACGATCGAGGATTGAGAGGCAATCTGGAAATGGTGCTCGGAAAACGGATGAACCTAACCTGGCTGTCGCCATTTCTACGTAGCGATTTACCCCACAATGGGGTGAACTGGGTACCGATAGGTACCGCTTCAAAGGAGGATTAGTTCACAATTGTGTCTTACCGACCTGTGGAAATAATGTGGTATAAGTGGCATTTACTTAAACTTACTCTACGTCAAAATACAATGAACATAGCTCTTTGTTAAGTTAAAGTCTTTACGCTAATCAATACCTGAATCTAAATCTGTATCTTTATGTTTTAACCCCTGTAGGAACTAATTTTAACGTTTATATCGACTAGTCATTCACTAGAAGTATTATGCAAAATTAGACTTATAATCTTAGTAATGACACATTAGTACAATCTCAATTATATATCAAGTACAAAAGCATTCTATTAACAAAAAGCGTTACCAAATACCGAGAATATTGTGTATTATTATTATACTTATATCAGTAAAAGAAGTTTTTAATTTAATAGTTATTTATTTAACAATTTTATTTCTCAATTACAAAAGTGTATTATCAACAAAATGCTACTATTTATCCAGAAAACTTTCTCCCACCAGCGATTTCAGTTTAGCCAAGTGCGTTTCATTAAGGGTAAATCCTTCATGGATGCGTTTAGTCAATGCACTTACATCGATGTTGTTTTCAACGGCATATTGCAGGGCGACCAGCGCCTGGCTGGGTGACTTTTCCAGAACACTGGCCTCCACAAACTCTTGCAGAGCACTTTCGGTTGGGGTTCCGGGAATCTTGTGTTGGTTTTTGTCTATATAAGCAAACACCTCCTTGGCCTTTTCAAAGTTACCGCCGCGGAGGAGTAGAGTGAGCATATCTCCGAGCATCTGACCGGTGAAAGAGACCTTTCGGAGGCCCTTAATTGCGTCTTCAACCTTTTCATACATATCCAGGGCCACCTTGGCAGCCTGCTCCGGAAGATTTTGTTGGGCGGGAGACTCTAGATTTGGCTTGTTGCTCACCAAAATACGGAGAACGTATAGTAAAAGGCTTTCGCGGTGTGTGTGATCAAACACTACCATATCAGACCAGATGCGTGGAACATATTCCACACCGCCATTGATCTCAATGGCTTTCAGAATCTCCTCCATGATTCCTGGTTCTGGTGTGTAGATGTTGGGCACTAACAGGTCATAAGTAACCATAAAGTCATCAATGGATTCCGTTTGACAAAGCAGTGCTACATAATTGCGATAGTATATGGACTCCTTGAAAGAGTCGCCTATCAAATCGTAGTTCTTACCCGTGTGCAACAGCTCGTCGACCTTCTTGGCCAGCGATTTGTCATGCAAATGATTGCGGCACACATCCATGGCTGTAGCAAAGAAATATGTGTCCTTGATGTGCTCAATCTTAAATTCCTTGCCGGCGATGTCATTTAAAATATCCACAATTACATGAGACACTGGTCCCCTTTCCCGACAGAAGATGATTAGCAAATAGTAGTAGGTGCCGAGACTAGGAGTCACGCCTAGTTGCTTAAATTCCGGTAGAACTTGGAGGGCAGCAGTTCGTGCTAGCTTGAAGTTGCCAAATGTGCTGATGCACTGAAGCACCGCATTCAAGGTTCCCAAATTGGGACGTAGTTTTTGCTGAGACATTTCTTGCAGCAACTCCGTGCAGAGCTGCCAACGCTGCTCGGCCGTGTCTTTCAGGAAATTTACTATTTGAATAATGGAATTAAAAGTGTTTGTGTCCAGTTGGATTTGCTTTTCTCCGGCTTCCTGAAGCAATGCGTACGCCCGCTCGCACTGCAAATACTTGGCCATTCCGCGAATGAGCGAAGCGTAGGTTTGTGGCGTCTTTGGTTCGATTTCGGAGTAAAGTTTCTCTGCCAGATCTCCGTCTTTCCAGGTTTTGCCACTTCGCTCACGTCGTCGGTTGTTCTGCGTGAACCAACGCTCCTCAATGTATTCTTCGGGTATGGGTTCCTGGTTGTTGTAAAAGCACACCAGCTCCAGAAGACTTTTCTTAAGATCTGGACTGATTGGGACTCCCTTTTGTTCAAGGAGGTTGTAGACCAATACAGCATCCGTGAGTTCACCCTGGGCTATCAGTTGTTGAAGCGAACTCTCATCAATCTCGGAATCTTCGGTGTAGACCATGTTGGGAGCAAATTTCTCGATAGGTGGATGAGCTTCTTGGTGCTAAGGGAATGACAACAATTAGCTTATAGAGGTGCTCTTCCTTGTAACTCACCATAAACAGCTCACGGTGCTCCTCCTTTATCCACTTCGCAGCCTTGCGTCCCGACTCCTTGGATATGGCATAAGTCCGCTTTGCAGCATTGGACAAGGGTATCAGGAATGGGTCATCGTGGTACTTGTAGTGTGGTGCTGTGTGATCCCTGCCCACGGTTCCGGCCAACGCCTGAAGAAGATCAGTGGGCGATCGTTCAATCCGATTTGGAATCTCTATGGGGGACTCCTCCACCGATGCCGCTGTTGTGTAATGTGCTCCACTAGAGCTCAGGCTCCGCGCAATGTTTGCCCTGGGAAACAATCTCAACTGGCGCGAGAGGTACATTATAAAGCAGGTTGGACACAAAATAAAATAATTTTCAGTTATAAAACAAAAAATTAAATGTTTTTTCTGGTTTCGGATTAAGAAAACGCAGGTGCTTCTTCTTGCCCAGAATGTGTGGCTGAACAGCTGTTCCTAACAAGCTGGATTGCAGAGGAGTTAACATTTGTCGTTTTTCAACACTGATTTAGGGCTGCAACAAATGAATAAAAACTAGCGTTACATTTGAAATAATTGGATATGTTAATTTATATTTATATGTTTGATATATGTATCGTTTCTGTAATAGAATTACAAATCATGTACTTTGTCTTATATAAATATTATTACTAAATAACTACATCCATTAATAACACAATCGAATACCTTTGTCAATTCAAGAACTGCAATCCGATTTAGTTGATGATCGACTTTCAAGGTGTTCGTTTGTCCGATTTTCTACCTGATATTGCCGAGATGTCTCATCCCAAGCCTATTTTGTATTACGACGATCGCAGTCCACCAGTTCGCAGTTGCCTTATGCTAATTAAACTGCTGGATATCGATGTGGAGCTGAGGTTTGTCGATCTCTTCAAGGGCGAGCAATTCCACAAAGATTTCCTATCGGTAAGTAAGTCAAATTTATTCCGAAGATTTTAAGCAAAATCGTTAGTAAAATGGCCTATAAAATCAGAACTATTGAAAATAATCTTTATTTAAAACGATTTATCTAAAACCCATTAAATATTATAGGAATTTATTTGGCACGTCTTTAACGTATCTATAGAAGACTCTTTATTTTTGTCTAAAATATAGTTAAATCCCCTGCACAGTGTTCCCACGTTGGTACATAATGATCTGGTTCTGACTGACAGCCATGCTATACTGATTCACTTGGCAGAAAAGTTCGACGAGGAAGGATCTTTATGGCCCCTGGAGCATGGAGAACGTATGAAGGTACTGAACCTCCTGCTTTTCGAGTGCTCCTTTCTATTTCGTCGTGATAGTGATTTTATGGTGGGTTCACTTACTAACTTTTTATATTGTTTTAATTGTGTTTCCCATGTGGTTTCATAGTCGTCGATTGTCCGCCAAGGATTCGCAAATGTCGATGTGGCCCTTCATGAACGCAAGCTGACCGAGGCGTATATCATCATGGAGCGCTACCTGGAAAGTAACAATTTTATGGCTGGGCGACAGGTAACAAAACCCCCTTATCTGATTGCGATTCTCTGTCGTTGTGGCGGTTCAATTAAGTTTAGAATTTCACCTTTGTTGTTGCGGTTTCAGCTGACGCTCGCCGACTTATCCATCGTAACCACATTGAGCACCGTCAATCTCATGTTTCCCCTGACGCAGTACCCACGTCTGCGACGTTGGTTCACCGCCATGCGGCAGCTGGATGCCTACGAGGCCAACTGCAGCGGATTGGAGAAGCTGCGCCAAACGATGGAGAGCGTTGGTAGCTTCCAGTTCCCAACCTCATCCGACTCCGCTGCAGAGGATGTGGAATAGCTTTGGTTGTTGTGTAGAGTGTTTAATTTTGCTTTGAGCTGGGTGTAATTGTATGTTTGCTCAGCAGGTGAAGGGAAAATATAGTTATAACTTCACAGTTAGATATTTAAACTTACATTGTTACTAAACTGTAATCAATTCTTCCTCCATTTCTTTATAAGATTTGAGTTTTAATAATTCGAATATTTGGAAAGGTTACTTATTAACGAAAAGAAAATTAAAATTCTTTCTGGAACAATCTGAATCATTTTATTACTGAATTTAAAAATCCATTATACATAATTGCAAATCGAATGTAATTGACTACGTAAGGCCAGATTTGTGATATTCAGGGAAATACATTTTTTTCCCAAAAACCTTAAGATATTATAGACTGAGTTAAAAAGATTCGTGATTTTGATACCCGTTACTTCAAGACTTAAAGGGTATATTAGATTCGTTGAAAAGTATGTAACAAGTTGAAGGAAGCGTTTCTGACCCTATAAAGTATATATATTTTTGATCAGGATCGATAGTCGATCGATCGATTAAGCCATGTCCGTGCGTCCGTCCGTCTGTCTGTCCGTCTAACTGTCCATCCATCCGTTTGTCCGTTTAAACGCTGATATCTTAGGAACTATAAGAGAGGTCTTGAGGTCCCTACGCAGCGCAAGTTTATCAACATCCGTCCACGCCCATAACTGCGGCACTCGACTATAGCGTTTTTTCTTGTTTAAGACATTAATTAATTAAAGACTTTCAAATTATTTGAATTAATTAATTGAAGTTATCCATTAATATTTGTGTGTATTTTGAAAGGAGGGTCTCATTCTAAAAAGTGTAAAAGAATACCTTAACCCTTTTCACAATTCGCGGAATTCGGCATAAATTTGGGTGCAGCTTTCCACTGCAAATGAATGTTTACCCTGATGAAAGGGATATGTGAAATAGAGCCAATTTCAAAGTAAATTAGCGGTTGGCCGCGACCCTTAGCTAACTCATTAACATAATACCGCGTATGACCCATGTTTACTCCCAAAAATGTTTGGCAAATATTAGACTGCTCTGGACGTTTGTGCCCTAATAACAGCTTGTCGGCCCCAATAGCCGTATCGAGTGCCCTTCAGTTGATCGGGGTAATGGTAATCCGCTTGGAGAGCCAACCGCTAATTGCTCCGCTCTAGCCCCGAAGAGCAAGGAACCCAGTGCCCGTAGTCATACCAATCTCAAACAAAGTTTCACGCACGCATCATGCTCTCCATCTGCAGCCATCTTTACAACTTGGTGACTACGTGCACCTGGTCTTTTCATCGGATTTCTGCTCCTTTGGCCCTAACTTCTCAACTGCCAACTGTCGGCAAAAGTGCAGCTATTGCTATTCATTTTTTGTGGGTGCCGGAGCAAAATCTTAGCCAGGCACGCGGCAAACTTTACGCTCTGCACAAGTTTTTCAATTTCGCCCGGCGTTGTCTCAACATTTATCTGCCCTTCGCGTTGTCAGTGCTTATACAGAGATTTTTTTTTGCCACGGTCACTGGGAAGTTTAAGCTTTCTGTCAACGGTCATCCAAAATCGCATTCGCATTCCCAAATATGTACATATAACTGAATTATTTTACTTAAGTTTCATGGTACTCTTTTCCCGCAGAGATTAGCAACTTTGTTATGGGATTTGCATCAATTTGAAATTTAAGCTGGGGCAAAAAGTCGCAAAAACTGATTGCTATATGCAAGAAAGTCCCAGAAATCTAAACAGATTTTAATACTTTACTTTTACAGCTTCAGATCCAGTTTTTAAGTTCATTATTTTTAGAAATTTATTGAGTTTTCTTAATTCTTAGAAAATATACATACATCAAATCGTACTTAAAGGTTAAATAAAACGATGGGGAGACCAAATTTCCCGCTTTTCATCTTAAGAGCATTAACTCTTTCGATGTCATATACTCATCCATTTTTTCTATATATTTTTTGTCTGTATTTGCATGTTGCTATGAATTCGATTAAAGGCCACGTTGCCCCATACGGGCGACTTTATTTATGGGCAATTCCAGCGCCGGACGACGATGATGCAATGCCACCCACTGGGAAATGTCCCAGCCTAGTGGAATTGAATTGATATTTAAAAGCAAAATTACTGCACAATCTGCGAGGAAAGGCAATTTAATTTAAATCATTATTATTGTTTTTTATTATGCTAAAATAAATAATTGAAATTAAACAGGCTGGGACTTTTTAACCTGCATAAATTAGCCACAGTAAATACACAGATGGAAACAGCATTTAGGGAAAACATTGAGATAACAAGTTTACTTTTTGCCTAAAAACAGGCAATCAATTTTTGTTTTTCAAGCAATGTCGGGTAAACAAAAAAGGAGAGGGAAAAACAATTAATGTTTCATATAAAGTATATACAAAAAAATGATTTGTGTTTTATAAATTTTATAGAATTTAATGTGGATTTTAAGACCAAATTCCAAAAATTGGCATTGAAGAGAAGGACAAATTTGTATTTAGATTCTTGGTTTGACTTAAATTACCTCTTTTCTTTATAAAGAATTCGGTCAATAAAACATTTCACGCTCATTGTGTTTTATAAAATACAGTATTCTTCATATTGATTTCTATACTGTCAAGTTTTTACTATGTACATTATCTTAAAATTAAGAATGTAGGAGATTCTTAGCAATGTTTGAAAAATGAAGAAGGATGCCAATGAAGTTAGAGACCGAAAGTCTTGCCAAGTATTTGCCTCAGCTTATGAAATAGGCATTTCTCACATCCTTTTAGAAGTCTTATATGTTAACACATTTCCTGGCAGGAATCACCATAATTAGGCGCATAATGGCTCCAAATTAGCATAGCTGTTAAAAATTGGAATCCTGCCAGGAGGGAACCCTAATGCAGCACACATTGCCAGTTCCAAAATCGAGTTATGGATGACAGACGACAACTTTTGTTCCAAACTTTTTGTTTTCTTTTTGTCTGGAATGATGTTAGGAAGAGGGTCCAGAACTCTTGAGTCTAATGCTGTCGAAGAATACTTTGTGCAAATTGATTTAGTGAAAATGTTGCTTTGAAGTCCGCCTTTAGCGCCTGCCAGTCAATTTGTCGGAAATGGAAAGTTTTCTCAATTCGAAGGGGGAGAGTGTAGATGAAACCTCATTACAGTCTCCTAGTAAGTAGCCTAGCAGCCAGCTTTAAAGTGTTAGCCAGGAAATTCAATTAGGCCTGGCCATGCCACAGAGCCAATTCCCCATGCGATGGGGCATTCATTCAGCAGGGCACCAGGGCAGCAGTCAGTGGTGCGTGATGCTGAAATATTGACAAAGTTTTCGCATTCGTTCGTCCATTGGGACAAGCGATTTCGGGTTTAGCTCTTCGATTATTACTTGGGGCAATATTTGCTGATTTTATTTCGGGTCAGACATCTCGCCTTTGGCCACTGCTGAGTTGGCCATAAAGTGGAGAGCAGTCACAGTTGAATTATTGATTAAAAATGCCGGCTGCTCAACCGTTTCGAGCTCTTACTTTCGCAGCCCAACTAACGGCCTTTGCCCATATAAAACTCTATTATATTATTTTCACCTTTCATATTGTTCGGGGGGCCAGCTGGTGAGGCAGACCTTTTTGTTGTGGTTAAGTGCTAGGCATCTTGGCTGCGGTCCTCCTGAATTTCTAATTAACCTTTTTTCGGTTTTTCGGGGCGGTGGCTGGCGGGGCTACGCCCACTCCGCCCACTTTAACATTTATCTGAGGCTCTCGTCTCAAGATTTTCCAAAGACCGTTCGGATGAATGATATTGGGTGGAAGCCAAACAGAACACAAGAGAACAGACCAAATAAACATCTGACAACCAACAAACAAAAAAGTTCAAAAGATTTCGTATCGCAATTATTGTTGAGGCAAGTTTGGAAAAACGAGAGAAATCGTTATATCAAATTAAATCACAAATACTCTTGGGACTAATAAACATTTTATTAATAATAAATATATTATTAATAATAAATAATAACATGCCTTTGGGAAAATGTTTCCTTCATTCTTCCTTTCTTGACCATATTAAGTAGGTATTAAGGAGAAAAGGCCAATTAATTGTTTAAATTAATATACACCAATTTGATTTTCTCATAAAAGAGTTCGCTCTCATATTAACCTATTTTATTGAAAGAGATAAAAATCAAATTACCCCTCTTTTATGAAGTGTGTTGGGATAATCTAAGTCAATAAATAAATGCAAATTGAATGCAACGCTGAAAAGCTTTTCACCTCTTTTATTTTGCTTTTATTTGTTCGAGTTGTGAGAAGCATAATTTCTGGCAAAAGGTAAGAATTTTATATATCAAAGAACATTTTCTTCCAACTTTGTGTGCGACCCATGTTTTCTCGACGACAATGTGAAAATTTGAAATATACTTAATTGCTTTTGTCGCAAGGAGCGGGAAAATGTCTATAGAAATTATGGGAACTTATAAATAACTATTCTATGTTATGACCGCGGCCAGTCGAGTGTTTATTTTTACTAACAAAATGACGACATTGGGCATGATTTTCCAATTAAATGTTGAGCTTAAATAAATAATGTGTCTATTCTTAGCCGGCCAGCTCACAGGCAATGGGGCACGAATTCAGTAACTGAATTCGAATCGATGCGATGCTGTTTGGACACTCTGTTTGTTTATAAATGAAATTGCAGTCTGCAAACTGAGAACGCTTGACTCAATTTCCGTTTCCGCCCAGCTTCACTGTGAGCCAGCGGAAGCGGCACAAATGCCAGCAAGTGGTTGCTGAATGCCCAAAGGGCGGGCTACTTTCCCTTTTTTCCGTTTTCCCCTCAACTCTCAACGACCTAATTTTCGCTTGACTTCATTTCGGATATGCGTTGCCATTTTTGGGCCATTGTACGTTGGCCATTTCTTTCGCAGGCCTTTGGCCTTTGTTGAGTTTTTATGCTGATTTATGGGAAAATAATCCCGGCTAAGTTAGCGCCTGGAAAATGGTTTCCCGCCAGGGTGTTTGCACAATCGAATCTAATTTTCCTGGCCAAACACACAGCTACGTGATCGTCCTTGTGTCCCATGTCCTACGAATGTGCACTTTGGCCAAAACGGCGCCGGCTGATGAGGACACATGAGGGTTCCCCAGGGTCCGGATAAACGTTTAATCAGCCGTTTGTTTGAATTGCAATCCAACTCGGCCACTACTGAGCTTTTCAAACTCCCCGAGAGTGCCCATTCCGTAATTGAATTTGATTCTTTTACTTACGGCTTTCCGTTATTTGAGCCCCAAACCCTCAACGAATGCAATTACAATAATTTAATTGCCATGAAAAATGGCCGCACATCTGCGGGGCATTAATTAAATTTTTGGCGAAGACAATAGTCAAAACCCAGCCTTGGGCAAATTTAATTCACTTAAATGCCAACCATTGCGGTTTACTACAATCCGACGAGTATTTGTTAATTAAAAAAAATACAAAAATGAGAACCAGAAAAGACAGCCGTCCGTCGAAGTGCCGCAGGCTAGGGATGCGGTAAAAATAAACGAACACGCCATCTGTTTTTGAGGCGAAAGAAAAAAGAAAAGCCTGGAAAATCTCAACTATTTCGGTTCCACCTGTTCGGGAATCGAGAAAATTAGAAATAGTCGCGCTACCCATAGCACAAATTCTTCGGGCCTTTTACGTGTATGCCGGGGATTTTCCGAGTGTTATCGAAATTGTATCCGCTCTAGTAGAAGAATTTTCCTCCACCGCCCCTCCCAAAATACATAGATATCGCTGAACGATTTGTTTGTTTGGTTTTTCTCCGACTAACTTTAATAAAATATTCATGTTCGGTTTGTTTTTTGGTGGGGCACGAGCTTTGGCAGTTCGAAGTCGCCTTCGCTTGTCTTCTCTTCACTTTATGACCCTGTCATTGTAATTTTTGGGCGAAATATTTGGCTGATTGTTGTCCCTCTAATAAAGTGCTATTCAATATCACAAGGCGCATAATTCAAGTTAATTGTCTGCTCATAAAATAATCGCTGGCCTTGTATTTTTTACTGCTTGTAAATGGTTCTCTCTTCTGGCGCGATGCTTGCTAATCTGATTTTATATGCATTAAGATTATAATTGCAATTTATTGCTAATTTTATGGGTTAAATGCAGAAGGGGGATTTTCATTGGGGGACTTATGAAAATGTGTTTGTTTATTTTGATCATCATTTAATTAAAAATTTTAGCCAGCCTATTTTTATAAGCATTGCTTATAATTGGAGATAACTTTTTCCGAAGATATAATTACGTTTTTTTTTAAATAGGTAATACTTATTATTATATAAAATATATACAATAAATATTTCCCAATCTAAAATCAGGTAGAAAAAGTGCTAAAACTATGCTTCAGTTTAATTCCATTTATAACCATTAACTGCATTTATTTCCAATTCATTTGGATTTTTTTATGATAGAAAATAAATTAGCATCCTGAAATCTGCAATATATTACTCTGAAAAATTATACTTTTTACTCTGAATTTGTTATAAATTTGTTTTTATTTTATAATTTTAAGTTAGGAAAACATTTTTAAGCACTTGAAAATGCTCAAGAATGTAATTTCCGTAAAATAGAGGCAATTTAAAAGGGAAATAACACAGAAAAATAACAACTATTCAGAAAATTAATAAACTAACATATTTCTAAGAAAAAATTAATTATTCTGAATTTTTTGAAAAATCATTCTCTGAAAAGTAGATGCTGTCTGCCGTTTAAAAAAATGTAAGTATTTTTGAGGATGAAAATGAATTCTGGAGGATGTATCTCTCGATGGGAACCAAATTGCTGCCATTTTTAATTATGACCCAATGCATGCCGATCGAAATTACGAGAGACGAATGCACGCGCCAGAAATGAGTTCAGAATGACAGCAGGACAGCAGCAGCGGCTTGTTGGCCTGGTCAAGTCCGAAAAAATGCGCTTAACATGCAAATGAGTAGCGAATTTTGAAGAGCACAATGTACACAGGCACATTTCCATTCCAATCATATGGATGTGTGAAAATTATAAAGCATTCGTTGGATTTTTCCTTTTTCTTGGCCAATGATGATCTAAAATTATATCGCACGACTCATGCGAGGGTGGCGGGCAAAGTCGGCGCTTCGAATATATAAAACGCCCACACGCCTCGCAATTTTCACACACTCGACTCCGAATTCGGATATATTTTTGGAAAATTCTTGAACAAATCTGTCGGAGAACGCTCTCTCGCGCTTTAAAAGCCGCATACGCCCCGTTGGCTGGCATCAGTGTTAGCTTGTCAGAGCTTTAGTGAAGATCCCACAGAACCCAAACCCAAAACCAAAAACCAAACATGTCTCTTGAGCGTGCCGTTCGTGCCAAGGTGAATACTTGATCAGTGCTAAAAAAAAAAACTAATTTAAATTAAAGATCCTTAAAAAAATTTTGTTAAAAATATGAATAAAAAGTGAAAGTTATTATAGTTATTTTGTGAAATTTTGTGCCTAAAACTTGATTCGATTTCATTTAATCCATCTAGATTGCCGGCAAACGCAATCCCGAGATGGACAAGGAGGCCCAGGAATGGGTTGAGGCCATCATTAACGAGAAGTTCCCCGCTGGCCAGTCTTACGAGGATGTGCTCAAGGACGGTCAGGTGCTGTGCAAGCTGATCAACATCCTGTCCCCTAACGCTGTGCCTAAGGTCAACTCCTCCGGTGGCCAGTTCAAGTTCATGGAGAACATCAACAACTTCCAGAAGGCCCTGAAAGAGTACGGTGTGCCCGATATCGATGTCTTCCAGACCGTCGATCTGTACGAGAAGAAGGATATTGCTAACGTTACCAACACCATCTTCGCTTTGGGCCGTGCCGTAAGTCATTTCATATTCATATTGAAACTTATTTTCCAATCTTTATAACGTTTGGTTTCCGCACATTTTCAGACCTACAAGCACGCCGACTTCAAGGGTCCCTTCCTGGGCCCCAAGCCCGCCGATGAGTGCAAGCGTGACTTCACCGAGGAGCAGCTGAAGGCCGGCCAGACCATCGTTGGTCTGCAGGCTGGTTCCAACAAGGGAGCCACTCAGGCTGGCCAGAACCTCGGCGCCGGCCGCAAGATCCTGATCGGCAAGTAAGCCCTAGGATTTTCTGGATGTCCAAAGCCCATTTTCTACACATATGCTAAGTGAACACACCCACATATATTTTTTATGATGAAACATAAACACAAAGATATTCCTCACCAAAGCAAAACTCAACACCAACTCAAAAACACACTCACACAAAACAACACAAAGAAGTAACGCGAAGGCTTGTCGCCTTATATTAAGTATACGCCTAAGTTAATCTATTTATGAGTACAATAAAGTAATTGAAAAATCCCAGTTTTCGACTTTCCGATCACCTCTATAACCTTGAGCTCTCTACTTTCTTGCCGCTGCTGTTGTTTTTTTGTGTGGGTGTGCAGACTTTATTTATCTGCCTATGGTGTGTTCTAAAAATGACTTTTATACTTATACAATACATATAGATATGTACATATATATCATCGTATCAACGTTATAAACCAAACATAAACACTCTCCGATGAGTGTGTGTGCGGCGCGATGTGAAAAATTCCGCTGAAGCGTGTCGAGGTCAGAGCATCAGTGATAGGCAGAGTTAACATCAAGATGGGCATCTATATGCTGTCTATATGTAAGGATAGGAATTCGCCAGAAACGAATGCCTAAACTCACCTGTCCGAGGCGTGAAACTGTTCACTCTTAAGACATCTCACTGGGAACTATGTATTGCAGGTGCAACTGTGAGGGTGCCAAAAAAAACCGACAGCTCTTGATAATATTTTACGCCTTCAGCTGGCACTTTTCTAATTTCTTAATTTATTATAGTCTGTCAGTGGGCTCTATCGATTGTTTATTACCTATAAAAACCCACGAAAAGATCTTGAAACTTATATTTAGATTCTGTAGATTTTAAATGATAAAAGAAATCATTTTAAACAAAATTCATCTTCTAAACTAAAGCTGATCATAATAAAATCTCTCTAAGAAAGTTTAAATTTACAGAACACCCACCACCTGCTTTATTTAAAGAATTTATATTATTTTTATTATAATTCAAGCAGACCTTACATGATGAATTTCCTTTATTAGTTTTGGCTAATTGAAGCGTACTAAGATCGAGTGTATTTTAAAAAGTTCTCAAGAAAGATGATTAAGAACAAAGCGTGCCAAATTCCGAATTTGTTATTTATAGAATTTCAAAATTTCCAACAATTGCTTGAAATATTAATGGGAACAACCAAACGATATTTCCCCTTGGTTTTTCTTTTTGTTCAGCGTATATAGTAGGAATAAATAAAAACAGGCAAATAAATAACAAACTTGACACTGAAAATGTGAGGGATATATATTTTTATAATGGACCATTAAGAGATTTTCTATACAGATTCAGGGTTATTATTGATGCATAAGCTTATGACTAGGAAGTCTTGAAGTCTTTTCCTCTTGACCAATTAAGAACGTTGCTTATAGTTTTAAAGAATGACGAATATTGAATTGTTTTTGTGAAAATATGTATTTAGGTGAAGTTCAAATAGCCCTGTTATAAGGCTATTGCACTTCTATTTTTTGAAGTTGATTGGTAATAGATCTAAAAGTGTCTCTTAGATTTGAGACGTTTCCTTCCTTTTCTCTTATGTACGACACCGTTCGATCGTAGTCGTACATCAGGGCAGGCATAGCCAAGATACCACCTCGATAGGTTAGGTCACGGATCTTCGCTCTAATCCTCTTGTGCTCCACTTTACCGTTACACAGCTCCGTCTTTAGCTTGTTTCTTACGATCGTTTTAGTCAGTAGATCTTCTTTAAGATCCGTGATTTTTTCCTTTATTTCAAGGGACTTCTCTCGAGCGTGCTTAGTCAAATGCAGATCTGTGTGGTATTGAAGGCGCTGCCTTTTCAATTCATTATTTCGTTCTAGTTTGGATTTTTGAGATGTATATGTTAGGCGTATGAAGTGAGTATTGAGAAATCCATACCTTCAAGTTTCTTTTCTAAGCCAAACATTTTGGCTTGTACAGTGATGAAGTCTTTCATGCTCACCCCGTCGCACACTGTCTCCACATCTGCTATATGCTATGGCGAAAAGGTTTAGAATGTCTTTAGGTGTCCTACAGGAATACTTACATCCGTGATGAGACCCAATGTGTGCTTCCGTGAAATGAGTATAAGCCGGGTATCGCTGATTTTGTTCCGATGCTCGGACATCAGACGCAGTTCCCGGGAAACGAAACGTTTCATGAAATCGGTCTCTGCGTCCGGTCGAACAAGAAGACGTCGTATTGTCTGCTCCAGATGCTCCTCCGTGCTGATGACGATATGCATGGCGTGACTGAGATCCATAAGTGCCGAGCTCATTAGGGTTCCGTATTTATTCTTGACCATTTCGAGGCGTTCTTGGCCATAGGCTAGATAAGCCAGGGCCTGTTCATGGCGATTGCGATAGGTTACTTGGTCCGCCTGGGCCAGAGTGTCAAAGGCTCGGAAGTTCTTGAGGCGACGAAAGTAATCGACCATCCGATCCTCCAGCTGATTGTTCATATCTTTAATCAAGACATAATCATGCACGTGCTTCTGTAGAGCGGCCAGAAGTTTCTCTTTGTCTAGCCTTTTCCGAATAAAATCACTGGAACCTGGTCGTTCGCTAGCAATCACTTTTTTAACCAAATTATTGATAAAGTCTCGTACTATCTCTTGCGTCTCCAAAAACCTAAGGTCATCTTCACTGTCGGTGTTAATCGAAATGGTTCTCTCCTCCTTAACTACAAACATGCTTTCAAAGTCCATGTAGTCTTCGACTTTCTTTTCCGCGGTTTTTGGCTCTCGGACTTCCGGTATGGACACTATCGACGAATCATGTAGCGAATCCGAATCTTCTAATTGGTCTCCAACCTTAAAGACCTTGGAATCGTTGCCCGCTTGACTGGACTCCTCCTGCGCTTCTTCGGAAAATGAACTGCCGGCATCATCGCCTAAGGGGTCTCTAAAGCCGGATGACTTAACTGATTTAATAGACTTGCCCGATTTGCGTTGGACATCCGGCTCGCTAGACAGTGAAATTTCTGAGAGACTGGGTACCAGCATCAGAGATTTGACTGCCAATTGCATGGGATCAATGCTCTTGGATCGCTGGGTTATTACCGTGTCCGGTTCTGATTCCGAGGATGATTCCATGGGAGTGGGAAGTTCTTCATCCTCTCCTGGTTCATCCACGAGCAAAGCCGCTGCGAAAGTGGACAAATCCGAGTGCCTGGGGGTCGCATCATCTGCGATTTCATCATCGAGCTTCGTCCATATCTCACCCTCTTCCTTTTGCTCAAGCCTGGACCTTTTACTACTAAAACTGGTCGACTTCTTTTTCTTATCTTCTGACTTAGCAACAGATTTCTGATCATTATCTTGTTCTTCGCGCTCCTTAAGGCGATCCAGGACTTCCCTTAGCAATAACTTCCTCTCATTTTTTCTAATGATTTCCACCATCCTCCCACTGTCTTGCGAGATGATCGACTTGACATCAGGAGCCAATGTAGTGGAATGTTCACTTTCTCCTGAAAGTCTTTCGAGTAAGTCGTCGACATCAGTGGTTTCTTGTTGTTCGTGTGCCTGCAACTCTTCATCTTGAGGTTCTGTTGTCTTAGTTTCCATTGTTTATATATTTTTTAATTAATAGGCTCTTCTTTAGGCTCTTTCTTTATTATTTTTATAATTTCCTATTTCTTAAAAATGTCTGTTGGTTTTTATATGTTTTTCAGTGTATTTCGATTGAGATGTGTACGCGTGTACATCTGTATTGTGATTGTTGCCTAGGCTCTATGTTTGACAGTGTTTTCAGGGAAACTCCAAAGTTTGCGATTTTATGTTCATAACAGTCAACCACTTTAACAGCATTCTCTCTTACCACATCCCCCAATCATTTAAACTTAGCCTTGTCCTTCCCATGGCCAAAGCCGAAAATAGAAATTTCCTTGAAAGTTCTTGACAAAATAGTAGCCAAGAGGGTGTCGTGGTTCGTTTTTAATAACGATCTCTTACACAACAGCTAATTCGGTTTTAAAAGATGCAAATCTGTACTAGACAGTCTACTCTACGTAGACCAGCTAGCTTCTAGATCTATTGCTCTCAAAAAGCACATGTCAATTCTATCGCTTGACTTCACTAAAGCCCTTGATAGAATTGGTATACACACAATCATACACCAGCTGCATGATTAGAATTTAGGCTCAAGAATCATTCACTATATCAAGAACTTCATGTCTAATGAAAAAATGATCGCCAAGACTGGGAAATGCCTCTCAAACATATATCCGCTAGACAATGGTATCCCACTAGGTTCACCCATCTCAATAATCCTATTCCTAATTGCCTACATTTCCCTCTCCATCATCATCCCTAAACAAATTAAATTCTGCGCCTACGACGACGACTTCCACCTCCTCATCCAACACAATAAACGTAAAAACCCTACATCCAACCTCTCATCCCTTTTTAACCGCATTGACGAATGGTGCCTTCGATCATTCTCCCTGTAGAAAAATGTCAACAGTTCTACATCTGCCGCAAACACAACCTCAAGGTTAAGATATTCTCAGGCGGCAGCATTATTTCCACCCCAAAACTCCTAAAATATTGGGCATTAACAAACTTAAATCTGATCTCTCTTCTCTCAAATACAATAGCATTACAACAACTCTTATCCAAACATTTAAATCCATTTTAGTGTCCAAAATTGACTTCTGCACCCATATCCCAACTCAACCGCCTTAAATCTTTCCTCAACTCCGCAATTAGATCAGCTCTGGGAGCATTCCGCTCTACGCCAGCAAACAACCTACTGGCTGAGTCGAGCATCAACACCATCGAGCACAAAAGAGACTTTCTTACCGGCAAACTCTCCCAAACCCTCTCCCAGTCCAAAGATACCCAAACTATAAATATCACAGTACCAATAAAAATCTGTAACTCCCATTCTATCCCAACTCTCCCAATAAAAAAGAAACCCTCCAAAAAATTCAACATGGTCAACATCAGTGACATGGGTATTACAGGCAATGAAAAAGCTGACAATACAGCCAAATTCCCCTAACCTAAACCCTAACGACGTATCCTATTTTTTAAAGTCACTCCTTCTCGAAAAACAGTGACAACTGCGTATCTCCGCCTGGTACTCAATTGTCAACAACCCTCAAAAACTTTTCCCTAAACAGAAGAGAACCAATCATCATCACCCGTCTCAGATTATGACACACATATCTAACAAACTCCCACTATCTTGAGAGATCGAAATGGAGCTTGTGCCCATTGTGCAACATCGCCCAGATTGACATCCATCATATCTTTTGTACCTGCCCCTCCGTCTCCACGCAAATGGGGATCCATTCCTCCAAACTTCAGATCCAATCACCGCAATAGCTAACCACGTAGATAAACAACTCCTTAAACATCCTAGACATCTCCCGGATCACCTCCCAAATTTAAGTAAATCAATTTGTTTCTACACAAAGCCATATTCTAGTTTTAGCCGAGCTGAAGGCCTTAGCGGCTATTGCTCCCAGCCAAATGTTAGCTCTTAGTTTTAACTAAAGGTTAGCCTTAGATAAATAAACAAATATATAAATTTTCATATCTTTATTATTTGATGGCTTTTTAAAGTTAATTCACTTTTAGAAAGCCTGAACACAAATTCTCTTGCATCAGATATATCGTTAAAGAAATGAAAAAAGTATCGAAAGTTTTAGTGACATGAATAAGTTTTTATTTCGCTTTACAGACTATCTATATACTTCTTCCTTCGACGTTGCTAACGCGACGTTGGAGTGACTTCATGGTCTCCCTGAGCTTGGCCACAGATTCTTGCTTCTCCTTCAATCGCTCTACGGTCTTGTCAAAGTCGTACATCAGCGATGGCATTGCCAGGATGCCGCCCTGAAAAGTCAGATCCTTGGACATCTGGCGCATCTTGGTGCGCTCCAATTTGGCTTCATAGAGATTTGTTCTAAGGGCGACCTGCTGGGTGATGGCGTTCTTCAGCAAGTCCTGGTGTAGATCAAACTTTTCCCTTAGGGCCATAGCTTTCTCCTGATTGTGCCGGATGAGATGAATATCCATGAGGAATTGGGTGCGTATCCTTTTCAATTCAACGCTGCGTTCTGAAAAGGAAGGCAGGAGTATGTTTTTATTGGATAATCCCATATGTGCTTACCTTCGATTTTCTTTTGTAGGGATAATACTTCATTTTGTACCGCTATATAATCCTTGATGCTTACTGTGTCACTCAGTGTGTCTAGAAGCGTGATTTTCTAAACGGTCAAAGGAAGGTCATTGTCATTTTTTAAAAGGCCTCTTTAACTTTCATAGTAATATGCTTACATCCAATATGTGAGCCATGGTGTGTTTTCTGGTGATTAGGAACAGTCTAGTGTCACTGATTTCGTTCCGTTTGGCAGACATGAGCCTTAGCTCACGAGATACCATGCGTCGCAGATTATCGCAGTCCGGCCGATCTAGGTATTTGTGGAACAAATGCTCCAGTTGTTCCTCCGTGATCGAAGCAACGCTCTGTGCGGAGTGAAGGTCTAGGATGACTCTGTTCATCTGGATGGCATGCTTGTGCTTGGCCACGTCCAACCGCTCCTTTAAGCTGTCGAGAAGGGCCAGGGCTTGGATATAGCGGGCATGGTATCGTTTTTCATTTTCCGCCGACAAAGTGGCGAATGCCCGGTTGTTACGGCTGCGTTTGTAATACTCGACGAGGCGGCTACCCACCATGTCATTGGTGTACTTCTCATACATATATGCATCTGTGACTTTCTGGAGCTCTATTAATAGTTTTGTCTTGTCGAGTTTCGCACGGAGCACGTTCTCTTGGTCCTGGTAATCCGACTTGATAGTCGCCTCATGTAAAATATCTCTTAATAAATCCTGGACCGCCATCTTAATCTCATAAGCCAGTGGGATGCTTGGATCGGGCTCATCTTCGACATCTTCGAAGCCAACCCTTGGCAAGGCATTAAAATCCTCTATTGTAACGACCTTTTCCGTAGGAGCAGGCTTTTCTGGAAGTTCGGCGAAGTCAGGTATGTCGGATATAATGGAGGAGCCGTCCCGACTATCAGGAGCTACGAAGTCATCCTGCTGTTCGTTTTCTATATCAACAACAGATTCGATTGTCGACTTGGAACTGGAGTCGAACTCCTGTGTAGGGTCCACGAAGGCGCCCTGATCCAGCAGGTCGCTTGTCGAGGACTTGACATTCGTTAGCTGCTCAATCGGATCGTGCTCCTCCGATATATCTGACAGACTGGGCACATCGAAATACTTCAGAAAGTTGCTTTTCAATTGAACAGTATCGGGATCTGTCGGAGCCAATGTTCCAGACGATATAACGCTCATGGCAGCCACACTCATCGTATCGTCAAAATCGTCATACTTTGGATCCTTATAGAATATGTTTTGATTATCCGATGGATTTGAGAAGCCATGCACCGGAAATAGCTCAACCATTTTATGTGCCTGAATTTTCTGAAACAGATCGTCCTCTGAATCGTCGGTGTGATCACTCTCCTCCAAATTATCATCCTGGCTCGGCTCATCAAAGTTCACCGCTGAACCTGTTTTCTGCTCTTCTTCCTCAACTTTATCTTGGACGTAATCATCTGTCATGCTAATTGTGCGTACTGGGGCTTCCGATATCCTAAATCGAGTGCTGGCAAAATTCTTCATACGTTCCTTTCGCTCTTTTTTCGACCTTTCTTCTGGTGAAAGATCATCCTGACCTTCCGTTGGCTCCCCTTCGGGTGCAGTGGTTTCGTGGGCTATGGGTTCAGTGGCTTCTGTTTCTTGGGTTGCCTCTGTCACTCCCTTGTCTTCATTCAGTTCAGTCGTTGGCTCCGCAGCCTCCTGCACAATTGGTTCTTCGGTTATGGGTTGGGAATCTTCCACCGTCTTGGGGATTTCTTCAGGCACCGCAGCTGAATCTGGTGGCATGACCACAGGTACATTTTCGGTATCTTGTAGATTTTCTGCTTTTTCGGTGGATTCGACAACTTGCATGACTACCTCCGTGGACTCTGGTTCTTGGGCCATTGTAAGTTTTTTTTTTTTGGATTTTTTGATGGTTTATTTATTTTTTATTGTTTATCCAAGTTTTTAATTTTTTTTTGCTTTTATTTTGTGTATGTTTTATGTGTTTTTTTGTGGGTGTGTTGTGTCTTTGGAGTTCTTTGTAATTGTGACAGTTAACGCAATAGATGTTATAAAAAATATTTTTTTTAATTTTTCATTTTAAAATATTAATTTGTGCACAATTAAGTTTATAAGTAAGCGGTTGAGAGATTAAGTGCAGAAATAAGTTTTTAAGGAAAACGTTGCATATTTTTAGGCTTGAAGTTAAAGTGCGTATTTGAGCATAATAAATTAATGTTGTTTGATATATATTTACATATATCTAAGATATATATATATATGTAATTAAAAAGAAAGAAACTAAGAAAATAATTATGTTTCTGACCAGCTTGCTCCAACGCCCTTTAAACGCAACTCCAACAAACAACTTTGCTTGGACTTAAAGAGAAACTCCTCGTTTTTTAGCACCATCTGGGGTCCAATTGGAGGTCCTAAGTAAATCTTGCGACGGCTTTAAAGTTGATTGATCGTTGGCCATTGTGTGCGTGTGCTACTTCCTCTTTTTTGCCGTATTTTGAACAAGTGCGGTAAACTTTATGACATTGATAAATTTTTAATAAATATGACAAAATGTTGGTGCTTTAATTCACTTCATCCAGCCGCACTTTTTTAGCCAGCACCAGGTGCCGGATGATTTACATAAAACTGCTGCAGTGCTGGTGAGTGTAATTTGCATAGGAAGCACTGCAGCACTTGGAATGGATTTCGGGTCTTAATACTTTCCGTTTGATTGTCTTGGCGTGGAAATTGATTCAGCAAAATGCCAAATTGCTTTAAATTATGCATGAGCCTGCGACTTTACTCCTCCATCTGCCTTATCTTTAGCCCACCATTCCTTTGATGTTTGCAGGAGGACATTTGGGAATCATATTCAATAAGCCGGATCCGACATGGAGGCCAAATAACGTATTTCTTTTATGACAGACGCACTGGGCCAATCCCCTTTGATGGCTGTTAAATAAATTTGTTTTCAATGCCGTTTAGGCCATTGCCGCGCCTCCAGGTGAATAATAGGCAAGTTCCTGATGGACTTTTAATAGTCGGGTAAACACCGGCGACACAATAATTGCCCTGGACATTCGTCATTGGGAACATGTGTGTGGCTTCCTGGCGCGTTTACTTGCGAGGCAGCTCACGTCTTTACAAAAAAAAACAGGGGGATCCTTTTGCTATTTATCATTCCGTACGAAACTTTTCGGGAATCCTTTTTTTCGGCTCTTCTGTTTGTCTGCATTAAGTGGCATTTTCGGCTTAAGTGTCTGCAGTATCTGGCGGATACTTAAGCGAACTCTTGAACTTGACTTACCCTCCGCACAACGCTTCAATTACGCTGGCACGTTGCGCCCGGCGAAATTGTAATTTACGAGTGTTTTTGTACACAGCGAGAAAAATGTAATGCGTCGTAATTTCAGAAGCCAAAACCAATCCTAAAAGCTAATTATTTATTTTGGTATTTAAAGTTGAAATGTGGTTTTGTTAAGTTTTTCGTCTTTTAAATGTATTAAAAATGTTTGTGATTGTAAACAACAAAATAATTATATTAAGTAGAAATATTAGTAAGATTTATGTTTATTCCAAATTAATTGATTTACATCACCTTAGGGCTTATAGCCTTTGATCTTTGTATTTTTGTTCAGTATCATTTTTCTAGAAATATTTGTTTTTTTCAATATGTTTCTGTTATTTATTTGATTTTTAATCAGTTATTCAGAATTCGAATATAACTTGAATCTTCAATCCCAAAGAAATGTACTAAGTATTAATACCTTATCTGATTTAACTTAATAAGAAAATGACTCAGTGTTTACGATTAATATTTCGAAAATATTTTTATAATAACTAACACAGAAATTGTTTACTTTAAGAGACAAATGCATTTACAGCTTATACACAAATAAAAATTAGTTACCTTTTCGTCTTCAATTTGCAGACACCTCTGCTTCTAAAATATATCTGTAGGTAGCCAAGAATAATGCATTTTTTTAAGTGCGCTCACGTTATTTAGACATTTTTGTCTGTGTTTTTAAACCGCGTCAATAATTACAAATTGCGCGTCGGGGCTGATCTCTGGTGATCCGTTGCCTTATCAGCCCGATTTCGCCTGCTTGGCTTTGGCAGCTTGATAGTGCATCCCATCCATCCACCCAACAGCCTCTCAATTCGCTGTCATGAATTATGCAAGTCAGGTCGGGAATTCTGAACCCGCAATTGGCACGAATTCGGAAATTGCGCAGTGCCGGGGAAGCTCAGAGAGAGAGAAAGAGTGTTATGTATTTCACATATACCATCTATATATATTTATATATTTATGTGTTGTTTTATGGAAGCTTTAATTACATTTGCGCCCGTAATCACAAAATCGCAGTCTGGGCTTGAGGTTTCTTTGAAAATCTTTGGCATCGCTCATAATCAGTTTGGAAAAGTCAGTCTTTGCGCAAAGTGTGCCTAGAGGATCGTGAAATAATTTAAAGGATAACAAGGATGAAGCGATCAGTTTTGCTCTTGGCTCTATTAGCCATCCTGTTCTGTGCTGCAGTGGCTCATCCTGCAGTTCTGTCAAAATCTGAGGAGGATTGGCTTGAACAGATGTTAGCGGAGAGCGTAGATAGCGGTGAACTACAGGACGTGGACGAAAGCAACGGGAACCATATAAGCAAACGTTCTGCCAAAGATTCTAGTTCTTCAGAGGAGCACAAGAATGGTGCCAATGACAAGGTTAAGGACAAGGCGAACAGCTCTGGTGATTCCTCATCTGAGGAAACGACAACAACAACTACTGAACGCTCTGCCAGGAAACGGCGTTCCATTTGTGAAGATCTAAGCAAATTTAAGATCAAATCTTCCGATTCTGATCTTCAAGAAGTTAAAGAAATGTGTGCCCTAGAATATCGAACGAGACGCGGGGCTACTGAACAGAATCAGGGCAGGGATCAGAAAATCAGCGAAGAATCCGAACTGGACGCCCAGGCAGAGAAAGAGCTAGACGAGGAGATGGCTCGGGTGGCGACGGAGATTTTAACAGAGAAGGATAACACTAGCATCGAGGACTATGCCCAGGGATGTGAGGTGATGGAGGTCAGCTCCAAGGAGGCCAATGAGGCCACCTATGCCGAATGATTGCTCTAAAAAACCTCAAGATTTTCAATAAACATTAACATAGATTTCAATCTACACCTTTTGACATAATTCATTCGCATTAATTTATTTGACAATATATATTAACAACCAAAATAAGAGTAATAATGAGTTATAGTGAACTTGGAAACTGAAAGGGTTTATGTAATAGGTGTAGGGTTTATATGCTTAATCAGGATCAATAGCCGAGTCCATCTACCCAAGACGGTATTTCGTCAATGCGCTTGAGTCCATGTAGCCATGTTCGTATTTCGGCCATCTGTTCGACTTTCTTTTGTACAAATATATATATGTTTATTTTCGCTATCTCCACTTACGCCTGTATTTATACACCTATATAAAAAACGTTATGTATTTTATAATCAGAGAAAATTGACATTGCCGGTAAACGAAGGTAAAAGTTTCCAAATTTCCAATCCAAGTGACGCTGAAAAAGATTGTCGTTGGGCGAAGACGAAACTAAATGCATTAAGTTCAAAATATAAACCTTTCTTTTCCAAAACCGCAAATATGTGTTTTTAAAAGAGGTTCATGAATTTGCCTTAGGTTTATTCCATTTTTCGTATGTCAGTTATATTATTATTAGGTTGTCAAAAAAGTCTTGCGGTATTTTTTATTAAATTTTCAATTGTTCATAAAACTGGGTACTATAATGCGATTCGAGTCAAATATGCGCCGTTTTGTTCGATGACGTGTTCCCAACGAGATGCCAACTTCATTAGCCCCTCTCATAGAAGCTCGCTTCCCTATTGGCAAAAAACTCGGAGCGTGGCGCATCTTAGACCACCTCTACACCAGAACGAAAACGTTGATACCATCGTTGTGCGGTGGAAATGGAAACTGTATCGGGTCCATAAACTGCACAAATTTGATTGCCGGCTTGAGATGCATTTTTACCTTTATCGTAGTAGTACTGTAATATATGCCTCTCTTTATTTTGCTACATGATTGCGCCGCTATAACTCAGGAACGACTTAAAAGAAAAGACAATCAATCAAAAAATTCTAATTCTAAAAAAGTATAGTATGACCTGATGCGACGAATAAAACAAGGACTACGCGCTTTTAGCGCCAACTAGCGACAACCCAATATATAAAATCGTTAGATTTCTATGATATTTTTCACTTAGTACTTTGAGCAAATTTTTATTACATAATATTCTTACATGTTCCTATTATTTCCGCATAATATAAAAGTCTTATGCGACCCATTCCAACTTATATATATTCCGCCTATAATGGAAAGATAATAATGAGAATGGCAGAGCAAACTACGGTATGGAGTATTACTAAAATATAAAATAATGTATTCAAAAAACATGTTTATAAACCGTAGTTACCTCTCAAATTAGGTAATGCGAGTCAAATTTTAAGTGTAATTTCAAAGAGACAAAACGAAACGTTTCAATCTATACTATATAAATTACGAAGTCTTTTGGTTGTAGCCCGCTATCTGCCTGACTCAATTAAATTTGAGTCAATAATCACATAATCACAGGAGAGGCGATAGTCACTTGGTTGAGGTTTCTCCGGCAATGTGAGCGAGTGGTTGCAGTCAGTCGGAAAAAGACAGCCTTAGTGAAAGGAACATTTAGAGATACCAAATTGGAAATCGAGAGAAGCTAAGACTTTAGCAATGCGTCTGTCCTTACTGGTGCTCATAGCCTCAGCCTTTGTGCTGAGTGTGGCAGTTGCTCAGCCAACCAGTCGCGAGGGAACTGAGGTGTTGGATTCTAATCAGGAAGCGGATGTCGCGGAAATCGAGGGCAACAGCGAAGACTTGGAAGGCAGTAACGAAAAAACTATTCACCAGAGACAAGCCAAGGATGTCAGCAGTTCTTCCGAGGAGCACAAGCAGGATGTGAATAAGGAGGCTAAGGAAAATGGTGACAGCTCAGGTGACTCTTCATCGGCGGAGCAAAAGATAGCCGAGGATGGAGCTCAGGTTGATGATGATCAATCATCAGAGACACTAGTCAGAAGGCGCAGGACAACTGAAAGGTATAGGAACTTATTTCTCATTGCCACCATTTGCCCTGAAACTGATACAACCAGCTTGGAGGAGGGCGACACCTTAGATCATTTTATCCAAATACAGGATATGTACGAAATTTGTAAGGGTTTACCATTGAATTAAGAGAATTAAGATTTAGTTAAAAATAAAATGAATTTTGAAACTGAAATAAGTTGTGAAATTCCTCTCACTCAGCCATTTTAACCCTGACCCATTAGTCATCTGCGGTCTTATCATTATTTCCATCCTTATCAACACAGAGTCGTCAATGTCAGTAGGTGCTTAGGTCAGTTTGATGTTTGTTTATGCATAAGACTTTATAATTTATTATTGGGCATTAAAAGAACAAACCTTTAAAGAAAAAAGTCGTGTAAAACGAAGAGAAAATATTAATATAGACTTTTGAAATTGTTTTGTAAAGATTGAAAGGAAGGTAATATTTATATTTTGAATTTAACTCAACACTGTTTAAAATTTAGATCTTACTTTAAATACTTTTTGTATCTTTCCCATATATTTGATAACTTCCTTAGATTCAAAGGGTCTACTTGTTTCTCCTTTCGTTTAGCTACTTTTTTGCACTGCATATAGGTAGATTATATGGCCTTTTTTGAACAGAAGTCTTCTTTGTGATTCGTGTCATCTGCATTTTGCGCCCCTTCCGACGTTTGGGATATTGAAAACTTGGCCCGCAAATTTTGCTGGCGGCCTTATCCCTTTGTCTGTCTTGTGGCTGTCACCATTTATTGTTGTTCTTGTGGCTGATAAGGCACGTTTTGCCCACTCGTTCCTAACCAGGCCAACAAATTTCGATAGAACTATCCGTTGAACGTGCAGGCCTACATATGTGCAGTGTTTTCCCTCTGCTAATCGAATTTTTTTCATCAGGTGTGTGCCTGTGTGTGAGTGATTTGTTTTTTGGGCTTTTCTCTCTTGAATTTTCTTTCACATGGAATTCTGATTTTCCATTGTTGTTTATTTGACAAGCGGAATACTTTGCCTGCGAGCCTGGCACGTTCAAGTTGTTTATTTGGCTTTAATGCTTGGTAGTTGACATCCACCTGAATGAACTTTTGAGGGTGGTTGTGTGGATAAAAAAGAAACTCAATGGCTTTTATACATAAATATGAAAGTGAAATTTTCACTTTTTTTAAATATTTAGAATTTATGTTTGTTTATCCGAAAGCAGTTGAAGATTCCGAAGGCTTCCAGTGTTTGTGTCTTTCACTTGATTTCCCAATACGTCTATCAACAACTTCTCTTTTCTTTTCTGTAAATGACTTAATATTTATTGAATTCCTTTAAAGTTTTAAAGCGAGTAGCGTGAAATGAGCCATCGATTTAACAAAGAAATTTAAAGGCTTAACAGCTGTTGTTTTCCGCTGCGATTCCCATAACGAACTTTATTGACTTTTGTCGACTTCACTTAACTTTAAGTTGTTTACAAAGCTTTAATTGATAGTTACAGCAAGAACAATAGCTGAATACCAGCATAATAAAGCATCTGGTTTTCCTACTAATTTTCCCTTGTTTATTTATAACTTAAAGGCTTTTATGTTAAAGTATATCTTTTATCATTAAGGAAAAACTATTCAAAATGCAACAAAAGGAAGGCAACAGTTCTGTGGCGGCACATTATACATAAAAAAGAAGGGAAACACTAACCAAAAAGAGGAGATGGAAAGCAGAGAGAGAGAATGAGGAAAATGGAATAGATGCAGCCACAAAGGAAAACTTCTCGAAAATTATTTTAGTTGCCCAAGTCGAGTGCAGTTGTGTGGAAGTGAAAGAAAAGCCAAAAAAAAAAACGAAATAAGTAAATAAAGAAATTGAATCAGTTAGTAAAGGCAAAGAAAAAGTGTTAAATACACTTTCCATAATTAACATTCATAGCTGTGCTCTTGGTTACTGGCATTTTTTGGAGTTTCCACAGCTCTCAGCTCTCTGCAGACCAAGATTTGATGAGATTGGGATTGTGCAATGCGTGACTGCTGATTATATAAGACGCACAATTGGCCAAAATTCAGCCATTGAAGTGGATCTCTCACTCAGAAAGCGAGTTTGCAAAGTTAGCCAAATTCAGGTTGTGTTGAAAAGCCGGCAAAATACAAATAATATTTTTGCACGGGCGGAATTTTGACAGGCTTCGCGCAAGCACAAGCAATCGAGAAGGCAACAACTACTTCAGCGAAAAGAGCAACTAAAAGTTTTGAAGGAAAAGAGCAAATAATAAAAAGTGCAGGAAAATATAAAATTGAAAATAGAAAGGCAAACAAGAAGAGTGCCGCCGGCAAGAGTGCGAAATTTATAAATAAAACCAGCGGATAGAAAGAGATTCCGGTTTCACTCTCTCTCGCTTGGTAAGAGTACTACCGCGTAAAGAACGCGATGCCGGAGCCATTGGGATTGGTCTGGTCGGTGCCGGAGACAAAGGCGAAGGCGCCCATTATCAAGGTATCCTGCGGCATCGGCGACACGGATGGCTTTCCCGCCTTCGATGTCGATTCGGAGGCATACGCCACCAAAGACGATAGCCGTTGGGGCTTCCTCATCACCGGCGGAGCCGAGTTCCACATGCCGCTGACAGTCTTCCAGGTGAGTTCGAATTGCCATCGCTGCTGGGATTACAATGGGATAAGGGTGGTTGTTCTCTGGGAACCCGGCCATCTGGTTCCAGTCAAGCTATTTTATTGATACAGTCAAGATGGTTAAGAAAATGCAATTTTCAGCTAACGATTATGTTATTGAACATTTCGAGTTGAAAAGTTTATATCTCTTTACTTTATTTCTCTTTATACTTGGTTTAATTTTATCTACATTTTAAAATATGTTTTTTCTGACATTTTTAATATATGACTTCAAGACGACAAAGTTCTATAATGTAAGGCCTGATAAAAATTTGTTTTATTTATGCAACTAATTAAGAGTGTTTTCCAGAAACGTAAAGTTTTTATTATTATTTTTTATTGGTTTTTGGAACATCCAAGTATGGCGATAAATTTTGTATCTAGCAGAACAAAAATGTATAAAAGTTCAGTAAAAGGCTAAAGAAAGATGTTTTTAACTTATTAAATCAGTTAATTATTTCAGAAAACTTTTGAAGATACCAATCAATACCATTAAATTAATTTGCCTTATAGATGCTTTACTGTATCACCGCCATCGCTGCATTTGCGGTTTCGTCATTGTTTCCAATTTTTGGTTCCGAGCCAGAAAGACAACAACCCAACCCACGTCAAATTTGAATTCCAATTATGCTATGACGAAGTCGCATCGAATGCAAATTGGCTGCCGCCAAATAGAAGCGAACATTTTATTGTTTGTGGCATCTGCACCTGCCGCACCCCTTCGCCTGATGTCGCAAGTCCTCAGTCTTTAAGTCGTTTCTAGCCTTTTAGTTGTCGTGTCTCGTCTCTCTTTTTGGCTCACTTGAGTCTCGGAGTGAATGTACAATATTTGGGTTAGCCGAGTTCCACTTCTTCATCATATATGAAATGCATACGTTGGGTATCATAAAAGATATATATACCAAATAAATATGAAATCTATAAAAAAGTTATGATAATAAAACCTCGAACAGCTGTTACTTGGAATAATGTTCTTCTTAAGAACACATTCTTTTCTATAAACAATATCTTATAAATATGAAACGCACTGTACCGTATATGTATGCAAAGTGATTTCCCATAAAGCGAAACTATTAGTATTGCTTTTGGCTTTTGTGCAACATTTTACTTTTGACGTTTCGCGTTTTAGTCTGAAAGAAAAATATCAGTCGTTGGTCTGTTTGTTTTATTTTTGAATTTAAATCACTTTTAGGGGGTAACTTATGAAGAGTTTGATGAACTCATCATTTGGGTTGTTGCTAAAATGATAAATTATTCATAGAGCCCCGCCACATTGCTCTTTTGGCATAACTGCCTTTAGAACATAATAACTTCATGTTATACCTTCTTTTATATTTCCTTAAATATTAAATCTAAAATCGTAAAATTTCCATATTTTTTTTTAGCAAGCATTGACTTCCTTTCGAGGGTACCTACCAATTCGAATCTATCATATTTAGAAACATCTCATCTTGTCTGTTTTGCTTTCAGTTTTATTGTTTTTCATTATTTGGGGTCTTTTCTTTTGGGAGCAGCCGTTCAGTCAGCTCATCTCGGATACATGTCATCTGTATCTGTCGTTCGCGCATCGCGTATATTTTCTGAACCTAATCTCAAAGTACGCAGATATATCCATTCAATTGCGCCTCGAAACTCAAACCGTGCGGTTTTTGCGGCTCTTTGTGGTCGGAGAAAAAAGGGCCTAAAGGGGTTTCGGCATTTCATCATCGACAGTCCTTCTTCGGTCCTTCTTGCAGGTGACCCCCAACGGTTTGGCCGACAAAGCGGGCATTCGCCTGGGCGACATCATACTCGAGATTAACGAGGAGGACGCCTCGCAGCTGACACTGTCCCAGGCCCACGAGAAAATCAACTTGACGCCGAAGAAGATACATTTCCTGCTGCGCAAGTAGGTTGCCCCAGATGCACTTGGCGCTCGTGTCTGTGTGTCTGGGAGGCTTTTAGGCCGTTTAACTTATGTAATGAGCAAACTACTGTCTGCTCTCCAATTCCCCCGCAGCATGGACGAGGACGATCCCATGGGCCAGTTCGAGGCCGGAGAGGAGAAGTCGATTGTGATGAGGGTTCCGAAGCCTTTGCCGCCGCCAAGTGGTGAGTACTTTAAGCTGTCCGTTGTTAATTATATTTGCATGGATCCCTTGGATACTTCATTACCATCCAACTTCATTGCTATACTACTATACAGGAAAAAAAGAAAGATTTTTCTTAACTTAATTAAGATTAAGTTGTGATCGTTCTTGAAGTCATATCAGAAGTTGTGGTTATTAAATAGTATTTATGTTTTTGTATCACATTTTTAAGAACCTAAAGCTTAAACTCAAACTTCAACTGCAATCTTGACCTCTGATCCCAAGTTTCTTTGTGTGTAGCCCCGTTACTCACTTGGCTTTGTATCTTTTTGTAGACTTCCACCCAACCCCCCTGCTTGGCTCGCGTTGTTGGCATCCGATAATGTGGCAAGACCCCCCGGAGCCGCCGAAGCCCAAGAAAAAGAAAACCAAAACCGAGCTGGACGACGAGGGCAACGAGGTGGTCATTGAGCTCAGCGAGGACGAGTCGTCCGACGAGGAGGAGCAGGTGAACCAACCACACGATTGCATGCCAACAACTCGGCCATCGAAATTAACCCATTCCGTCTTCCATTTTCCATTTTCCGCCGTGTTATTTTCGCCATCCCCGTGTAATGCCCATGCGTGGTCCAGGAGCTGCCCCACCATCGCATCATCCGGAACATCCGGCGCTTCTTCTCGGAGGTGGGCGATAACCAGGAGCTGCGCAGCAGTACTATTGAAAACATGCTGATGGCCCTGCCCAGTGCCTCCAAGGCCAAGTGAGGAGTCGTCTTCTTAGCTAAACCCTGGCTTAAACTCTGGCAGCAAGCCCTGCTGCAGCCTAACCCTTATCACTGAGAAAAATGTACATTATCAAGAATATTAGGAAAAACAGCTTGTTACTCATTACCAAGAGTAATCTAAACTTTAAACGTGAAGTAAACATTTTGAGATTTATACTATCCTAGAATTGTTTTGTTCTTTAATTTGTAAATATATATTTGCAAGTAGAATATGCTTCATTATTTCCCCTTAACGAAGGAAAACAAAGCATTTCGAAGGTCATCAGCGTATCTTAATCACAAATCTAAAATAGCTAGTCTCGTTGGCTTATTGCATATTATGGAATAAATAAAAGGCCTTTAGATACAAATTTGTTGTTAAACATTTGATTTATTATTAACAAAATCAGATTATATTGAATATCTTCGGAAATCATTAAACATCTCTCAATCACAATATTCTTGATTTAGCTGGAATTTTTCTCTGTTTAGTGCTACCCTTACCCCCTTAGTAGTGTACATAATTTTTTGCATATTTTGTGTCTATGTTTGTCGCCTCAATAAAAAAAACAAAATCCTTTCAAAACCCCCGAAATGCCACTGCTTTGATCGATTCCATTAGGACGCATAAGAGCCAGCTCCATCGAGATGCGTCTGCTAGAGATGCAGCGAAAGCTGTCGGCCATAGCCGAAATACCCAAAATCCTGTGCTCCACTTTGGCTACCGTGTCCCAGAACTTTGGTCGGATGTCTGAATCAGAGGAGGACGAGGAGGCCTATGTGCAGCGCAAGTTCTCCTACGATGAGGATGCCCTTGACTTCGAGCTGAGGGATGATGAGCAGGCGGTTGACAGCGAGAGCGACGACGACGATTTGGTGCAGGTGCAGGAGGGAGACGATGGTGATGATGATGAACAGGTAGGAGCCCCCAAAGGTGGCAAGCAATCAAAGCTGCTGAAGGATGTGACGCCGGAATCGGATTATGCATCGGAAGCCAATTATCCGGCAAATGAGGCAAGCGATGACACGGAATCCGATGAGGCCGATGAGCCTGGCAGCACCGTATATTTTATGAAATTGCCAGCGGCACCAGCCGAGGAAACAACAGAAGATGAAGATGACAGCAGTGACTTCTTGAACACCACCTACACCTGGAATCTCCGCAATGTGCCCAAGCTGCGCATTAACGATGCCGAGGAAGAAGTTGAACTGACACTGGGGCATCAGGCGAAGGAGGTGCCTGAGGTGGTGGAGAGGAGGAAGGAGAAGGAGACTCACTTGGAACCTGAGGCACCAAAAGTGCGCCCAGCCACGCCTACTCCGCAGGCACCGCCCCAAGAGTCCGCCGAGGGGCAGACACAAAAGGTAAGTGCCACAGGACCATTCAATCAGCATACTTAGTTTCCGTTTAATGATCTCCAACTTGGATTTAAGCTAACACTAGCATCTGCTTGACACTTTCAGTTACTCTTCCGAATGGATAGGATGGAACGATCTTGGCCCTGGGCGGACCGTGAGAAAATCATCTACAAGTGAATAACGAAACAGGGGTTATATGTTTACCAATTTAAATTCCACATATTTTGCAGGCAATCTACTTGCCATTTGGTGCCACGAAAGCCGCTGGGATTAGTAGGGCAGCGAATGCAGCTGCTGCTCAAGGACAAAAAGGAGTGAATTCAAGGAGTCAAACCCAATGTTAAACAGTTCCTGCCATTAGCTTAAGTTTTAACCAGAGAGAGGGGAGGAGGACCCGAGATGAAAAGGGTGAATGTGAAGTGGCCAACTTTTAATTGAGTTCATTATGCAAATACACAGAGGCGACAACGGCAGCCTCAACTTCAGCAGCACTTCAATTAAAAGCCGCACACCCTGGCGTATGCGAAAAACTCTATTCAAACACATTTCACACCCAGCCTTTCAGTCGGTTGAAAATTTTTTAATTAAAGTGCACTCTCCGGCGGGTGTCAAAAAATCACTGCCAAGTCAAATACGAGTATACAAATCCAAACCAGAGTCAAAATTAAGACAAACCAGAAACCGAAACTAGACCGTACCACAAAGCCAAACTCTCCTCCAACTGGCACTTGCAACTTGGCCAGGTTTATGCATTATTTGTGACCCTCTGCACCATAAATTCCAGTTGAAGGCCAACGCAATGCACTTATCCCTCCGACAACAGGACGTGCGAGTCACGCAGGATACGACATCGGGGCCATGACGATGCCAAAATATGTTCCTTGACTTTTACCCTTACTTTCATAAGTCTTCATTCGCTTTTTAGATCAGACAAGTTTGCTTCAAGCTATAGAAGTGAAATGATTTTTTTTAAATATGATTTATAATTGAAGTTTTCTTAATAGCAATCAGTATATTTCATTAAATTGAGGTTTATTATAGATTGTTTAAAGAAAATTCTTGAAATCAGTAACCCAATTTTGAAATGTTGGTTTTCTTTTTAATAATAAAAGAAATTAATAGTAGGTGTGTATACAAACCTTTAAATAGGAAACTTTTTAGAACACTGATACTTTTTCAAAATTTTAATAATATTTGCCTTTTTAGAATAAAACAAATTTTAACAGAATAAACAAAAAAAAATACTTTTTAAAGGTTTCAAAAGATATTTTGTCTATTTTAATCGAAACTAGTTTTGGGAAAATAACAAGTTAATAATTGTTTACAAACATCTGCAAGCAACATTAACTCGGTAAGTGAAAGAAGATCCTTGTTAGTTTTGCATTACGTAAATATTTTCCCCTGTCATAAAAATTCCCTTTCGATGGCAGCCACGAAGGCAAACAGCTATGGAATTAAGCAGCTCATTTGCCTGCTGGCTGATGAGAAAAGTTTGTTCCGGCGGGCGTACGTGGCGTATGAGCGATATGAACCTGGGCTGAAAACATCAGCATCATGTTCACAATGCTTTCGGGCGCGAATAATCCGTAGAATTATGAGTTTCTGAGGGCAGAGGTGTGATAGTGCACAATGTGAAAATGCCACTTATCGCAGACACTTTACATGCATAAAACATTCTACCGCACAATGGGGCAACTGCGAGGACACGTGTCTGCCATACGAAAACACAGTCGCAGTCGCAGTCGCAATCACAGACACCTACTGTCACCCACTGCCCACTAGTGCCTCCCACTCGCACCTGCAGGGACGTCATTAAAAACCCACCAACGGGAAATGGACAAACCAGAGCCAGACCCCAGCGGATAGTCCTCAATAATGTGTCAACAAATGTTGACAGCACTGCAATGAGCTTTGTTGCTGTGGTCTGTCCTGCTTGGCTGGCTGGCCAGAGCACATTTTCAGCCGGATTGTCGTTAAGTTTACGTGGGAAATACTGTCAGTCTCTGGGCTTTATAATCAGTTGAAAAACTTACAGGGTGAAAGTAAATGCACAAATATAAAGCATTTTCTTTTGCTCATCAATCAATTAGAAATTTCATAACTTAGTTAGTTACTAAAGTTACTTAAGTAGTTGGTTTTTGTTTCGAAGGATTCAAAGGATATATTCATTGGCATTTTTTTAATTAATGACTTTACTTGCGGTGCAAAGATTTCATTTTATTAAGGTAGCTAGCTAGTACTTACCCAAGCTAATACTTACCCAAAAAATAAGACCTAGAAAATCAAACTTTAAATATTTTGTAGATAGCCAAAACAAACAGCTAACATTTATTACACCACTTCAGAAAATGACTCAGTATTGTTTAAACTGAAACCTCAGTAATTTGCGTTAGGTCGCAATATAAATTAGGCTTCATTTTGTTGGACAAACCGGTTTTTCGTTTAAATGGAATTCGGAAGCACCTGTTGGGCTTTCATCGCCAGGCAGCAGGACCTGGCCAACGTCCATGGGGACGCTCACTTCAAATGGCATTCATTAAATGAGCATTAGGTCCAGGTTGCGATGTGGTTTTTGCTGTTGTTGACAGACGTATCCTAGATTCATTAAACAAACTGAAAGTTGACTAATTAGCCGGGGCCAGGGCAAGCCAAAGAAACTTGGAAATGTTTCAGCATACATACATATAATTAAAATTTTATTACATTTGCGTACATTCATAGACACACTAAAAGCGATTGCCAGAAAGCTCAGCTTACCACAGAGAGAGAGAGATATATTTTTTGGGCGTGGGAGAGGAGGGACTACTCCTAGGATACGCTTAACACTTAAGACAACAATGATATTTAATATCCACATAAATTCTTACATTCATAGGTACAATAAATATGTTCTCATTCAAGTGGGTCCGTTGCCAGCAGAAAGGCTGAAATTTATTTCGCATTCTGCAATCTAGGGAAACCAAGGAAAACTCGTGGATTTTACTATAAAAACTTAACATTCAGCATGGTGCAAAATGGTTGCGAAATATATTTCAGACTCGTTGGCTAACGAAGTGGTTCTGGATGTTTCAGAAGTTTTCTAACAATATTTTGGGTGTCTGAAAGTATGCTGTGAAATATTTATGGCGTTAAAGTTAATATGTAGTGAACAATTTCAAAATGCTGTTAGTGATGGTTAATCCTTGATAGATTCTTAATCTTTAAATAATAATTAAGTGTAAATTACTAAGAAACATTTAATACTTAAGATCATAAATAAGTTAAACTTTGCTTTTAAAAACAAATTCGGTTGCCTACTTTTAGACACCCTCAATATTACTTTAAAACCCTTTGGGTTCTTCAGGAACATTCCTATGTGATACTAAGTGGGTTCAATGCGTTCAATGGTTGCTTTTGGTGGGGTTTTGGGTTCTTGACCTGTTTTGGTTTTGGTATTACAGTGGCTTAAACTATGAGATGTTGTTTGACTCGAAGGGATTAACCTAAAGCGCCTCATCGGCCATGTTCTGCTGGCCAGCTCTCTCCATGCGAACGATGACAGTGCCCATTCCGTTGGGATGGTTATCCTCTGCTCCAGTTGCTCCTGCTCCTATTCCTGCAACGGATGTTGCTGCTGCATCTGATAATGTTGTTGTTGCTGCCGTTCCTGCCTCGGCAACATCTTCCGCAATGGTTGTCATCAATGTCGGTCTGTCGACGGCACCTGACCCGGTTTTTGCCAGAGGGATCGAAGCACCGCCAGCGTTTTCCCGCTCCTCCATGAGTGGTTGACTTTGGCGGGAATTGTCGATAGTTTGGCGGCGTTTCAGGAACGGCATCCGGCTGCGCCAGCCGTCGAGAAAGGCCGATGAACTGCTGGCCAGGCTCTGGCTTCGAGCTCTCTGCTGTTCCAAGGATGACTGCTGGCTGTGGTGTTGGTGGTGTTGTAGGGGGCCCGAGGAGGCGCGTCGCTTGCCCGACATGTCCTTTAGTCATACCTTCTCCTCTCCTGGCATTGGCGGTCCGCAGCGCACGAACTACAATCAAAAGAACTGAGAATTTGCTATCATGGTGGTTGGCCAGTTGGCAACGGTGCGTTGGTTTCTGTAACTGTCTTATATAATCTTTTTATTTATACTTTTTATTTTTATTGTTACTATATTGTTGCATGCGATTAATGCGTATCTAATGGCCAATAAACTGTAAGTGCTTAAGTGTGTGTGTGCTAGTGCTGCTCTGCATTACTCATACGCGCCGTAACCCGTGGTACAAAATTAGTAAAGAGAAAGGTTGGTAGAAAAGCATGTGAAGCTTTTAGTACAAATCTTACCGAGACCTGAGTAGCTGTATAGGAATTTGTCCGCGGCCGGTTGCTGAAGCACATCATCCGCCACTTGCGCTTCATTTGGGCAATCACCTCGCCGTTGCAGAAGCAGAACAAAGTGGCCACGCACAGACCCTGAAAAATGGGACAAAAATAGAATAGGCTAGAGTGAGCTAGCAGGCTAAGTTATTGCAGGGGCTTATCGCAGTTGTTCTTATTACAATGACCATTACTTTTGTCCCTTTTCGTACCCTGTAAGAGGTTATTAGAATTTGGTATCTATCCATTCAGTAGGAAAGGTACTTCTAAGAAACTAAGATGTAAAACTGATTTGGGATGAAAAATATATATATTTCAGAATAGAGCTTCGGATAAAGAAAGTATATAATGAAAAATAATAAATAAATAACAAATCAGATATATAAATATCAACCTGAAAATTTAAAGTTATTATACATACTAAACATTTTCCAGGGTAAAAAACTGTTCGTTATCCATCCATTCTGTTATTTTCCTTTCTGGTTGGTCGTCAGTTGGTCCTAATACAATACATAATACAATTTTGCTTGTTCCTTTGGTTATTCCCCATCCCCTACTAGCCTGCCACCGTATTCATTTCGCCTGTCAGACGACCACTTCAACGAGTCGTGAGTCCTTCGTTTGAGTCCGACCACCCGTCCTTCTGTCCATTCATACCGATCCGATCCCACTGTTTGCCATTTGTCTTGCCACTTTCTGCTTGATTGTCGCAGGCGGCATTTGTGTGAGCCACATCTCTATACATATATATATATGTAAATATTTAATGTATGGCTGGGTACGTGCATTGACTGCCACCAGGATTTCTGGTTAGCACATCGGAGCTGGGGCTTCCTTTGATTGCCACTACTCACGGAGGCCCATCATGGACTCAATCAGCCACAGTTGCCATCCATTTACTCCTCAATTTTTGCCTGCCTTTCCATAATCAGAATTGGGTTTTTGTTGCCTCACAGCATATTGCAAGTAAGACATTTGCTGTTTGATTGCAAATGTACAACTTTTTCCGCCTCTGGAAGCGGTAGTCCTTACCTCAATTGGTTGGTTTTCTGTTTATAAGGGGAAGGGGAAAAGTTTTCTACACATTACAATAATCTTCTCATATTTATTAAGAATTTTTCAAAATAAGTTTCTTCTTTTCAGAGATGCATTTCTATATATTGCAATCCCAAAAGTAAGATATAGCCTTTGAAGTTGTTTAAGAACTTAAAATTGCTTCTACCATGTCAATAGCCCGACTCCATATTAGTTTCTAAGTTCTTTGCTTATTCGAAAACTGAAACTGTTGTGTTTTGATGCCTCTGTGAACATTGTTATGCAAAGCGTTCCTGTTCCTATGCTCTCCATTTTGTTGTTATTTAGTTGTTATGGTTGGCATTGTTAGTTCCGGAATATATGCTTGACCACAGAACGGATGGCCAACATGTACTATATGTAGGACACTACATCCACCCGCATACACCCAATATATGAACAAGAGAACCTTGGTTTACTCAATTTTTGCATTTAGTTTGCTGCCCTTTCTGTGTCCGTCTTCCTTTTCTCCTTTGTGCCATTTATAAAGCTTCCGTTTTAACTATCCAGCTTTGTCTAGCAGTTTTAGCCATTTATTAAGAACGCCCCTCAAAAAAAGTTTGCGGCGGATTAACGATTTTTCAGATATTTTTATGCAGCTCCGGAAAGTTTCCAAAAAAACTCTAGCTTAATTACAAAAAACTGTACTAAGCTGGATTGAAAAAGACTCTTAACGTTTTTCCAAGCTAGGAAAATTCATTTAATTTGATTGCTAGAAAAACCAGGCTAAACAGCTTAAGCAAGCCAATTAGTTGATTCAAAATATTTGGCAAGAAGTCAAGTCAAGACCTGCCAGGAAAACATTCCAAGCCATTTTAATATCACGATTCTGTTGACATCTGACGTTTGTTTTCCACTTTAGCTTTCCGCCAAGCGGAAGTTTTTAATTCAATTAAAGTAGAACGTGTTCTGTCTGCACATCTGTTAAATACGAAATGTCCCTAAGCTCTTGTCGGAGGAAAATGCAGAGGGAAATCTCTGTGGAGAGCTTACAAGCTGACAAATGCCAATTGCAGTAAGTTTCTGATTTCGGCAACAAAACAACCGAATAAACACGTTTACATGCATATAAATTCTCATCTTTGACTAAGTAGTTTCGGGCTTTTCCATTTCCATTTCCATCTCCATTTCCCCCGGACTACAAATCCTCTCTCTCGCTTTCAAGCTCAAAAATTATTTGATATTCTTTCCGGAGCTTAAAACTTGCGGGGAATCTTTTACGACAGTCGACTTCATCACCACCGCTGCCACAATAAATCCAAATTATATGCAACCACCGAGTTCAGCGGGAAAAACTTTACCGTCTCTGCTGCAAATAAGGCAACGGAAAACAGGGCAATAAAAGAAATAAAAATAAAGAAGACAAAAGGGAAATGCAAAGGGCAACTCCCTGGCGGGCGGCTGGCTTTAAAATTTCAGTTCGCGAATAAAAGATTTTGTCAATCGATTGACATTGATGAAAGCGGCTCAAGGTGTTCATACATATATATATATATTTGTATATATAACTGTAGTCTAGGGCTTTAACTGGGGCTTAGTCGCACCCAAGAAGATTTAATGTTTATTCATAAGATAATGGATTTTCCTTTTGTTTTTAGAGCAGCTCTAGAATTTAATAGGTTTTTTGAAGTTGCGTAGGTCGGTCTACCTTTTTAAGGCGATTAAGTACAAAACTGGATTTCTTTATGATTATATTCAATTTCCTACACCTTTCAAAATCTTAAAAAATATGCTCTTGAGATATAAAATAGCATTTTATTAAGTTAAAATTGGCTTAAGGTATTTTAAGCTTTCCATCTATCCATAAACTTAACTCAAAATTTTGTTAAAAAAATCCACTTTATAAAAACTATTTCCTTTACAAAAACAAACATTTATGCAAATCACTTAAGTTGCAACTACAAAACATTTACTTTCAAAATTGTTTGACTAGATACTTCGGGGACTCCATCTACAAGATGCGAATGTATCTGCTAGATGAAACTTTCGCCTGCGTTGTCTTTAAGTTGTGGCCAAGAAAAATATGTTAACTGACTGTAAATGCCGGTCTATCGAGACTGACTTTGTGCGGGGGACAAGCTTGAGTTGCTTTTACGAGGTCCTGCGTGCGGGAGTGCATTTCATGCTCAACTTGCCGCACTTTTCCGGAGGGGAGGCATTCGCTCCAATCTTGGCCAGCAATTTAATATACTGAGACCATGGCAAATGCCAATGGCACGAATTCCGCATGGTGTGTATTTTCATTATTGATTTGATGAAAAGTCCCCTGATCTAATGAACTCTCCTGCTTGTGTATGTATATTTTTCTTGGTATTCCAGTAATTCTGGCTTATTTGCATTCCCTAGTCGGTGGATTTCATGAGGCGAACTAACATCATAACTTTTTAGCCAGCTCAGAGTCGTAAAGTGATTTTATGAGAGTGTGCAAAACAAAAGCTTGGAAACAACAGAAAAAAAAACAAGAACAGGAACGAAAACATTTTACTTACTTGAAACGAGGCCGTAAACGCCGAGATGATTTCGTATGTATTCTCCCAGGGATGTCCGGGTGCAGGACGAAACGGCGTTACGATGTACTGGAGGCCCAGCAGAGGAACCAAAAGCAGTGTGGCCCTAAAACAGGATGAGAGGGTGAATTATAATGCCATGTTTTCTTCTTCTCTTCCTTGCTTTTTTCATTCTTTTCATTGGTGTGTATTAACATGCAAGCCAACGCGGCGTATGCGTAATTTAAAATGTAAAATGAACCAAACTTCCAAGTGCAGAGCGAATAAACAATAAAAGAGCTGTCGGCTGAAGGCAAAATTCTAAAAGAGGAGTTCCCAACGATAAATACAAGGGATTCAAAATATAATTACGCATTCGCCCCGAGGGCCAGTTGAGAGAGAGTTCTCCCCCTATTCGGTTCTAAACGTTTCGGTACTCCAAAGTTGTTTAGGGTGGACAGGAGTTAAGAGGTGGTTAACGCAGAGAAAACTTACCGAAATGCCTGTAAAATGGTTCGCGATGGACCGCAACTGCCCTGAATACTGGCCGGGGCATTCAGCTTCAAGAGGACCACACGCACAATGTTGCACAGGAACAGTAGATTGAGGAACATGGAGATGCACACGGGCACCACCAGAATGTTATCGTAGTCGGTTTGGTTCATCCAGCAGCTGCAAAGTGGAGGAGGAATAGGAGATGAGATGAGCAGTCAATGGACGAATTGCTGATGGATTTGATTAGCATTCGGAAAAGCATCGGATGTGCTGAATATCTTAACAACACCGAGAAAAAAGAAGGTATCATTTTGATATTATCGAATCGGAATTGCATTTTGACTTCTAGTTGTTAGTTTTATGAGCAGATTTTCCAACATTTATCAAAGTTTATTGGATTATACGGAATTTCAGATCATGATTTATGGTTCCTATGTACTTTTTCTCCGTGAAAATCAATCATATTAATTATTCACTTACTGCATATGGTCGTCGGGCGTGCCCCCGAGACCGCGGGCCATGCTGTAGACGAAAATGACGATGGCCGGGGAGCCCCAGCCGAAGGCGATCAGCCATTTGACCAGCTTCTTCTCGGAAATGAATGCGGCCACCAGGACGGTGTGCAAATAGAATCCCTCGCAGAGCATCCACGAGTAGTTTGACAGGAGGAAATAGTGTAAGGTGATGTGGAGGGCAACGCAGCGCATCTGGGCAGTTCCCATGGAAATTGGTAAATCGGAAACCGAAGTTGATTCACCATTACGCATACGGCAGGTGGGCTCACTTACCGGACTATGTTGCAGCAGCTCCGTATTGGGCATGACCAGCAGATACCACACCAGCCACAGCGAGTTGTTGGCCGCAAAAGAGGCGAATAGATTCATGTGCAGCGTGATGCGGGCGCACTTGAGGGATCTGGGCAATCGAAAGACAAATATGCGAATCGAATTACTTCGGGCGGGAATTTTCTTCTTTTTTTTTATTGCCAAATTGCAAGTTTGTCTATTGACCAATTTGCATTCGCCCAGGGGCAAGTGAAGCAGATTGGATAGGACACGAGAGGCTGGAAAAGTCCTGCGACCGAAAGGCCAAAGTTCATTTTCCGTTTTCCTTTTCGCCTTTGCTCAATTGCATTGACTGCCGGCATCTGGTCAAACCGAATTGTAATTTCATTTCTTCACAGCAAATCAATTCGAATGGCTTAGATTGTATTCTATTATCGCAAACACTACTTTATCATTATTTAAGGTTTTCAAAAAGGCAAATGTGTGCTGAATTTCAGTTTAATTCGCATCCAGAGATTAGTTCTGGCGAGGTAAATAAATAGAATTTTGTTATGACAAACTTTAATTACTTTCTTTTTTTTTTTAACTGAAATACAATTTTAAGCTACTATAGTCTAACGTTTCCATCTTTTGACTTAATTTCCTCTCTCGAACACAATTAAATTTTATTTAAATTGAATTTTCCTGGTATTTTCATTACAGTTTGTCTGAAGTGAATGTGTCTGTGTGGGATGGGAGCTTTTCCCATCCATTTGGTCACGCTTCTTTGTCATTAAACTTTTAATTATCCACTTTTTTTAGGGCAGACCGAATTCCCACACGTCGCTGGCCTCGTTTTATTTGCCTTTGGCACACAATTTAAAACACTTCTGTCAGTCGCTCCGTTCCTGTCCTGTCCTGTCCTGTCTATAGGATCCCCCTCGGTGCGCATCCCCCTTATCCTATACATCCTTTAGACTCATCTCTATCCGAATGAGCGATAAACAAACGGAGAGCACTAATTGGTCTGCAGGCACTGGGAAATTAATCGATATCCTGCTTCGTCTACCCACGGCGAAGAGAAGGGAAAAACTGAGAGGACTGAGACAAAGTATTTTCCCATTTCCGGCGTCAATTGTCCCACATTAAGCGAGTGCAATGAGCATTTGGGCCAGCACCCAGGTTGGCAGTTGATTAAGCCACTGTCACATTTGTTTGCCGTCAATAAATTTCATTTTTGGCGCCAGTCCTTCGCCTTATAAGTCGTAATATAACGACCAGTGTGCCTCATTACCCACAAGAGCTTTTTCTTGCTCCCAACGAAGCTGTCAACTTGCGACCAAGACGAAGGAGTGCAAAGTCCCTTCGGCCATACTCACTTGAAATAACCCAATATGGCTAATGACAGTAGAATGGCCAGCAGGGAGGTGCCGTAGCCAACCTCGTAGATCAGATTCACATTGTGCCTCCACTATATAGGATATATATTTATATATAATGTTCTTATTAATTAATAGCATTGGGGATAGGGTTTAGCTTACCTCGAGGTCGTCGAGATTTACGCAGGTTGTGTAGTTGGACCATGTTTTATTGGTCAGCGGATGCTTGAACCACTCGCCGTCGAGGCCGCACTCCTTGTGGGCATATCCTGATTTTGCATTGTAGAGTAAATGATGTTAATATATGTAATCCACCACAAACTATTTTATTTACTAACTACTCTTCCGTTCAAATAAAAAGTAAGCCACAGTAATGTTTATCCTACTTATTAAGCCTTTTCATTAAATATTTAATCTTTTAACCGAACTTGTTTCCAATTTTTTATTATCACAAAAATTTGAGAAAATCCTATCAACATTCTCTGTATTAAACAAATATTTACAAAATAAGTGTGTGATTTAATGATTGACTGTTGGATAAATATTCCAGCTCATATTTACATTTTGCGGTCAGAGAGAGAATTAAATTGTATTAACCATTATTTATGGCCTCTGCCACCGAGGTGGCCGCAAACAAGTTGCGGTTTGCCGTTCGGAATAAAACCATCTCAATTTGTTTTTACCAACTTAAAAAATTGAATAATCATTTTGTTGGGGTCATGTATTTATTCGAATCATGCCGAAAAGTTCGTGACAAAAACATTCTTTTTTGCAGTTCGGCATGTCAAGTGCTTTTCGATTGCGAATTACCAAAGTTTTTTAGAGCAATTTGCCGAGTGGCACTTGTCGGAAAACAGCAAGAGAATTTTTCCAGTAAGGAATTTTTCGAAGGTGAGTTGTTTTTTTTATCAGGTCGTTCGTTTTTCTGGCTATTCTTTAACCGATGATCTTTTCCCTGAATCCATTTATCGCCGTTTGGCACGCAGACGGAGAAAATCACGTATACGCGCTGTGTGGCAGATAAGTAGCCAGAGTAAGGAGTAAGGAGTCAGGGAGTTGGCGACCACAGCTCAGCACATCGACATCCGGCGACCGGAAGTGCCATAAAAGTTAATGGCGGCGCAGTGCCAAAGCACATAATCTTGTACAAGCTGGCGGCGACCCCAAAAGGCGAAAAAAAGGAGAAAAAATCCAAAAAAGAAAGGGGGAGGCGCCAGGCCAAAACCACAAGCTAAATGTAGTGAAAGTAGCACTTTCTTGGCGCTCGCCTTGTTTTCCTCTCTCTGTCATAACACACAAGAAAAAAGTCATTCAACTTTTGCTATTTTCGTTGCCCTGGCCATGGCCAAAACGGGGTTAGGATTTAAGTTGGCCTGCTCCATATTGCTGAGAGCCCCCATTAATGCAAATTGACATGCAGCGCATGATTTATTCCATAAATTGCTTCAAATATTTATACACATTTATGCCAATTTTGTCGAGCGTGCCGGGGTTTCTTCTTTTTTGAAATAATATTTGCTTTAATGCCCGGGTTAATCAGCATTCGCCAAGCATAATTAATTAGTTTTCGTTGTGTGTGCTCAGCTATTCAATTGATTAATTTATATGGCACTCATCTACTAATTATGAATTAAATTCAATATACATAGTGTTGGCAAAAATATGAGTAATTATTCAGTTACCCTTTGGCTGTTGGCATTCTGCGCATATTTTCATTAATGATTCAACAATGATTGGGGAAAGCTACGTGAAACGGGGACTATTGTGGTTGTCATCAACACCTTGACAAGGACACTGATTAATGGCCTTAACGATGTTATCCTTTTGGGAAATTCCTTGAAAAAAAATGATTTTCTTTTCATAAAAATCGTTCTTATCACTGGGAAACTTAAATACCTTTCTCTAACCTGTTTCTTCTTGATTTACATACTCGACTTTAACTTTGCCCAGCATCCACAACCAACTTGGCCTTGTTCTCTACCTTAGATGCGATTCCAGGGAGTTCCCTGCAAATCGTGCCAAATCAGGCGAAAACATTTTAGCATTTTGTCGAGCTCTTTTGGATAATTCAGCGGCCCAAGGAGCATCGAGTAGACGGCTTCCTCTGGCCTGAATATTGTATGTTCCCAAACGACATACGAAATCAAAGCATAAACATAACAAGTTTCCAATTGATTTGGCCTGGCTGCGAGCGTATTTTCTGTTTTATTTATGTGTATATAACGATGAGCTCGGGGATGAGGCCAATTAGAGGGTAGACTGACTGACTACCCCATCTACCCAATCTACCCCATCTACCCCATCTACCATCTATACATTCAACCACATTGCCTCGTGCCAACACATTTCCCTTTTGGAAAAGTTGTATGTTTGTATATACGAGTATATTCATTTTATTTTTCGTGTCATATGCAGATCCCCAGCTGACCCCAAAAACGGATGTAGCTTTGCGGAATTTAATAAACAATTCAGCTCCTGGACGGCGTACTTACTTGCTGGATCGAATCCCGTGATGAAGCCCGGGCAGAGTTCGTAGGCGGAAGTGCCGGCGGCCGTATCCGGCCAACAAAGCCAGCCATCAAAGGTGCCGGCGCAGTGGGCTCCTGCTCCTGTTCGTCGGCGGGGGCAAAGGGAAAGGTCAATTTAAAGTTACTCGTGCATAATGGACACCGAAATTGCAGTTGGCTAGTGCCAGCGAATCAGGCAAAAAAATAATAACTACATTTTATTTTTAGATTCTTTACCAATAAAAGTTCTTAACTTTAATCAAGCCCAGAATTCAATTACTCTTAAAATTGTTAAACTGAAAAACATTTATTAAGAATTATTATTGCTTAAATAACCTTGATAAAATGATTCCTAAGGTCTTGTTAGTTTCATTATTAACTACTTTAACTTATTTTAACTGACATTTTCGCTCAGTGCAAGGACTCACCCGCTAGTTGACCGCTGCCATTTAGCCGCGTTTCGCAGGCAGTGCGAAGTGCATCGAAGTCTGGACCGCTCTCAGCGGCACTTTCGGCCATGGAGGCGTCATCGCTGCCACTGCCACCGAAAGTTGCATTGGGGTTGGCGTTGGTGTTGCTGCCAATCTGCTCGCTCATGGCTGCCTGCAACTGCTGCACTACGTCCGCTGAAATGTGGAAAATAAGTTTCGTTAGTCAATCAAATTGCTTTCCCAGAGCTCATAAATGTGTGTGCAAATAAGTGTGTGTGTGTGCGCCCCCGCTTTTCACATAAGTATTTGCGTTTTACGGTCCATTTGAAAGGGAAATTTAATTGGTTTTCCAACAGCTTGCCACTATTAAAGTTCCAGGACTGCACGAGTATATTGTTGCAGGGATTCCAACTGAATTATTTATGGCTGCACTCATTGATTTATTTTTATTAATAGAAGATACGAGTTGCGTGTGTTACTTATTAACTTAAACAATGGCATTATTGATGTTAAATGAAAGTATTTACAGCACATATTTGTTCCATTCAATTTGTAAAAATACTTAAATGCTGTACAATAGCGATTTAAGTAGTCTCAATTATAGCCTGTTTTTAGGGATATTTTAAAATCAGTTGGTAAGACAGAAGTGGTTTTAAAGTAAAACGTAATTTAAATAAATTAAAAGCAATATTGGTAGTTAAAGAAAAATATTTAACATCAAAAAATAATCAGGAGATGCATTTAATAATATTTTTTTATCATTAAATTACGTGATAAACGAGTAAGTTAACAAAAACTGGTTTAGTATACCTAATAGTATAAGCTTGTTCCACTTGAAAGTTTAAATATACAAATTTGAATAACTGTTTCTACTAAATTTATTGGTTTAACTTCAGTATCAGTAAAAAGTATAAATATCTCCCCAGTCAAGTGCCATGTATGCATTTTTTGCTTTATTATTTTATGACTTCTTTCTTATTGATAAAGAAATGTCCAATAAAATCATTTTGTATCTGGCATTCCCTGTGTTTTTGAATATTCCTTTAAAATCAAATAAATATTTACAAGTTTCTGTGTGCGAATATTTCTGTCAACCTGCATAAGTTGACAATGTTTTTCTGTAAACAGCAAACAGCAATAAGGTGTGTGCCAATATTCACTTGGTCAGGCTCAAACAAATAAGTAGGTATGTCGAATGGTGAAGGGCATTCAAGCTGAAGCTGGCCATGTGAAAATGAAAATCGAAGGCCTTTGATTTGGAAATTCGAACGTTGGAATGGCAAACGACAAATTGCTGGCATGTGGAAACATGTCAGGTGGTTCTTCTCCCCATTGGTGCTTTTCCATTTTGTAATCTTATCGTTTAGGCAAATTGCTGCCTGCACTTAAATTGCCAATTGACAAGAGCAAAAACCACAAAGACAGCAGTCAGGAACGCAGAAAACTGTGCTTCGAAAGCGAACATCATAAAATCCAGGATTGCAAATTGGCTGTGCGGAACATGGATGAACAGGGGAGATGGAGAATGGGAAAAAGGGGGAGTCTCCCTGAGGGTTGGGTAATGGCTGAACTGAATGCATTTTGTATGCACAACACTTGTGAGCGAGTAGCGTGTTATGACAACTCTCTGCCACGTTTCCCTCGGTTTCCCCTCTCTCTTTTTTTCGTGCAATCATAATACAAGTTTTTATATTTATTACACAAATTACACGAAATCGCATAACATCACTCAGGGCAACTCGTACGCTTCGCACTCCCTGGGTTTTTTGCCCTCGATGTTGTTAAGCTCATCTCCCAGCTATTGGGGTTTAATACCTAAGCTGAGCAGACAAATTTGGTTATTAACTGGCCGTAGCCATAAAAGACATTTCAGGGGGCGAGGGTTCTAAGTGGCCCCTTAAATTTTACGACTTCTCCTCGGTACAAACTTGCCCATAAATCCACCCGACATTGAACCTGATCGTCAGCCATTGAATAAATAAGCGATTCGGTATTCAACTTGGTTGAAAAATAGTTAGGTGTTAGATAAAAATCGAATAAATCATGCAAAAACCGGTTTATTGGCGGTGCTCAAGGGTGAATTTTAAGCAAGGAAAAATAGGGAAAATAAATACAGCGGGCTTAAGGAGATTGTGGTATTTGGGGTAAGATTTCAAGAAGAGTAAGTGACAAAATTAAATCAACACAAAGTAAATATGATGAAAAATAAATTAAAAATAAAAGGTATTGAAGTGATCATGATTTACAGGATTCGGATAGAATCCCTGAATTTATCATGTATTAAGGCTACAAATGAATAATTTATGACTATTGAAATGATTTATTACATAAAGCCATTAATTGGTAATGATAATTTAACGTTTGTTTGTTAAGAAATCATATCATAGACATAATATTTACTATTTCTATAAAACAGTTCCCTGATATCCAGATAAAAGTCGATAAAATACAGCTGAAAGTGTGAATCGAAATATAAAAGGTGGTTGATTTGCGTAGCATACTTTCTAGCGTGTCTCATTGCCGAAAATGTATAGGCTTTTGGTTTTAATGTGCTTTCCTTTCAGAGGGCGTATAGGGAGTGCATGGCCCTTAACAGGCCAACCTACCTACAGGAACATCTCCTCCCCTATACCCACACACCCCCTCGATCGGCTAATAAAAATATTTTTACGACAACGCGCGAAACTCACGCAAAACGTTGGCAATAACAGAAATTAGCAATAAAAGCGTGTGGAAAAGTGCCATAGGCGAAAAGTAGCCGGCAAAAGAAAAAATGTTGTTCTGTAGGGAGGAAAATTAAGGGCTTTTCCTAGCAGAAGCAGCTGCGGTGCGTTAAACAAGCTTGACTTGAGTTGACTTTGACTTCGGCAGCCGCCCTGCGCTAATGCCCGATGTCAGGGATCCGTAAATTGCATTTGATAAAAGCGAACGCGAGGAGACCTCAATAAAAACGGCAGGGCGGGGAAAAACAGGAAAGCGCGGAAAATAGGAAATTGCGGGCGGTTTGGCAAGGGGCGAGGAAAAAAGCATAAAACTGGCAAATGTATTTCACTTTGTGTATGTGTCTTACATGTGTAGTAGGGGCATCTATTTTAGCACTCTGTACCAAAGTGTCGACCCTGGCCACGCCCCACATTTGGGGGCAAATAAAACTCAGAAAAAAAAATGGTAGAATCAGTCATAGTGAAAAACTTTGTTCGCGAAAACGCTGGCAAAACTGTTGTGTATTAAAAAAAACGTAGCCAAGCGAAATTGTGCCGTCTGCATCTGTCAAAATGTTTTCAATGGCTGGTTTGGTTTGGATTCGCTTTTCCCGCAGTTTCCACATTTCCCCCGACGTATGAGTAATGAAAATGTTTGTTTGCCGATTTCCAATTCGTTGACTGTCAGTTTGCGAATCGAGCTGGGCTCAGTGGAATGGAACCCAACTATACAACTATCCCAGAGATAGTTTATCTTCATTCCGCGCTCAGCGCTCAAAGCACCGAACATCTTTTAGAGTTTTTAGCTGCAGTAAAATTTATTAGGCGCATAAATCATACAACGATGTCTGCACTAGCCTGCTTCTATCGCCCACATGGCAAGAACATTTAATGATTTATGATGGATTTTCCTTTTAAATTTTGTTCGCTTTTCAAGCAAACAAAAGCATCAATTATTAAACGCTAAATGGTGGGTGGCAATTAATACCTCTCCCTGGAGTGCAGCATGAAAGGAAATCAAAACGAAAATATGGTTTAAATCAGAATGTGTTATGCTTTAAGAGATTGTGTTAAAAGCCAGCCATTTCCACGGAATTTTATATTTTATTGAGTGTTTTTTGTTGTGTTATTTTTTCTTTTTGGTCGGATTTGCCGAATGGGCTTTCAAATTGCTTAAATAGCATTTTGCCTAAAACAACATTTTTCGCTGCTGCGACAGTCGATGGCTAGCCTTGGCCCGTACTGTGGCATTCCATTTGGATTTCGCCGGATTGGTATTGATGCACTGAATCATTTTCCATTTTCCATTTCCCATTTTCCACCACTTGTGTTGCCAATGGAATGACAGCGCATAAAGGCAATTTATGAGTTTCCAATTTCGCCGGCTCCTGTGCATTTCAGTCGGGGATTATAAGTAAAAAGCCCTTTCACTGACGGGATATTTTATTTGCTCTTCACCGTTGCCAATTGAGCTTGAACGGCTTAAGGCTCAAATGGGAAACCAATTAATGTGCTAAATGACCGTAGATGAAGTCAAAATTAATCTTTAAAAAAAGAATATTAAATCATTGCAGTTAAAGTGCAAGAAAAACGTGTATAAATTATGCTTATTTTACTATGTTCTGGTAAACATTCTTTCATCTGAACACCATAATTAAGAACTCAGATTTGAAGTCGGCAATGACCTATAATATTTATTGCAATATTTATTTACAATATAAACCATAAACCATTTCACGACTCAGTAACATTTCCTCTATATTCTTCTACGTTTAAACTCGAAAGTAGGACCGCTACCATTTCTAACATTTTACTATGTCTTACATCGATTTATTTGCTTTATCACCCAATAATGTCAGACATTCATCCCAACCGAGAAAGGAATTTATTCGGAAAGGAATTGAAATCGTCTTGTCCCCGCTGACAGACACATTCTCCTTTAGATGGCCATTCAAATCGCATTTTGTCATCTTGTATGCTCCGCCAGCAGTAATGTCCGGGGAATGTATCACGACCAAGAACCTTTTGTTGATGGTAATAATGCCAACTGACAGCTGCCATGGGTAGGATTTTTAGAGAGAGCGTGTTGCCTGATTTAGCGCTGCCTCATATTTCAAATAAATATAAAGTGTAAATACGGAGTTGTTCAACAGGCAAGAGGAGCCGAGGTTGAGATGCGAGGAAGAAAGAATCAACCCACACTCAGGGACATTACTTTCACCGCCAGCCCGGATGTAACCGGGATTAACCAACGGGGGGGTTAACTTTTGCTGGTTGGCCGGCGTCAAATAGCTGGAGATGGCGATAAAAATGTTGCCAGAGATTACGAGAACAAGCGATTTATTTATTTTCCCAACACACACACACTTCGCCACTCGCCTCTGGATTCAAAAAAAGGCAACCGGCAAGCGGCGATTGTAAAGCCGTGAAAGCCGAGCCCTAATGGAATGGAATAATTTATAAAACTGGTCCGAAAGACACCCAACCGGCCAT